AATTGACATATCGTGGGATAGATATATGATTTTTCATTTACAGCAAACTTTCTAGAAAATTATTATAAATTTAAAAATTTTCTTTTTAATTTTCAAGAAATTAATTTATACAGAAAAATTTATATATTTATCTCAGAGCCAAATAAATATTTATTTGTTGTAAATAAATTTTTATTTCATTTAAATAAATATTTAATTGTTGTAAATAAATTTTTATTTGACTCAAATAAATATTTATTTGTTGTAAATAAAAATTTATTTACAACAATTAATTATTTATTTGTTGTAAATAAATTTTTATTTGGATTTAAATAAAATTTTTATTTATGACAAATAAATTTTTTTATTTAGCCCAAATAAATAGGTTAATATAATGAAAAAAAAAATTTATTTGATTCAAATAATTGGTTACTTGATTATTATCAAATAAATATTTACTTGAACCAAATAATTTTTATTTGTGTCAATTAAATTTTATTTGTTTTAAATACAGAAATTATACACAGAGAAATGATATATTTGTCTCAGAGCCAAATAAATATTTATTTGATTTAAATAAAAAAATTTATTAACGCTAAATAAATAGACTATAGTAGGCTGTGAGACAAATATACGTTTATTTAACTCAAATATATTACATTTGATTCAAATAAAACATTTCTCTGCGTGTAAGTAAAAAAAAAAAAATTTTTTTAATAATTTTTCATTAAAATTCTATTAAACTCAATATTATTATTAATTTATATAATAAATCATTCTGAAAAAATGGATGAAAGACATTGCGTATTAGATTCAAGTTCGTGGTAGCGGACCCTTTTTCTCTTGACTAAAAAAAAAAAAAAAAAAAACAGAAGTACAGAAAAAAAATAATTTATTCAAGGAAGGATTTGCCGTGAGAATCCTTTTTATAATTTTCGTCTTTTATTGACGTATAAGTGCAACATGGGAAAATGATTATTCATGTATATATTTATAAGTCAACAATTAAAATTTGACACTAAAATTAATAAATATTTATGATTTTAATTTATCCGAATTTAAAATTTGTTTAAGACGCCGAATTTTCCTTTGTTCGAAATTAAAAATTGACCGAAAAAAACAATCGACAGAAAGATATCGGCGCATTTTTTAAAATTGACCAATCAGAAATTGTCAAGAATGTCGTGAATGGTCAATTTTGAAAAATTGCGCCAAAATTTTTCCGTTAATTGTTTTTTCGGTCAATTTGTAATTTCGGACAAATTAAAATTCGTAGAAATTAAAAATTCAGACAAATAAAAATTTGCATATAAAATTCGATTGAATGAGAAATAAATAATAAATAAGTATTATTAATTAAATGGAAATTGAAAAAATTGTCAAAAACTTATTGCGAATTAGTCGCACTAGAAATTTTAGTTATTTTATCATAACCTATAAGTGATTTTTACAAATTATTAGTTATTTTTAACTAATTATTTAAATTTAAAATTCAAATATTATATAATATATATAATATTGACAAATCAAAACGACGTTTTATAAGTTCCGTAATTTATAAATGGAATATTAGATCTTTATAATATGAATCTACAATCCTTTTATTATTTTCTTTAAATTAAACTCTATTCGAGTGCACTCGCCCACCATTGAAAAAGATTTCCTGATATATTTAGATTACATTCAGGTATTCTATTTAAAATATCAAAAAAATTAGTCGGGCGCAAAGAGTAGGTATATAATGTACTATATAGTACATACAAGATGAACAAACAAAAGGCATTATTTAGATAAATTATTATAAGCAGCTGTGCTTTCAATTAAATTACTAAAAAGTGATTTTATTTTAATAACATATTATTATTATTACTATTATTTACTTTTAAAAATTCTACCGAATTCTATAAATTAAAAACTAATTTTAATTATTTAATTTTTGAATTAGTTAAAAATAACTAATTTAATAGCAAAAAGTGTCAGTTACTAATTCAAATAATATTTCTATATGCTAATCATTTAGTGAAAAATAACTAATTATCAGTTAAATTCACTTTTAGGTTATGTTAACTTAAAATAACTAAAATTTCTGATAACTAGTTAAATTAGTTTTAAATACTTTTTAAAATTATTTTACCACTAAAAATTAGTTACCCCTTTTTTACTAATAATTAGTTTGTTTTTTTTTTTACTAATGGCTAAAGGAGAAATTTAAACAAAATTTTACTTTAGTTATACTTTACTGAAAAAAAATTTAATTCAAATAATAATCAGGACTATTATATCAAATAAATATATTTTATTTGTATTAAAAAATTACTATTTGAGTGTTATTTTTTTTAAAATACAGAAATTATTGGTTTCAAATACAATTCAAATAACAATTATTTGATTCAAGTAAATATATATTTGCTCCAAGTAAATATTTATTTGGTTCTAGTATATATTTATGTATTTCCTCCAAGTAAATATTAATTTGGTTCAAGTATGTATTTATCTACTCTCTAAATGTGAATTAGTAAAAAATGTTTACTAATTTGAATTAGTGACTCACTTTTTGCTTCTAAATTAGTGAAATTTTACTAATTATCAGTAACTTTTACAAACAATTAATAAAATTTAACTAATTCTAAAGCGAAAAGTGAGTCACTAATTTAAATTAGTATACATTTATTTGGTTCAAGTAAATATTTATTTTCTCCAAGTAAATATTGATTCGGTTCAAGTATATATTTATCTATAGTTTAAGTATATATTTATTTTCTTTGGTTTGGCTTTGGCTTTGGTTATTTGGTTCAAGTAAATATTTATTTGCTCCAAGTACATATTTATTTGGTTCAAGTATATATTTTTCTAGTACAAGTATATATTTATTTGATTCAAGTAAATATATATTTGCTCCAAGTAAATATTGATTTGGTTCAAAAATATATTTCTTTGCTTCAAGTAAATACTTATTTTCTCCAAGTAAAAGTTTATTTGGTTCAAATATATATTTATTTGGTTCAAGTATCTAGTTAAAGTATATATTTATCTAGTTCAAGTATATATTTCTTTGGTTCAAGTAAATATATATTTGCTCCAAGAAATATTGATTTGGTTCAAATATATATTTATTTGGTTCAAGTAAATATTTATTTGATCCAAGTATATATTTATTTGGATCAAGTAAATATTTATTTGCTTCAAGTATATATTTATTTGGTTCAAGTACACGGAGAAAAAAGATTTCTTTTATAAAGTAACTTTTACTACTTTCAGAGTAAAACTGGACCAACTCGAAGTTTCTGCGCATCTCTGGCAATTTTTACTCCAAAAATAGTAAAATTTACTCTAGAAATAGTAAAACTTACAACGGAAACAGTAAAATTTACTACAGAAATAATAAATTTTACTATTTTTGGAGTAAAAATTGCCAGAGATGCGCAGAAACTTCGAGTTGGTCCAGTTTTACTCTGAAAGTAGTAAAAATTACTTTTTCTTTTTCTCCGTGTATATATTTATTTGGTTCAAGTATATATTTATTTAGTTCAAGTATATATTTATCTAGTACAAGTATATATTTATTTGATTCAAGTAAATATTGATTTGGTTCAAAAATATATTTCATTGATTTATTTTCTCCAAGTAAAAGTTTATTTGGTTCAAATATATATTTATTTTGTTCAAGTATATATTTATCTAGTTCAAGTATATATTTATTTGGTTCAAGTAAATATATATTTGCTCCAAAAAATATTGATTTGTTTCAAATATATATTTAGTTGGTTCAAGTATATATTTATCTAGTTTAAGTATATATTTGATTGGTTCAAGTATATATTTATCTAGTTCAAGTATATATTTATTGGGTTCAAATGTTTATTTATTTGGTTCAAGTAAATATTTATTTGCTCCATGTAAAAATTTATTTGGTTCAAGTATATATTTATTTAATAATACTCAAGTAACTGTCTATTTGAGTCAATTTTTTTTCAATGTTTGAACTAATTTAGATTTGAGTTAAGAACAATTTTCAAAATAAAATAAATAATTTTTGCAAATAACACAAGACAATATAATTTACAATATAATTTTTATGTCTAAAAACATTAAATCCTGGTATTTTTTTTTTTTTTTGCATCCATATACAATAAAGAAAAGTTACTGTTTTTACTTTTTATTTGTGTACACATCTGAAACGATGGGAGATGACTCATCCTTGCAAAAAAAAAAAAAAAAAAAAAAAAAAAAAACAGAAAAAAAAAGAAAAAAAAAGTAAAAAAAAAAAAAAGCATTTCGACTCGGGTAGTCAAGATAGAAATATATATATAGGAAAGGCGGGGGTGAGGGTTTTACGAACGCGGAGAGGAAGGCAAGAAGCAAAAACGCACTTTTTCTTCCGCTTTCGGCGCGAGCATTGCGAGAGAATGTTTTTGCCAACTTCGTTCTTGCCGGACGAGCATCGTCGGAGTCGTAAGCAGCTATATAGCAAAAGAGTCGGGGCGAACGGGCAGAGAGAACTATATAACAAAAAAGTCGGTCGGTGGTTTTGCTGGTGTTCTCTCTGAAAGTCGAAATTGCGAGAGAGAGACGAGGACGAGGATATCGCATACATATACTATATATATATATATATATATATATATATATATATATATATATATATATATATACACGATAGAAAAAAGCTATATAGATAGTTATGCTGCTTGGCTTTTGTGAGATGCGGAGACTAAACTCGGAGAAGTATTGGTTTTTTATTTTCCTTGCGCAAAAAAAAAAAAAGCTAAAGGAGAACGCGAGAAACGAAATCGAGGCCCTGTAATTATGCTTTGTTAGTAACGCACAAAAAAATGCAATATCGATATAAAAAAAATGTATTTAAGATAAAAAAAAAATTGTTTCTGCTATAAAAAAAAAGTGATGACATTTAAATATATAGATTATTTATAGGTTATATTCGTGGAAAAAAAAGACGCAATATAAATATTACAAAAACAAGTTACGAAGTGAATTTATAGAAAAATGAAAAAAAAACTTACATGTGCCATTAATATTTCTACTGAGAATTCTTGGAAGATTAGTTTGATGTCCAGTTTGCGGGGGTGCAGGCGGTGGACTTGAAAGCAAAACAACGCTTTGCACAGTTGTTGTTGGCGTCGTAATAATCGATGTTGTAGTCGTTGTTGTAACATTTTTTTGAGTTGACGATGGCACTGGTGAGGAAGTCGCGGCACCACGAGGCGCCTCTTCTGAGGCAGTTCCTCTTGCATCCATACCAAACCACCACCTCCACTAATATCACCTTTCATTAACACCCCATTCGCATTCGTATTATACATACATACAAATCATTCATAAAAATTTCACTGCTTTAACGGTTTATTTAAAAAAAAAAAAAAAAAAACAGCATGCACTTTTTAATTATTGAAAATAATCACAAAACACAAATTTTAACAGCAAAAATTTATCACAGAAAGAAAAACATGCAGTAGATTTTGTAGATAGAGAGAGACACACACAGACACACACACACAAACAAACCGATGACGTGCCGTGCCGGCCGGCTTTTTTGTTATTCACTTTTTCTTCTAAATTACTATTCCTGTTTTTCTTCTTATTTTTTTTTGTATTTTTGTATAAATAAATAGTGACAAAAGAAGAAAACACTTATAGAAGAAAATTTTTCTATTTTATTATAGGAAAAATTTTTTTTTTACATTTTTTTTTTATTTTTGCTATCAATTATCTACAATTCTACTTTTGGTTTTTTTTTCTTTTAATAATAAGAAAAAATAAAGAATGTAAATTGAAAATTAATGATATTTATAAGAAATTAAAAATATCGAGACGTGTACCGCACGATAGCGTGCTGCACATTGTTTGCGTCGTGAGGAATGAGGTTCATAGTATACTACTCAGAGAGTGTCTGATCCTCAATCCCCACCTTCATCGAGTTTAGATGTAGTGGTTGAGAGAGAGAGAGAGAAAGATGTGTTCATGTCCCCATCTATATGTTCTACCCCCCATTCCGTTAGTATTTGATTCCGCCCCTTCCACATCTCTTTGGATTTTATCGTCACTCGCTGATTCTCTCCTATTCAAAAAAACAAATTCCCACTCCTTTTGGGTTAGGTATCCCTATATAGTTTATATAAAAAAAAAGAAAAAAAAATTGAAAGAAAGGGAACTATTATTGGCACACATGTATATTTGCCTTATAGAATATTAAGCAGAATTTTGATTAATTTAGTTTTATTTGACTAAATTATAACAAAGTAAATTGGATTAATTAATTAATTTTTGACAATTGAGTTGCGCGCGCATTCAGAATTAATGCAAAAATGTAGAAGCACCTTAAGAAAATTTTAATAGAGAAAAAGGTACAGTGATCGATACCCGATAGTAGACACCTGCTATTTAAAACGATAATAACTATATAAATAATATAAAAATACTAAATAATAATAATAATATTCAATTAAATTTTAGGCTATAAATTGATTAATTAATCTTTAAAAACTAATACAAAAAAAAATTGAAGTTGATACAAAATTTTATTTTGTTTATATTTTTCTCAATATTTTATTAGAAAAACTAACCTCAAATATTTTTGCTTTATTGATTATAAATTTTATAATTATAAAGAAATTGTTAAATAATTACATTTGGAATGTAAATTTTTTTTCTAAATTAAATCTGAATAATAAAATTTATAATAATATTAATAAATATCATATTACTTATATAGTAATTTAAATATTGTTCATTTTATTATAGTTTACTGTTTTCATACCGTAAATTTTCAAAATTAATATTATAAACTCTTGTCAAAGTGTTGTTTAATTTTAAAATAAATAATCCCTGCAAAATTTCAAGATGAGCATGTGCCCCCTTTCCGAAATACAGGGGGTCAAAGGGGGCCATGTCCAAAATTAGAATATGCAATATAATCGAATAATAATGTTAAAAAAAATCAGACCAAATGGTTCCCTTAAGATTTTCGTCTGCTGATTACGAATATAAAGTCCGTTTTTAAAAATTCAAAATGGTGGATCCAATATGGCGGACGACATTTTTAAAAATCGATCCAATTGACGTGAAAATCGTTACTCGGGGGTTTTTGGGGTCTCTGATTACGAATATGATGTCCGTTTTTAAAAATTCAAAATGGCGGATCCAATATGGCGGACGACATTTTTAAAAATCGATCCAATTGACGTGAAAATCGTTACTCGGGGGTTTTTGGGGTCTCTGATTACGAATATGATGTCCGTTTTTAAAAATTCAAAATGGCGGATCCAATATGGCGGACATTTTTTTAAAATCGATCCAATTGACGTGAAAATCGTTACTCAGGGGTTTTTGGGGTCGCTGATTACGAATATGATGTCCGTTTTTAAAAATTCAAAATGTCAGATCCAATATGGCGGACGACATTTTTGAAAATCGATCCAATTGACTTGAAAATCGTTACTCGGGGGTTTTTGGGGTCGCTGATTACGAATATGATGTCCGTTTTTAAAAATTCAAAATGGCGGATCCAATATGGCATTTTTTGCATGGGGCTTGCCGAGGCTCTTTGCAAATAACCTAAAAAAAATAATTCGGCGCGAATTTTTCAAAAATTGACCAATAAAAAATTTTTTCTCAATTTCTCATTGGATAATTTCAAAAATTCGCGCTAAAATATTTTTGCTTAAGTTCGGACATTTATTAAATTCGGTAAAATTATATTTTGCATATAATAATAATAATAATAATAATTATTATTATTATTTCTTCATATTTTGTTCTTTATTACTATTTACAATATGTTATTTGTTAAAATCTTATTTACAATATAGTTTTATAAACTAATTTAAAAAAAAAAAAATTAAAATTAATTTAAAAAAAAACCCTTTTAAAAAATTACACTGGGAAAAATGATAATGTAAACAAAAATTAAATATATCATTTTGAATTTTTAAAATCTAATAAATGTTAATTAGAATGCGATCACCGGTAATTATTTGAATTGAAATAAAAATTTCAATTTCATTTTTGTAAATGCAAAAAATTTACAAAAAAAAAAAAATTTCTTTGGAAACAATTTTTTTGGAGGAAAAAAAAAAAAATTCACGATGATTTTCTACGACTTTTTTCAAGTTCTTTAACGCATTCATATTGATGACTTGTCCACATTGCAGTTACAAGAATTCCCAATTTTGCATCCTTTGAATTTGCTTGTTTCCAATCTAATAAAAATTGGTAGACAATCTAAAAGAAAATAATAATATTAAAAAAGGGTTTTTTTTTTTTTTTTTATTATAATTTTAAAAATTTGTTTTATTTTTTAATTATTTTTCATAATACCTCATCGAGACCTCGACTATTAAAATTCTCTTGAAATTGTTCAAGTTGACCGTCTGAATAATTTAATTTTCTTCCAACATCCTTCCAACCAGAACCCATATGTTCTTTTATTAATAGTATATCATTTCTTGAGATTTCTTCTTGACATTCACTAAGATTACGTATACCAATAGGCATTGATTTTACTGTTTTTGTTTTTTGTGGATAACTATTTGTTCCATTGATATGTTGATTAATATTACAAATAAAACTTGTTTTAGGACAAATTTTCACATCATTAGAATTAATAATATTGTAATTTACAGCACTTGGATTTTTAGCTGAAAAAAAAATTGTATTATTAACATAAAAAATTAAAAATACTAAATTTTAAATCTATGCGAGAAATATTTTTTTTATGTTTTGCAAAATATTCACATTAAATAATTGCAAATTTTTTATAAATAAAATTAAACACATTACCTTTTGATCTATGTTTCTTTTTATATCCATTGTTTTTTTTCTCTTGTCCAGAATCAGTGTTCACGTCATCATCCGGATATTTGCTTTTAGCACTCGGAAATTTAATATCCGAAGTCGATTCAAATTCACATGTAGATTGTCGTGTCTGTTCTGTTGTTGGCGTGAAAATAGTACCACTTCGTGAAATTTTTGAAAGTGGAGAATCATTTATATCAAATTGATCAAGAAGATCATCTTCACAAGGCGTTTGTGGTGTACTTGGTGTAGCATCAACAGTAAGTATATTATCAATTCTATCTTTCAAATTCGATGAAACTGACATTTTCCACAAAATAAAAATGTTTTTAAAATTCCTTTTTTTTTTTTAAGTATTATTTTGCCAACCGCACCTTGATTATTTAATTATAGTAAAAAAAAAGAAAAAAAAACTCGCGCAGTTAAATTCAACAGGTGATTTACTTCCTTTGTATTGTAAATGGAAACTGATAATAATGATAATGACATACAAAGCATTGAGAATAGCAAGATGCTTCTGGTATTTCTCTTGACAAAACTTAAGCACTATTCAACTCTAAAGATTAACATTAAGGTCTTTTTTTTATCGAATTAAAAAGAAATATGCATGTGTATTGTACACACGGATATTTATCGGTGTTTTCCCCTTCCAATTTTTAAACAAAGTGTCATTATGCAAATTAGTCTTTTCAAGGTTATAAAGCTAATTTAGTATAAAAGAATGTTAAATAATAATTGTTTTAATGTCAATTTGTAATTTTGTAGAAAAAAATGTTTAATTAAATTAAATAAAATTATCTACAAGTCTGTTTACCTACTGTAGATAAAACGATGATTTTTCAGGGTTGAGAACCCTTAATGTAAGGCTGTGATCACAATTGATTTCGATAACATAATAGAAAATAACATAAGGCTGCGTTCACAATAAATTCCTATAACATAAAGGAGCAATCACAGCTCTCTTACTCTATCCTGCGCAAACACCCGAAATGTGACAGCTACGAATATAAAAATTCATAAATACACACCATTTAGACTTTCGCTAAAAACCGAACGCGTATTTTGACGTCTAAACGATTACGAAAGTGATAAATATCCTTTTTTACTCTCGTGTACTAGTTACAAAATACCCTAATCATTTAAGACCAATGTAGAACAGATTTTTAAACGTATACGGAATTCTAAAACGGAAGAATGAGTTAGAAAAAGGATAACATACATTTGTCCTTCTCTAACTCACTCTTCCGTTACGATTGCGACTGAAGCAAATTATGCTTTGACCTTAATTATTCTCAAGGCAATATTGTAGACGGACCATTAGATAGTTTCATAGGGTTTCATATCTCTGCTCAGAGGTGTGACTGTAACCTTACGTCCTTACTATCATCATATATAGTATAGTGGTGACAGATATTAATTTTTTATAATAAAAAAAAAGAAAGTACTGTAATAAAACAGATTTTTTGTAATAAATAAAGTAAGTAAATAATTCCAATCAACATTATTAAAAACTAATTTAGAAATTTCTTAATTAAAATAAATTGCAATCGATAATTCTGTATTGAGAATTGTAATGTCATAAATTGATCTGTTTTTATAAAATATTAATAAGTAGGACCAAAGAAATTTCAATTCTTTTAGAAACAATTATTTCATGTTTAGTTTACATATATTTATATTTATAGTTTTAACAATTTTTAAAAATCCTATTTTTATCCGTAAATCTAATATAATGTTGTATAATTGGTTTCTATTATCAGCATGTGACTTTTGATCACTTATTTTTTTAACAATGACTTATAATTATGCATATATGTTATGTATTTATTGAATTTTTATTAATTTGACAAATACATAAAAATAACTATAAAGGAAAAATGACAAAATAAGTTCGTTAATGAGTTAATATAGTAATGTAATTTAAATCATATAATAATTAATGTAATCTAATGTTAAACTGAAATTAGAGTATTTAAAAAATTAATTTAAATTTTGACTTAAATTTAAAAATTAAATTTCTATTCAATTAGAAAGTTTTTTTTTTTTGAGATTTAATTTTTTGAAATTAATAATTAACACTAATTAAACAGAAAGGTGTTCTTTTGAAATCAGTTCTAACTGGAACAATGACACGTATTCATTTTTTTTTTTTTTAAACAATTGACGAGTAATTAGAGACTAAATAGTTTATTTGAAATTAAATATTTTTATTTCAAACAATTTAAGAAATTATGAATCATGAATTTTTCAATGTTCTATATCGATTATCTCAAATAACCTCTGATTTTCATTGCGATAATTTACTTATCTAAACTATATATATGTATACTTAAGTATATATCCAAAGTACAAGTTCTTTTTTTTTTATATTACAGAAAATAAATTTTTTTAAATAAATTTCTACTTTATTTTTAGGATAATTTACATTATCCAACATGTTTAGTTGGTTGAATCGTGAAGACAGTGGAAAGCAAGATCTCTTTGAAAATGTAACTGAGGGTTTAAAGAAAATTTATAAATCAAAATTACTGCCACTTGAACAATTTTATCAATTTCATGATTTTCATTCACCGCAATTGGACGATCCGGATTTTGATGCAAAACCAATGATATTGTTGGTTGGTCAATATTCAACGGGAAAAACAACATTTATTAAATATTTACTTGAAAGAGAATTTCCTGGTATTCGAATTGGACCAGAACCAACGACTGATAGATTTATTGCTGTTATGTTTGATGAAAAAGAGGGTGTAATTCCTGGTAATGCACTCGTTGTCGATCCAAATAAACAATTTCGACCACTTTCAAAATTTGGAAATGCATTTTTAAATCGATTTCAATGTTCAACTGTAACATCACCAGTTCTCAAGGGTATATCTATTGTTGATACACCCGGTATTCTTTCGGGTGAAAAACAAAGGGTAATTTTTTTTTTTTTATTATGATATTTGAAGAAATAGATTTTTAATCAATTTTTTCTGTTTTCAGACCTCGGATTATATGACTTTTTTCGATTTATAAGATGCGACTTTTTTGACTTTTTTTTAAAAAAATACGTTTTTTTAGAATACAATGCAGATCTTCTTTCTTTTAATTATTTAACAAATTTTCAAAAAAATATTCTCTAAATTAATTATTTTTAATAATTTTAATGAAATACTTCACGAATTTAAACTATTTTTCAAATTAAAAATTTTATGAAATTCAATAATTGTCTAAAATTTAAAAAAAAAATAGTCAGCACAAATAAAATACCAAAAATTTAAATTCAAAATAACTTAAAATTCAACTATTTTCAAAAAATTTCAATTTAAAATCTTCTAAAATTCAATAATTTCTTTAATTTGAAATAAAAAAAAATTTCAAATTTTTGGAAATTCAATTATTTTTAATGATTTTTTAAAAATTCTTTAAAATTTAATTACTGTCTGTAATTTAACAAACTAACTTTTCAAAAATTCAATTATTTTAAATACTTTATTTCTTTTAAAAATTCAATTATTTAAGAAAGTTTCAAAACAAAAAACTCTAAAATTGAATTTTCCGAAATTAAAAAAATACAACATCAGTTTAAATTTGCAGAAAATTTATTTCAAATTTAAAATCTTTTACAATTCAATAATTTAAAAAAAAAAAATTTAATTTAAAAATCTGTAAAACTTAATTATTATCCGACAATTTTTTGACCATTAAAACTAAAAAGTATACAAAAATTTTAAATTAGAATAAATTGTTTAAAGTAAATTTCACAAAATATTTAAAAAATGTAATTTTAAGAATTTTTTTTAGAAATTTTGAAAATTTATTTCAAATAAATTATATTGATAATATTCTTATAGAATTATTCTTATTAAGAAATTAATACAATGAATTTAATTTCTAATAACACTAGTTATTTCAAGTAAAATATTTATTCACTATTAAATTTAATTAAAATAAAAAAATCCACTTTTTTAGAATGTAAATCGAATGAAACGATTTTTTTTTTTGTTCATTAAAGTCGATCCAAGGCCTGTGTTTTGATAAATCAAAAATAAAGAGATTGTTATTTTAATTCTAATAATTATTATTTCCTCAGGTGGATAGAGGTTACGATTTCACGGGAGTTTTAGAATGGTTCGCCGAAAGAGTTGACAGAATTATTTTACTTTTTGATGCTCACAAATTGGATATATCAGACGAATTTCGTCGTTCAATTGAAGCATTAAGGGGACACGATGATAAAATAAGAATTGTTTTAAATAAAGCCGATATGATTGATCATCAACAATTAATGAGAGTATACGGTGCATTGATGTGGTCATTGGGAAAAGTTTTACAAACACCTGAAGTTGCAAGAGTTTACATTGGATCATTTTGGGACCAACCACTCAGATACGACGTTAATAGAAGGTTTGTTTTTTTTTTTTCATTTCATACTAAATCGACATTTTTTTTTGTGCCTGTAATAATTAAATTTAAAATTTTCCAGATTATTTGAAGATGAAGAACAAGATCTTTTTAAAGACATGCAATCACTGCCAAGAAATGCTGCACTTAGAAAATTAAATGATTTGATTAAAAGAGCGCGTTTAGCAAAAGTAATTATAAAAAATCTCATTTTTTTGCTTATATTAAATTTTTTTTTTTATGAAATTAAATTTTAATAAAACAATTTTTTAATTTAAGGTTCATGCCTATATAATAAGTGCCTTAAGAAAAGATATGCCAAGTGTTTTTGGTAAGGATACAAAAAAAAAGGAATTGATAAAAAATCTTGGACAAATTTACGATCAAATACAACGTGAACAACAAATTTCGCCGGGCGATTTTCCTGATTTAAAGAAAATGCAAGAAAATCTTGCACATCATGATTTTACAAAATTCAATCCAATTAAACCAAGACTCTTAGAGGTTGTTGATAAAATGTTGGCTGAAGATATTGCAAAATTAATGGCAATGATTCCACATGAGGAATCTGTATCACAATCGGAACCACTTATTAAGGGTTAGTATTAAAAATATATTTGCCTACTTTATAGAAGCAATTTTTTTTAACTTTGACGATTAAACAAAAAAAACAGGTGGTGCTTTCGAAGGAGTTGAGGATCAAATTAGTCCATTTGGTTATAAAAGAGGCGAGGGAATCGATGCAGGTGCTGGCGAATCAGAATGGATTGTCAATAAAGAGAGATATAAATACGATTCTGTATTTGATTCACTTGGACCTTCCGATGGTAAAATAACAGGCGCAGGTATGTTTTTTTTCAAAAATTAAATTTTTTTCTCTTCACAAAAAAAAAATTGTGAAGAAAATCTTTTGTCTTAAATTTTAGTAAATTAATAATTATTTCAGCTGCCAAATTGGAAATGGTAAAATCAAAACTTCCCAATAGTGTATTGGGAAAAATTTGGAAACTTTCTGATATTGATAAAGATGGATATCTTGATGGAGATGAATTTGCCCTTGCAATGCATTTGATTAATGTTAAATTAGAAGGTTACGATCTCCCATCAGAATTGCCGGAACACTTAATACCACCAACAAAACGCGATTTATGAAATGTAAACATTTTTAAAAATCATTTCTAGGCAATGTACTGAAAGGGAAAAAAAATATTTTTCAATTTTGCAATTCAAAATTGCGATATATTTGATACGTATACACATATATATTAAAAAAAAAGAATATATATATATATATATTAAACTTTTCTATTATTGAAAGCACTAAATTTTCTTTATTAAATTAGTTTAATTTCCAAAAAGAAATTATTTTCAATTTATAATCGTAACTTGTAAATAATCTCATATTTAAAACAAAAAGTGCTTTATTATTTATATTAATAGATATAAGTAAATTGGAAATGATTTAATTTATATGAAAATTACAAATAATTTATTAGTTAATTTTTTTATAGTATAATACAGAATTTCTTTCGTATAAAAATTACACATTAACACACTTTTTTTTTTCAAGTATCTAAAAAAGGTTTTTCATTTTGAGAATTTTAATTTAAAAGCAAATATAAAGATATAGCAATAGTATATATTAATTTTAATCCTTTATATTATATAGATAAAAGAATACACAAATGTTTTCTAAACATGAAAGTATCTACGCATTTACGCATAAAATAGCATAATACTAACACGCACAGTTTCCATAAATTATTAATTTATAACAGTAAAAATAAAGGGCATTTTCTGCATTTTTCTTTTTATTATACGTTTTTTGCTTCCTCGTGAAGGAAGCTTTGTAGTCCTTTCGTTTGTAAAAATTTTCCAATATAATTGTAAATAATTATAAATTATATATTATTTTTCATTAATATTTAGAAATTTCGGTTAAAATATGAATTTTTGATTTTTTAACTTCCATTAATTTTTTAAATTTTACTCCAAATGTATAGGTACTCTAATGTTTATATTATTATATTATTTTTGTATGTTTATTTCAATGTTAATGCTTTCTCCAAGAGGAAGCAAAATGTTCATGTAATGAACATCTGAATTTACAACTTGTTTAATAATTGTTCTTTACTAAAATTTTGTGTTCGTTTTTCCCATCTTTTGTTTTAAATTATATGAAGAAAATAATTAATTTAATTATTTAATTCCAAACAAAATAATTAATTCGAAACAATTAAAAAGAGAGAAAATGCCTTTTAGAAACTGTCATTATATTTATGTTAAAAATTTTGATTTATTGCTTTAAGTGTATATAATACGTAGAAAAAAAGAAATTATGGAACATAAATGTTATTTACTTCATCTTACTATTTACATCGCATATTTAACTGATAATTGAAACATAATTAATTGTAAGAAGAAAGTTTAATATTGCGATGTCATTTACATTTAAAAAAAAATTTATATTTTTAATACGCTTAAATTATAAATTAAAAAATATATATAAATATTTCAAAACAATTTTGTATGTTTAATTTTCTACCTTTTTTGAAAAAAAAAAAAATTTTTTTTACTAATAGAATCACTAGGTGAAAATTCATTCTACACTGATCTATAGATTGATTATAAATTGATCTTGACCTGGATTATAAAATCCTAATTTGAAATAACGTGCCAGTTTTTATAAATTAGTGGAACATAAATTTTTCTTAAAACATTCTTTTTAAATAATTAAAAAAAAAACAAATTTTAGATTTCTAGTAAACAAAAAATATAAATTTAAATCTATAATAAAATAAATAGAGATAAAAATTAATTTTTATCAAAAGAAAAAATTATTTCTTTTATAGTATATAATAATAATGAGGCCAATGGATGTTTTCTATCAGATTGCGCCTGCGAAATGAAAACCAATATTGCGCAGTGGTCAGTCTAAAAGTCTGACCAATATTTCTCGCAAATTCTAAATAAATATTATAAAAATTTATTTACAAAGTTGATGAAAAAATAATTAATTTCCAAACAAGCGAAAAAAAAAATGTAAATTTTAATAAATATTGAAATAATAAATTACAGTATTTTCGCTTGATTTTGAAAAAAAAAATCTAACAAAAAATAATAAATTTATAATGTTAATTTAATACTGTATATAATTATAAATAATGTGTGTGAATATAAAAAAAAATTTTGAAAATTATTTTTAAAATTTCAATTATTTCGGTAAGTTATTTTCTAATTTAGTATTTTATTATTTATTTTCATGTTTTTCGTTAAAAATTACAAACATTTAAATAATATAAATTATAATTTCATTATATTTTAATCTTTAAATATTAAAATAATAATATAAATAATATTTTTTTTTTCTTTGTAATATTGTTGTTGTAAAATAATTTAATATTTCCCTTAAATAATACAAATTTTCCGTTAAAATAATGTATTAGAAAAAAATCAAATTGGGCAATAATAATTCTTCCTAATATTTAACTATAAAAAGAAGAAAGTCAGAGAAAAGGGGGAGGGAAGATCGAATCGGCGGGAAAAAGAATGAAAAATTTAGAAACATAATTATTCAATAATTTAATAATTATTTAGTAATAAATTCACAATTATTCAACAAAAATAGAATTCAAAAATAATAAAGATCCATTTTTCAATGTAATATATTGAACTTTATTTAAAAAAAAAAGAATGTTTGCAATTTTCCTGTTTTAAAAATAATTTGAGAAAGTCATAATGAATAAAATTAAAATATTTCGATATATTTTTCGGTGATTATGCAAGATCACATATTATCATCTCTTAGAGTTGAACATGTGTCCGATAACTTTCACTTTTTTTTTTAAATTGCAATCACTTGGACAGTGTATAAAAAATATTTTCAATATTTCAAAAATTGTAGTGCGCGCGCGAAAAGACTAAAAAAAAAACAAACAAACAAAGCTTATATTAAATAATAATTAATGATATTCTAAAAAAAGGTATAATAATAAAATCATTATGAATGGCAATCCAAGTTTCGATGGTTTTGATATTGAAAAAATTGCAAGCGCCTCAAATTTATCATCATCTGTAAATCAACAAAGTCAAGGTGTTGCGGCACTATTAGTGATGTTGGCTGTTTTATTATTTATTTTTGCCTATTGTTGTTGGGGTGCACCATTTTGTCGTAATCTTTGTAAAAAATATTGTTGCTGTCAATTGGAGGATCCCGATACAGTTGATGTTAGTCAATATAGTGTGAGCAATAATGATGAACGATCACGAATTGTTGCAACGCCAACAATTATACTTTTGCCACATGGAAGAATGCTTGTTGTTGATAGTAATGTTTTTAATCAATTTCAAGCTGACAATACAGGTAAGTTAAATTACATAAATGACGAGAAATTAATTTTTAATAATTTAATTTCATTTATTTTAATTATTTAATTATAATTATTAATTTTAATTATTTAATTATAATTATTAATTTTAATTATAATTATTTTAATTAATATTTATTTTAATTTAAATAATTTTATAGTAATTAATTAAATTACTGTGTATTAATAATATTTTTATGTATAGGATTGGATTTAGTTGAATTAAGCGAACATGCTATTCAAAATCAAATGATGATGATGAATAACAATAATCCAAGAATTATAAATCGTCATCAATTGCAAAGTAGTCATGGAAGTATTTTAACAACAGATGAATCGCCAAGTAAAGATAGTTCAGACAATAGATTTCCACCACCGACTTATGAAAGTATTTATGGTGAAAAAGAAGATGGATCTGTTCCTCCTTCATATTCCGATATTCTACTTCATAGGTAAATTATTTAATTTTTTTTTTTTTAAACTATTTCATTATTTATAAATTAATTTATTTTTTTTTAGATTTGCCACCTTGCCTTATGATATAAATGTCATTGAAAATTACAATGAAAGTAAAGAAGAACTTGAAATGCAATCATTGGAAAGTGAAAGCTGTCATCATATTATACAAAATCCAATAAATAATTTCTATTCAATGGCTAATAATTATTCAAGTCAAAGTATTGCTTGCGCAACAAGAAATTCGCCAAATTTCGATGGATATTTTTTAAATAGTCAATTGTCACATAATAATTATCAAGAAAATAGTTATAGTAGTTTAAATATTAATAATATTACATTAAATTCAATGGAAGAATTAGAAAATACAACAACAAATAATGAAGAAAACAATTTTCAAAATAGAGTCGAAAATACAAGAAATATTGCACGAGATAATCATGAATCGAATTTTAATTTAGAATTTCAAAATTCAGATAATAATATCGACTCAACAATTGATTCTGAAGAGTCAAGGGATTTTCAACTATTACCTGATATTCGAGAAAGTCGAGTTTAAGTATTATGTAAATAAATAATAGATTTCGGAAAAAAAAAAAACAATTTAAAATATTAATAGGCAATTTTCCTTTTTTCAAGTTTCAAAAAAAAGGTCTCATTCCGTCCATCTAACACAAGGGGGCCTTAACAAAAAAAAATTATTTGGCAAAAATTCTAAAAAAAGATTAAAAAATGTATTTACCTTTAGCTTTTTTTTTTAGCTAAATATTATAAACAAAATAAAATTGTTTATAAATTTTTATTCTTAATGAATGTATAAAAAAACAATAATAAAATATTTCTTTTTCTTATTTTTGTAAATTTACTCGTCACTATCGCTGTTTCCTTTAATTGGTGTCTTTTTATCCCAATCCTTTAATGATGCTCCCATTACAAAATCATCCCTTAAGACTTTCCAAACATTTTTTTCCTACAAAGAAAAAAAAGAGACAAAATTTATATATTCTTCATTGTGTAGTTATTACAAAGTTTTATCATCCCCCCCCCCTATTTTTTACTAAATAGGGGGAAAAATTGATAATATAAAGTAATAAAAAGAGAAATTAGAGGAAAAAAGAAAGGGAACAAACCGATGTTTCATTTTTCTCTGCCGATTCATTTGCACATTTATCAACTTGTATACTTTTAGTTCCACCCATAAGTACATCGAGAAATGCTTTTTTATCAATGTCCTTTAAAACTTTTTCACGTTTCCTCTCCAATGGTCCTGCTTTAACTAATTTTTTATCAATATCAACTTGTTGCTGTTTCACTGCATTAAATAATTGTAAAACACCTCTGAAAGTTGAATAATAATTTTATAAATAAAAATAAAAATAATTATATATATTCTTTTCATTATATTTGTCGTATAGATTTAGTTTTAGAAAATAATAAAATTTTTACCACCAAAATCAAAACAATAAATATAAAATTATAAAAAAAACAAAATTAAAACACTAAATTATTTATAGAAAAAAATTTTTTTTTTACTTGGTTGCAATTTTTTGTAGTATCCTTTCTCTTTCACGATCCAAAATTGATGGTTTTATTCTAATTCCTGATTTTAATGTTTTTTTGATACGTTTCTTTTCGTCGGTTTCTTTTTCAGTTTCCTTAACAATTGGTGTTTCATTTGCATTATCAATTTCAAAGGAAATTTTCTCTTTTGTTTCTTTTAATTCATTATTACAATGTTTCTTTGCTTTTGACAGTACAATAGATTTTTTTCTCTTTGGTTTTTTATTACTTAAAACTTTTCGCATCGCATCTGCCCAACCAGGATTTTGTTTACTTTTATCATTTTTATCTTCTAATTCTTCTTCTTCTTCTTCTTCTTCTTCTTTTGATGTTAATTTATCATTTTCCGTCTCACTTTCCATTTCATTCTCACTATGTCTAGATTCACTATCGGTTCCTGATTCATTTTCACTTATTTCGTCTAGAAAATTTATTAATTTCAGTATTATTAAATTTATTTACTATTAATTTATTTTTAATTGTTTTTAATTATTAATATTAATTAATTATTTGATTTTAATTTAATAAACGTATTTTTGAGTAATGAAAACGAAAAGTACAAAAACATAACCTCAAAAACATTTTTTTTTTTCAATATTCTAATTGAATTTTATCATTAGGATAATTAAATAATTGTAAAAAGAAGAAGATATTAGTTGTAATTTTATAGAAAATGTGTAAATAAATAAAGTTTTTCAAGTAACGAATTTACACGTGCTTCTTGGAAACAATCCGTAGTAGTATGTCGTATTTTTTTAAGTAAATACATATTTATGAAATTGAATTATATTATATTGAATTTGAATATAATTATAATATTATATTATAGTATATTAAAATATATTTTTCAAATAATAATAAAAATAGTTTTTTTTTATAAATATTTAAAAATTCCAAATACTTACTTAAACGATTCTCAGTAGACATCTCGATAATCATTTTTCTGGAAAAATTTAATATTTTCTTTTTGTCGTTACTCACAGACACGGCTTATGAGTATTTAATTAAACAAATTTAATTCTCTTAAAAACAAATTGGAAAAAACGATTAAAATACGCACCCGGGTGGAAAAAATATATAAATAATAAATTAGGTTATGGTTGTTTTTTTTGTAGTCCTCACGAAGTAAGAATAAGGAGTCTTCACTCCATGCGTGGATTGAAGGAAAAATGTTCCCAAATCTGGTACAAGCATTCCGGAAAATTAGAATAGTCGGAGGTGGCGTTCGTAACGGGAAAAACCTTAAACTATTGATTTCCCTAATTAAAGTCGTCTGCTATTTTTGAAAAGTATATTATAAAATCACATAATTTCATATTTTTGAAAAATTAAGTAATTGAATAAATAGTAAATGTTAAATATGAAATAATATTTGTATTTAAAAAGTCATTTACAAATTAATTAATTTTATTAATTTTAATAAAGTTCTTTAAAAATTCACTAACTTTAAACTTTTTTTTAATACACATTCTTTAACAATCAACTATTGTTTTTTTTGTTTTTACAGTAATCTGTATCTATTTAATTGTAAAAAAGTTTCCATTAAAAATCTATTAAAATTGAATTAATTCAATATAAGAATCTTTCGAATATATGACTTTTCCGAATATCAATTATTTTTAAAATTATTAAAATTCTTTATAAAAGCAAATGTAATAAAAATGTTTTTAATCATATTTAAATAAAATTCAATAATTTAAAACATTTTAAAAACTCTTCAAATTGTCATAAATCACACCTGTTTACAGTGAAATTGCCAATCGTACGAAATATTTTTTTTATTAATAGGTGTTTTTTAAGTAAGAAAAACATATTTTTGGATATTTTTTTCCTTCGTGCAATTTTGCTGAATCTAAAAAAACACATTTTCGAGGTGTGACGTTACTTAAATTCACCTGTAGGAAAATTAGTTTGTCCAAAAAAAATAATATACCATTGGAAAGGTATTATTAAACTACCTTTCGAAATTTCGTCGTACTGTAAAAACAATAATTGATTGTTAAAGAATGTGTATTAAAAAGAAGTTTAAAGTTAGTGAATTTTTAAAGAACTTCATTAAAAATAATAAAATTAATTAATTTGTAAATGACTTTTTAAATACAAATAATATTTCATATTTAACATTTACTATTTATTCAATTACATAATTTTTCAAAAATATGAAATTATGTGATTTTATAATATACTTTTCAAAATAAATAGCAGACGACTTTCATTAGGGAAATCAATAGTTTAAGGTTTTTCCCGTTACGAACGCCACCTCCGACTATTCTAATTTTCCGGAATGCTTGTACCATAGTTGGGGACATTTTTCCTTCAAAGTGAAGACTCCTTATTCTTACTTCGTGGTAGTCCTATATAAGGGTTGGGAATGCGGTTTTCCACTTGCGTATATTACGGTAAAAAATAGCAATTATAGGTAATAAAAAACATGATTGATGTAAATGTACCTTAAGGGTAAGGGAATTTTCTTTGCAAACAAATTGGAAAATACCAAATGTACAATGGAGATTGAAAATTTCTACAAACATGTATAATAACAAAATACTAATAATTATTTAACCTTGACACAATTGGAACTTATGGGTTCCTTTATAGATTTAAATAAGTGCCAGATATGAATAATTATTACAATTCGCGAAAGCCATAAAATATAGAAGAAAAAAAAAAAAAAAAAGATGAGCAATTATGTTGGTGATATTGTAATATGGTATGTTTTTTTCGATTTTTCGTATTATATTTTTATTATAGTTTTTTAGTAAGTTTATAAATGTTTCTAATTTTTCTATTAATTTTATAAAAGGCAATTTTTTTTATTCTATTTTTAATTAAAATTTAAAATAATCAAAATTTAAAAATAATAATTTTCTATTATTGTTTAATAATAAATAATTTCATATTAAATAATAAAGAATTATTTTCAGCATTCTGATACTTCTCTCAGTAAGTTTAATTTATGGATCAACACAAGTAGTCAAATTGTTCTTAGGAACTGGAGAGGAAATTCTCAGCTCATCTTCAAATTATAATTGGATAATTCGTCTTACTTTAAATATATTAGGTTATTGCACAGTATTATTGCCGGGATTTCTTATTCATAAATATGTTAATCACACCAAGTATCTTCAAAGAGAAGGTAATTTAAGGTTATAATTAGTAAATTAATTTTATTTTAACCAAAAAAAAAAAAAAAAATACGATTTAAATTTAAAAATAGTATTAAATTTGCTTTTTCTTTGAAATTTATAGGTAAAAGATGTTTACCAAAATTGTTGCATTCTTGTTTTATTGGTACTGGTCAGTCCGGTGGTCTTTTAGACTCAACGCATTTTACATCGTCAACATATAATAATTCTCATCAACAAACATTTATTCAAGAAATTTTATTACTTTTATATTGTTTTTTGGGACTTCAATTTAGTTATTTGACATGGGGATATTTACAAGAGAAAATCATGACACAAGTAAATACAAAAATATTTATTTAAATTTAATGAAAACTTTGAAATTTTGAATTTAATATTTTAATTTAATAATTGCAATTATTTCATTTTTCCAGGAGTATATAGATGATTATGGCAATAAAAGTCATTTTCGAGATTCACAATTTTTAGTTTTTGTCAATAGAATATTGGCATTTTTAATGTCGGGTCTTTATTTAATGGCTCAAAGACAACCACATCATACAACGCCATTATATAAATATGTATTTTGTTCTTTATCAAATGTTTTAAGTAGTTGGTGTCAATATGAAGCTCTTAAATTCGTCAGTTTTCCATCTCAGGTTAGTGAATTATATTTTAATTAAATTGCTTAAATGCTATTGCAGGCTTCACATTTGTTTCCTATGTTTTTTAAAAGTCCCTCTTTTTCCCCTATTTATTCCTAAAAGTACCTAATTTTTATCAAATTCTTTAAAAATATTTAAAACAATTTTTTAATTTAAAATTCTCTAAAAGTAAATTATTTAAAATTTTGTTAATAATTTTCATTGATTCTAATTTCAAAAAATTTTTTCAATATTTTTTAAAAATTAAATTATTCAAAACTTTTTTTAATTCAAAATTCTCTAAAATTCAATTATTGTTTAAAATTTTGTTAATAATTTTCATTAAATCAAATTATCAAAAATTTCAACCAAAGAACTCAAAAAAATTATATTAACTTTAATCAAGTTCTTCGAAAACTGAATTATTGGAATTATTATTTCAAATTTAAAAATTCTCTAAAGTTCAATTATTGTTTGAAACTTAGAAAAAAAAACCTCCTGCAAATTCAAATTTAAATAAATTAATTAATTTTGTAAATTCTGTAATTTTCGAAAATTTTAATTAAAAATCACATGAAATTCAATTATTTCTAAAATTTGTTTCTAAAATTTTTTAGTAAATTAATTATTTCAAATTTTATCAATTTTTTTCAATAATTGAATTATTTAAAACATTTTTCAATTTAAAATTCTCTAAAATTCAATTATTGTACATAATTTTGTTAATTATTTTCATTAACTTTAAATTACAATAATTTCAATGAATAATCTTGAAAAATTAAATTATTACTAAAAAATTTTAATTTGAAATTTTTCAAAATTTAATTATTTTTAAACATTTTATCAAAAATTCTTTGTTATATTTATTATTTCTTTTAGCTTTAATCAAGGTCTTCGAAAATTGAATTATTTAAATTATTTAAATCGTAAATTTCGTAAATTCTGTAAGTTACGAAAATTTTAATTAATAATCTCATGAAATTCAATTATTTCTAAAATTTGTTTCTAAAATTTTTTCGTAAATTAATTATTTCAAATTTTATCAATTTTTTTTCAATAATTAAATTATTTAAAACATTTTTCAATTTAAAATTCTCTAAAATTCAATTATTGTAAAAAATTTTGTTAATTATTTTCATTAACTTTAAATTACAATAATTTCAATGAAAAATCATGAAAAATTAAATTATTACTAAAAAATTTTAATTGGAAATTTTTCAAAATTTTATTATTTTTAAACATTATATTAAAAATTCTTTGTTTTATTTATTATTTCTTTTAGCTTTAATCAAGGTATTCGAAATTTGAATTATTTAAATTATTTAAATCGTTTCAATTTCAAAATTGTACAAAATTCAATTATTATCTGCAGCTTGTTGAAAAAAAAAACCTTCTGCAATTCAAATTTACGAAAATTTCAATTAAAAATCTCATAAAAATCAATTTTTTCCAAATTTTTTTTTTTTAATTCTTTGGAAAATTAATGATTTCAAAAAATTTTTTCAATATTTTTTAATAATTAAATTATTTAAAACATTTTTTAATTCAAAATTCTCTAAAATTCAATTATTGTTAAAAATTTTGTTAGTAATTTTCATTAAATCAAATTTACAATAATTTCAATTATTTTTAACTTAAATTTTTTTTTCAATTATTTATTTCTAAAAATTAATCCACTTTTTCAAAAAGTCAATTATTTAAAACATTTAATTAAAATTTTTCTAAAATTCCATTACTATTTAAAATATTTGTCGGAATTCTAAATACGAATAATTTTTATAATTTTCTTTAAATCAAATTTACAATAATTTCAATTATTTTTAACTTAAATTTTTTTTCAATTATTTATTTCTAAAAATTATTCCACTTTTTCAAAAAGTCAATTATTTAAAACAATTAAAATTTTTCTAAAATTCTATTACTATTTAAAATATTTGTCGGAATTCTGAATTCGAATAATTTTTATAATTTTCTTTAATAAAAAGTAACTAAATAATTATTTCAAAAATTTGTCCTTGAAATATTAAAAATTTGTCTCCTATTTTAAAATGTATTCTAAATAAAAATTCTTGAAAATATTTCTAAAAAAACATTTTTATTAAGAAATAAATTTCATTTACAGTTCTCTATTTCCTGTAAAATATTTTTTAGAATTACTCTAAAGCCTGTAAATGCTATTAAAAAAAATATATATATATAATGAAAAAAAGTTTTAAAAAAAACCCTCCATTTTTAGGTTTTGGCAAAAGCTTCAAAAATTATACCCGTCATGATAATGGGTAAAATTATTTCACGTAATTCATACGATTATTATGAATACGTGACTGCATTTTTTATTTCAATTGGCATGACAATGTTCATGTTAGGAAGTACTGATCCAAAAACAGGTAAGAAATTCCTATCAAAAAATAAATTAAAATTAAAAGTTTTATAATTTTGAAATTAATAATGTTGATTTTGTGTTATGTATGAAAAAAAAGGCAGAAAATTATAATTAATTTTTTTCGAAACAGTTTTGATTGACTATTTTTTTTTTTTTTTTGCAGATGAAGTAACGACATTTTTTGGTGTTTTACTTCTTGTTGGTTACATGATTCTTGACAGTTTCACAAGTAATTGGCAAAATGCATTATTCAATGAATATGGAATGACAAGTGTACAAATGATGTGTGCAGTTAATATGTTTTCATGTCTTTTAACATCAACATCACTTATTCAACAATCGACTTTAACTTATTCTTTAACATTTATGACCAAGGCAAATATTTAATGAATATTTATTTTAATATTTAATTTATAACATGAAAAAAAATTTAATTTTACATTTTTATAATGGGATTTTTTTTTGATTTTAGCATCCACGATTCATTGTCGATTGTTTATTAATTTCAATTTGCTCAGCTAGTGGACAATTGTATATTTATTATACAATTTCAAAATTCGGTGCTGTTACATTTGTCATTATTATGACAATAAGACAGGTAAAACTAATTATTATTAATTACTATTAATTATTTAATTATTTAATTATATAATCAAAATTATCAATATTTTTCTAGAGTTTAGCAATCCTGATTTCATGTTTAGTCTATCATCATCCAATCACAAGTTTAGGGATTTTTGGAATAATCATTGTTTTCTTCTCTGTTTTTCTTCGTATTTATTGCAAGAGTCGATTACGATTTATCAAAAAGCAAAAAGCAGAAGTGAGTAGTCTAAGATGTTAAATTATAAATTTTATTTTTATTTATAATTTTATTTATTTGAAATTGTTTTCTATTTGTCTTCCTTATCACGAGGGTTTTCTTTATAGTATATAATAGAAATGATTTTAGAAAGCTTAAAAAAGTTTTATGATTTTTTTCCAATAGCATTTTTTTAATTAAAAGAAAAATTTTTAAATATTTTAATATTTGAAAAAAACTTGAACCTTTTTTTAATATCTACTTTACAGAATTATTTTTTTTTACTTCACAAGGGCATTAATATTTTTATTTGTTACTAAAACTACTTTTTACAATTAAAAAATTATAAAATTTCAAAATGGTTTATTTTTTAATTATATATGAAAATTTGCGATTTTAATTACTTTTTTGTTGCGTTTATTAAATATAAGTACAAAATAGTATAAAAATACAATTATATTTTGCGATTACATGATTATTTATTTCGTCTTAAAAAGTGTAATATTATTCGTAGAAAAATTGCAAAAGCTGAATATAATAGTTATATTAAACAGTATATTTTAAAGTATAATATATATATATATATTTGTTATATTTTCAAGCATTTTTTCCATAAATAAAAGAACTAAAAAATAATTTTAAATTTCATAAATTAGTTTTCTTTTAAATACTATAATTTTTAAAGCAGCAAGCGAATTATTTTTGGAAATTTAAATACTAAGGCACTTGGGCTTAAAAAAAAAAAAATTATGATTAGAAAATCATTCATTGTTTTTTAATGCACAACAATTATTAATAAGTCGCTTAAAAGTTATTTTAAGTACAAAAAACGAAATGAAAATTTTTTTTCATTATAGTTAAAACTAAAAAAAAAGCTTTCTCTTTTGTATATTTATGTAGGTATAAAAAATTACATAATTATTTAGAAAATGAAATAAATGAATTTTAATTATAACTTTGTATACACGTTTTATAAATATAAAAATTGTTAATTATTTTATAGGAAAAATTAAAAAGTATTTCTATATTATACCATAGAAAATAGACTTTACCCTTTTTACTTCATAAAAAAAAAAAAAAAAAATAGTTGCAACTGTCGAATGGAAGACACCATTGAGCGGTTTAACTCATTAATTTACATTTGAAAATGAAAAAAATTATTTTTAAATGTCAAATTATTGTATAATTTGAAAATATATAAAATAAAAAGTTAGAATAAAAATTCTAGTTATGCAAAAATTTAAGAATAATAATAATAGACAGTTGTAACTTTTATAAATGCAGGTTATACTATATAATAATAACATTTTGATGAAAAATGAAATAATATCTAACTTATTTGTTATTATAAATGTATATTATAGAAAATGTGTTGAATGCATTTTATATATATATATAAAAAAAAAACTATTTTAGACTTAATATGTACATACGTAGACATTACTTATTATGTATATAAGGTATATATTTAAATTTTTAATGACAATTTTAAAAAAAGCGGTCAAATTTTAATTTGAAAATGCAAAATGTAATGCAATGAAGAAAATGAAATTTTTTTTTTATGAAAAATTGCGCTTCCTTTAGAAAAAAAAAAGATTATTAATTTTAAATGAAAAAATGAATGAGACCTACTTATCAGAAGCAGCAGCATTAATTGGCAATGTTTTTAATTCTTTAACAAGAATTCCATTTTGATTAATTTTAAAATAATTTTTTGTCAATTCTGTGCCATTTGATAGAAACAAAATTGCACTACCATTTTGCATTAAATTTATTGTTTGTGTTTGTTTACCAAATAATGTCATTTTACCATCCTTTGTTATATGAAATGCCGATTGACTTTGAAATGGTGAAATTGGAATTCCACATGGTTCAACAATAACTTTTTCCTTTTGATCTAAATTCAAATTAAAGACAGATTTTGCCTCAGAATTATTAACATTATCATTATTATCATCATTATTTAAAAAACATTTTTCACTAAATGCATTTTCATTTATTTGAGATGTTATTTTCATTTCTTTAATATCTTCTGATTCTGAATTATTTTCATAGTCAATTGTTGGCAAAATTTCTTCTCCTTCCTCTTCGTCTTCTTCTATTTCTTTATGCACAAAATCTTCCTCTTCCTCAAGGGGATTTTCTTCTATTTTCAAAATTTTTTGCTCGTAAGGATTTTCACTTTCTTCTTCTTCTTCTTCTTCGTTATCACAAAAAACATTCACAGAAGAATCATTGAAATCATGTGAATTATCTTCATTTTCTATCTGAAAATTTTAATTTCTTGTTATGTAAACTGTATAAAATGAAAAAAAAAAAAAAAAATAGATTTTTCTTACCTGAACTTCATGAATAACATCAATATCTTGCAAAATTTCTTCTTCATATCCCAAAATTTCTTCGCCAACATTTTCTATTTGATTATCGTATTCATTGTAAATTTCTTCATTTTCATTTGTTTCGTATAAAATTTGAGTATTTGTTTTCATAAATTCCAAATCAGTTTCAATAGTACCATCTAAAATAATTGAATTCTCCTCAACTTCATTACAATTATCAATTGGCTGATTAATTCTATCAAATAAATGATGCCTAGAATTAAATGATTCATTTTCATTGTCTTCAGTCTCAAGAAAATCAGTCTTACAAACACGTGATTCAACATTATTATCGATATCGTCTGTAATTTGAAAATTATTTAATTTCTCCTCTTTATTTATAATATGAGCGATATTCTCTGACATCCAAACAGTTCCATCATCATTGCTCGTAAATTGATGATGATGATAATTTTCATTAACATTTTCTTCAATATCACAGTTTGATTCATCATATTCGGGTAAAATTGATTCAGGCGCTGTTATATTCTCATCAATTATTGGAATTTCAATAATTGTTGGCTTTTTCTTACGGCTAGTGCGAACTTTTTGAAAATCTTCCTCAGATAAATGAAGTAATTCACCCGATGTTGTTAAAACTTTACCGTGACGTGTTTTTAAATGACGTTTATATGTATTACGTGTTTTAAATCTGAAAAAGAAATTTTTTTATTAGAGATGAAAAAAGAAATTTTAATATTAATAGGCTTCATAGCGATTCTAAATACATTTTAAAATTGGAGAAAATTTTTTTAAGATTTCAAGGACAAATTTTTGAAATAATTATTTAGTTACTTTTTATTAAAGAAAATTATAAAAATTATTCGTATTCAGAATTCCGGCAAATATTTTAAATAGTAATGGAATTTTAGAAAAATTTTAATTGTTTTAAATAATTGACTTTTTGAAAAAGTGGAATAATTTTTAGAAATAAATAATTCGAAAAAAAAATTTAATTTGAAAATAATTGAAATTATTGTAAATTTGATTTAATGAAAATTATTAACAAAATTTTAAACAATAATTGAATTTTAGAGAATTTTGAATTAAAAAATGTTTTGAATAATTTAATTATTAAAAAATATTGAAAAAATTTTTTGAAATCATTAATTTTCCAAAGAATTAAAAAAAAAAATTTTAGAAATAATTGAATTTTATGAGATTTTTAATTGAAATTTTCGTAAATTTGAATTGCAGAAGGTTTTTTTTTTCAACAAGCTTCAGATAATAATTGAATTTTGTACAATTTTGAAATTGAAATGATTTAAATAATTTAAATAATTCAATTTTCGAAGACCTTGATTAAAGCTAAATGAAATAATAAATATATAACAAAGAATTTTTGATAAAATGTTTAAAAATAATTAAATTTTTCAAAATTTCCAATTAAAATTTTTTAGTAATAATTCAATTTTTCAAAATTTTTCATTGAAATTATTGTAATTTAAAGTTAATGAAAATAATTAACAAAATTTTTTACAATAATTGAATTTTAGAGAATTTTAAATTGAAAAATGTTTTAAATAATTTAATTATTGAAAAAAAATTGATAAAATTTGAAATAATTAATTTAAGAAAAAATTTTAGAAACAAATTTTAGAAATAATTGAATTTCATGAGATTATTAATTAAAATTTTCGTAAATTACAGAGTTTACAAAATTAATTAATTTATTTAAATTTTTAATATGCAGAAGGTTTTTTTTTCTAATCTTCAAACAATAATTGAACTTTAAAGAATTTTTAAATTTGAAAAAATAATTCCAATAATTCAGTTTTCGAAGAACTTGATTAAAATTAATAGAATTTTTTTGAGTTCTTTTGTTGAAATTTTTGATAATTTTATTTAATGAAAATTATTAATAAAATTTTAAACAATAATTGAATTTTAGAGAATTTTGAATTAAAAAATGTTTTGAATAATTTAATTATCAAAAAATATTGAAAAAATTTTTTGAAATTATTAATTTTCCAAAGAATTAAAAAGAAAATTTTTAGAAATAATTAAATTTTATGAGATTTTTAATTGAAATTTTCGTAAATTTGAATTGCAGAAGGTTTTTTTTTTTCAACATGCTTCAGATAATAATTGAATATTGTACAATTTTGAAATTGAAATGATTTAAATAATTTAAATAATTCAATTTTCGAATACCTTGATTAAAGATAAAAGAAATAATAAATATAACAAAGAATTTTTGATAAAATGTTTAAAAATAATTAAATTTTGAAAATTTTTTTAGTAATAATTTAATTTTTCAAATTTTTTAATTGAAATAATTGTAATTTAAAGTTAATGAAAATAATTAACAAAATTTTTTACAATAATTGAATTTTCGTGAATTTTAAATTGAAAAATGTTTTAAATAATTTAATTATTGAAAAAAAAAATTGATAAAATTTGAAATAATTAATTTACCAAAAAATATTAGAAACAAATTTTAGAAATAATTTAATTTCATGAGTTTTTTAATTAAAATTTTCGTAAATTACATAATTTACGAAATTTATTTAATTTATTTAAATTTTGGTAGAAAATGAATATATTTTAAAAAAGTATTCTCATAAAAATCAAAGATTTATACTAATTTTTTTTTTTTTTGTGAAAAATAGAAGAAATTTAGGGATAACTTTTTCAAATAGGGTATTTTTAGGAACAAATAGGAGAAAAAGGAGACGACTATGAAATCTGTTATGAAAATAATTTTCCCATACCTCTGAGGACAATCTGGACAACCAAATGGTGCTTCGCCAGTATGTCTTCTTCTGTGTTCACGAAAATGTGATGGATGTCGAAATTTTTTTCCACAATCAGCGCACGTGAATCGCGTTTGATTTTGATGTATTAACATGTGATATTTCAAGCTATGTCGTCTTGTAAAAACTGATCGGCAAATTCGACATTCATATGGTTTAATTCCCGCATGACTACGATAATGTGAAACAAGTGTTGTTGGCGCTGTAAATGTTCTCGGTGGATCACAAATGCGACATTGAAGATTATTTCCACTTGGATTGCCCTTCTTTTTAATACGATCCATTAAAAGTAGTGCCATTTCTTTTTCCTCGCGGCTTGTACCAATAAATTTTGCTTTTCCTTTTGGTTTCGCAGGTACAGGACTTTCCATATTTCTTGCATAAACCTCTTCCGTTTGAACTGGTTCTAAAAAAATGAATTAGAAAAATAAAAAAAAAAAGAAAGGAATTAAAAGTATTTTTAAATTAAGAATTTAAACAAACCTGGCAGGTAAATTGGTTCCTGATTTAAATCGTCTCTTTTTTCTGACAAGTAGGGAACTTCTTTCATGTGAACACCGTCGCTTTGCACCACCATTAACATGATCTAAAAATAAAAGCACCAGATGTTACATAATCGAAATAAGAATCAAGATAAATTTAAGATGCACCTAAATACATTTGTTTTTCTTTTTTCATTTAATGTCAATAAATTATTTTTGTTAATAAAATTCGACAAAATAAATAAACATAAATTTTTATTATTATTATTATTAAAGAAAATATTTCTAAAAAAGTATTTTTCATTTTAAATTAAAAAAAATTTTTACATTTTCATTGCCAGTTTTAGGAACAATTTCATTACTATCATTTTCAATGTCAGGTAATTCGTTATCTTTCGTTGATTCATAATAACTGTGATCATCCAAAACTTTTGCATCTATTTCATTACTATCATCATTATCATTTTCCGTTAAAACATTCATATCAATACTATTTTCCTCAGTTGGAGATTTTAATTCATTTGTAAGAATTTTTCGTAAATAATTTGTTGGTTTTTCTATTTTTATATCTTTATTTTCTTTATTTAAAATTTCTTGGGGTTTCTTGATTCGTGGCACTTTTGTTTTTTTATTTTGTAATTTTGTTTTCATTTTTTTCCCCGTATTTACTGTAAATGTTGTGTCTGTAAAAAAAAATAATTTTTTTATTTACATGTAAAATAATTTATTACTAAATAAATTAAATATAGTTATTTTTTCTTACAAGTTTCATTATTTGATTTTAAATATTCCAAATGATCTTCCAAATGTGCTTTTATAGACATTCTTGCCTTACTCTCACTGGCAAAACTCGTATATTTTTGTTCACAATCAGGCATTAATGTGCAAACATATGAATATTGCCTTTTTAATTCATCGCTTGTGAATATTGAAAATTGTTTAATCAATTGTGTCATTGGCATTGAAATTAATTGAACGAGAGAATATGTTAAATCCTGATTTTTTCGTTTTAAACATTCTGATTTTATTTTGCTTTTATTCACAACTGACTTTTCACTTTGTTCTTTTTCTGAATGAAGTGTTTGCGATGCGACTTCAGCTAACATATCCAATAAAGCCGCTGGACTATCTCTTCCAACATTTTCTATAATTGAAAATAAAATAAATTTAAAAAAAAAAAATTAATTCACATTGATTTTAAAATATTTCTCAAAAATTAATTAAATAGAAAATATTTCTAAAAGGAAGAAAAATTATTTTTTCTTTACACAAAAAAATAAAAATTTTATTATTAAAAAAATTCTAATTTAGAAGAGATAATTTTTTTTTAAATTCTCGTTTCTTTTATTAAAAAAAAAAAATCCTTGACTTTTTTTTTTACCTTGACCTATAGTAACCCCAATTATTCAAACAATATACAATCGAAAATTAATCACCAATTTAATATTATAATATCATTTCCCCCAAAAAATTGATATTTTTTTTTTTTTTTAATCAAATTAAATTTCTGTCCTGATTGAAAAAGATTAAAAAATTAATTTCTTGTCATCATAATATAATAAAGATGCTTTTATAACGCTCAGGCATCTTGAAAAAATAAAATTTCATATTTTCCTAATAAACAAATAAAAAGTAATCATTTTCAAAATAATCATATATCCTTTAATTGATATTAAATTTAATTAAATTCATTAAATCATATAGATTTCAAGTTTTTGGCAGCGTCAAACTAGCAGACGCCATGAAGACGCACACAAGCAGACGGAATTTCGAAAAAAAAGAGATGTGTTTTGACATTTCGGCAACCTAATGTTTGCGGTTAAACGAAATTAAATTAATAATAGACAAAATATATTTATTACCTCCATCGTAAAAATTTTGAACGCTTTTTAAACCTTTTTTCGAATTCATTTTAACGTTGATATAATAAAAATTCTCTTTATTATATTTATCGTTACACAAAGTGTTTCACTTTCTAACAACATCCATCTTTACTTGATATTTGACAGACCGGAACTGTGGGTATAATGTTGGGCGTATTTTCATGAGACAACAATTTTATTGGCGGCAATATAGAATGTGAGATAGAAAAAAACATGAATATATAACTATCCTTTTTTTCATTGGTAAAAAAACACCTTTATGTTTGATATTTTGTGAAAGCACCTTAACGATTCACATAATGGATCATCAATTTAACATAACCACGAAGTTTCAAGCCCTGATCTCTATAATGTATATAGAGATCAGTGTAAATAAATATTTTGACAGTTTTGAAAAAAAATTTGTCTCTCTTTAATCGATTGTCTTTAAATAAAGATAAAATTCTTTTATTAAAGGTAAGTCATTTGAAGTTATTTTGCTGACATAATTTTAATCTAGTAATTTCTTAATTCTCTTAGATGGTGCATTTTTAATTTTGTTGTAAATATTTCTAAATAACTAATAAAGGAAATAAATTTTATTTAAAACGAATTAAGTTCAAAAAAAAAAAAAAAAAAATGAATCCATCAGTTATAAATTGGGAAGCAGAGCATCGTCAAACTCTTCTTCAAAGTAGATCAGCTCTTGAAAGATCAAATCAATCGGTTGTAAGATCACAAGCAGTTGCTCGTGAATCAGAACAAATTGGTACAGAAGTAATAACAGAATTAGGTGGACAACGTGAATCACTTCTTCGCGCTAAAGAACGTCTTTCGCAAACCGATCAAGATCTTGATAGAACAAAAAAAATTATGCGCACTATGAAAAGACGAGTTTTACAAAATAAATTTGTTTTAATAATAATTATCATCTTGGAAATTACAATTTTAGGAATTATAATTTATATGCGATTTTTTAAAAAATAAATCTTAATTCAAATTTGAAATTTATTTTTTAAGATTTGTTATTGTATAATATAAATAAAATTTAAATAAATAAATAGAAATTACAAAGGGATAATTTTTTTTTAATACCAATGGTAAATTTAAAAAAAATTTATTACAATACTAGCGATGTATTTCTCGCTCGCTCGGTTATAGTTGTACTTATTGTTGTTTACTTATTGTAGTTTATGTATATTATATATATATAATTTATGTTTTAAATTTTACATATAATAATCGTGAATATCTTTCGTTCATTCTGTCCACACCTGAAGTTAGTATTTGTTATAGGTCTTTTGTTTTTTTTAAATGTATTGTTTGACATTATTTTGTGTTGGTTAAAATTTTTCAATGTTTTTTTGGCATTGTTTCGATAATTAATTTTGAATAGAAATTTAAAAAAATAATTCAATTTTATTTTATTTTAAATTGAAAACTTGGTAAATAATTGAATTTTAAATTGAAAATTTGAAAATAATTTAATTTTAGTTGATTGTTTATTGAAAATTTGAAAATAATTAATTTTAGTTGATTGCTGATTGAAAATTTTGATAATAATTAATTTTGACTCGAAATTTTGGAAAATAATAAAATTTTAATTGAAATTTTGGATAATAATTTAATTTAAGTTCATTTTTAATTGAAAATTTCGATAATTAATTTTGAATAGAAATTTTAAAAAATAATTCAATTTTATTTTATTTTAAATTGAAAACTTGGTAAATAATTGAATTTTAAATTGAAAATTTTGAAAATAATTAAATCTTAGTTGATTGAAAATTTTGATAATAATTAATTTTGACTCGAAATTTTGAAAAATAATAAAATTTTAATTGAAATTTTGGATAATAATTTAATTTAAGTTGATTTTGGATTGAAATTTCGCGTAATAATTGAATTTTAATTGAAATTTTGGATAATAATTTAATTTAAGTTCATTTTTAATTGAAAATTTCGATAATTAATTTTGAATAAAAATTTCGGGTAATATTTGAATTTTATTTAATTTTAAATTGAAAACTTGGTAAATAATTGAATTTTAAATTGAAAATTTTGAAAATAATTTAATCTTAGTTGATTGAAAGTTTTGATAATAATTAATTTTAGTTGATTGTTAATTGAAAATTTTGATAATAATTAATTTTGACTCGAAATTTTGGAAAATAATTGAATTTTAATTGAAATTTTGGATAATAATTTAATTTAAGTTGATTTTGGATTAAAATTTCGGGTAATAATTGAATTTTAATTGAAATTTTGGATAATAATTTAATTTAAGTTCATTTTTAATTGAAAATTTCGATAATTAATTTTGAATAAAAATTTCGGGTAATATTTGAATTTTATTTAATTTTAAATTGAAAACTTGCTAAATAATTGAATTTTAAATTGAAAATTTTGAAAATAATTTAATCTTAGTTGATTGAAAATTTTGATAATAATTAATTTTAGTTGATTGTTGATTGAAAATTTTGATAATAATTAATTTTGACTCGAAATTTTGGAAAATAATTAAATTTTAATTGAAATTTTGGATAATAATTTAATTTAAGTTGATGTTGAATTAAAATTTCGATAATTAATTTTGAATAGAAATTTTAAAAAATAATTGAATTTTATTTTATTTTAAATTGAAAACTTGGTAAATAATTGAATTTTAAATTGAAAATTTTGAAAATAATTTAATCTTAGTTGATTGAAAATTTTGATAATAATTAATTTTGACTCGAAATTTTGGAAAATAATTGAATTTTAATTGAAATTTTGGATAATAATTTAATTTAAGTTGATGTTGAATTAAAATTTCGGGTAATATTTGAATTTTATTTAATTTTAAATTGAAAACTTGGTAAATAATTGAATTTTAAATTGAAAATTTGGAAAATAATTCAATTTTATATATAATAATTTAATAACATATAATAATAATTTTCATTATTATCATTTAATATGAAATAATATTCTAATAAATTTAAATTATTATTGATAATATTAATCTTTAATTTCTTTATAACAAACAATTAAATACTCAATTTGGCGCGCTTGCGCGCGTTTAATATTGCTAGTATATTATTAATATTGTATAAAATTCATCTTAATTTTGATCATTATCATTGAAGGATGAAATGACAATTGTTAAATATTAGAGTAATTTTGTAAGGTATATATCCAAAAATTCGTAAAAAACTGCATAAAATTGCAAAATAACCCTTTTTTGGGATGAAAATGCAAAATAAAAATATAATAAAATTTTCGGGTTAAAAGTAAAAAAACATGCTACAAAAAAAAGTATGTAAGATTTTCTAAAAGCATATGGCAAAGTATTTTGATTTATTTGAAAATAAGTGAAAATAGATTTTCCAAGGACGGTGTCGAGGTCACGGTGTAGCTTTTGGAAATTTGTTTTTAACTTAATATTTATTACAATATGTTAATTTTCAACTATACAATTAGCTATTAATATAAAAAGCGTACATTCTTTTAAATACTTCAGGATTATAACCCTCCAATTGTGATGTTCCATTGGTATAATCAATTTCATCGAATAATTTTATTCTCTTCGAAGACCACCAATAATTTTTTAAACCTTCTGTTCCATTAAGATTCAATGTATTTAATTGATATGTTGAAAAATGAAAATTTTCACCATCTGTTTCAATACATTGAATTGAAATTGGTTCCGGAAGATCTTTTATTTTATCACCAAATCTTTTTTGTGCACAACTTGCTGCCGCTGTAAATGCTTTTAACATATTTCGTGCAAGAATTTGTGTTTCTTCAACTGGAAATTCTGTTAGATTTTTCACAACAACTGGATCGTGATGAATTAAAATTGTATGAACATGTGGTTTTGAATGATTAAAATCAATTGCTAAATAAAGAAAAAGAAAATAATTAAATTAATTAAAAAAAAAAAAAAGATAATAATTTAAAAAACTAAAAATTATCTTACGGTAAAAATTTTTTTCCTCATAAATATTAGTTTTTCTCAAACTAATAGTATGATGCAATGGATGTAAATTTGGTAATTCTTCATCTATATTATTTTCTAGAAATGGTTTCAAAGGCAATATGGATGTCATCATTAAATCCATATTTAGAGAAAATTGAATTAAATCAAGATCTTTTTCTATAATTTACAATAAAATAGATTAATGACACAATTTAATGAAAAATTAATTATTATATTAATTTAATATTTTTTTTACCAATAGAAAGGGCAACGATTCCATTATCAATAACACTTCGCTGATAACCAATTTCGGCTCCATTGATAGATTCACAAAGTTGCAATAATTTATGCAATAAATTGAAACTAAAAAAAAATTTAATAAAATTAGTATTTTAAAAAACAAGATTAAATAATTATTAAAAATTGAGAATATATTTACGATTTTCTATAACTTGTTATTCCCAATGATCGAGGGAAATTCCACGCAGGTCGTTCGGGATCTTTTAATTTTGGTAAAACTTGTTGATAGGCATCAAATAAATTTGAATTTAAAATAGATCTAAAATTACGAATATAATTTTTTTAAATTAATTTTTAAATTAATTTTAAATATTTTTCAATTAATTTTTAAATAAATTTTAAATATTTTGCAATTTATTTTTAAATAAATTTTAAATATTTTTCAATTTATTTTTAAATAAATTTTAAATATTTATTTAAATTAATTTTTAAATAAATTTTAAAATAACAAATTTTTTTTTTTTTTGCAAATTACCTTAAAACAAGATTATGAACATTTTCCGGACACTGATTAAAGAGATTTTCAATTCTTTTGGGAAATTCATCTTCAAAAAGAATTGTTTTTGCCAATACTTTTGCCTGAGTAACACCTTCAATTAAAAGATCATTATCTTCATACATAAAACATGGAGAATCATGCCAATTAATATGAGTTTCGTCATTTTTCTCCTCAACACCTCGAAGTGGTAAAGGCAATGTAATTCTGCAAGTTTACAAGAAGAAAAATAATAGAAAATAAACAAATCTTTTTTTTTTTTTTGAAATATTCTATATACCTTTCGAAGGGTGTTTTAGTATACATAAATTCCTTAGGATCGACAATTTTTATTCCTCTTGCTTTAAGAAATTTTTCTGCTCCATCTTCGATAATTGTTCGATTTCTTTGTCTATACCAATGTGATCTAATAAATCTTCCCATGTGTTGTTTACATAAAATTTTTGTTAACCTCATTGTTGTTTTATAACAAGGAAATTAATTTAAAAATTTTAAATCTTATCAGACAGTGGATTATTTATTTTAATATTTAACTAAATTCGATGAAACCTACAAATAAATTTAAATATTTTCAAAATATAACATGTTCGCTATAAATTTGTTTGCGAACAAGTATTTTTACTAAAAAAAAAACACATGTTCGCCTTTAGGCATGTTTCATACAGGCGAGACAATTTCAATCTCTGAAATGTGACACGTCCTCTTGGAAAACTTAGGCTGTGTTTACATGAAAACAAGTAAACACCCCCTGTCACATTTCGGAGTTTCGGGTACAAAGCATAAACTAAAAAAAATACATAGATTATTTTTTATAACCTATTCATACGTTCGCGAAATATTTCTCTACATTCTGCTAGTCATTTTCTGCAAGAATAAGAAAAACAATAATAATATACATAAAAAAATTACCAAATTCGGAAAAAAAATTTCCACAATAAAGGGAAGAAAAGCAAGGGGGGAGGGGGGAAATATGCACATCATTGTTACAAAGTTCAATTTTTGATTTAAAAATAAATATCTCATAAATGTCAAAATTTGTTTCACGTAGTCACGTGATGAACATATTTTTGCAGCGCCATCTTATATTCTTTTGATTATTTTTAAAGTGTCATAGAAAAAACGAATGCCGGTTGTTTAAAGTAGTTGTATATGTGTGTGTGTGTGTGTTGTTATATATTCATTTATCTCTTTTTATTCTTTTGAAAAAGTGCGTGGTTTTTTGCGAGAGAAAAAGAATCAAATCAGTCATTTTAATAAATTTTATCCAATCAAACGAATACAATTATTTTCTTTTTTTTATCATATAATTTCAAATAAATTGAATCGTGAGACATACACGAGGCAATTTTATATTTTTCAAATAGTTAAATATTAATATATTTCCCCTTGTACTATATATATATAGAGAGAGAGATTTTTTTCAAGATATATATATATATATATTTAGGTATATTAAATGCGATTAGAATTCTTGGGTGAAACTTTATTGTATATATATATATACACATGTATTTTTTCATTCTCAACGTGTGCGTGAATTGTTTAAAGTGATATATAAATATGGCGCTTAAACATGACATGAAGATTGAAGAAAAATACACATTTTGAGGTTAGTTTTTTCACATAATATTTTATTTTTTTCTGGCGATTACATTGCAAAAAAAAAGTTTTTCTCATTTATAAAAATAATTATTATTTTCAAAGGAAATATAAATCAATGTTTGTGTGGAATATTATTTTTTTTTTATCTATGAATATTTTTTTTTTGTTTAAATATGATTTTATAAAAGAGAAAAAATTTTAGTAATGGAATTTCGTATCTAATAACGAGTTATTGTTAATTTTCGCTTATATATATATATATATACGAGATTTTTGTTCAACGTCCTTGAGGATGGAGAAAATAATAATAATGATTCGAATTTATTTCTATTCTTATTGTTTAAAATTTTTGTCAAATAATTTTACATGTTCTTGACAATTATATTATGATTTGCTGATTTGTATATATGTAATATAAAAGTATAAAGGAAACGATGATTCATTTTTTTTCTTCTTTTTTTTATGTGTAACATATAAAACGTCACGTGGCACTTTGTTGGTAATTTTATGTAAGTAACTACGTAGTTGGCAGTTTTTTTTTTAACGGCAAAATCTATATCTCAAGAAGAGACAATTGCAAATTATTATTATTATTATTATTATTATTATTGAGAAGTTTTGAAATTAAACATACATTATTCCATTTTCGTCAGTTTGAAATTGTTTATGGGAGGGAAAAGAAGAATAGAAAAGAAATCCAGGCTCTGTTGTTATTGCCAAAATCTATAAATAAACAAAGAATTCATCCGTCAAGAGGCTCTTAACCCTCAAAATATATATACTAGAGGTTTTCCCGAAAAATTATTTTTAAATTTATACACAATGAATTTTCTCTATAATATAATTTTATATTTAAAAATACTTGAAATTTAATTTTCCATTTTTGAAAGAAAAAGAAATAATTATGTTATATTTATTGAATTTTCTTTTTTTTAAAGCTTTTTTTCCATACTTTTGAAAATTTTCTTATTATTTTGAACACGTGTTCAACAAAATTTGGTGCAAAATAGATATTTTTGTATCTTAATTTTGTTCTAACTTTCCATACGATTTTTTATAATAATAATTTTCATTTATTATTTATTTTACAAAAGAACAACTTTTATTTCTTTTTATGGCCCATTTAATAAATAAATAAATATTAGAAAATATTTAACATTAGTTTAATAAATTTTTTATAATTTAATATTTTAATTTTTTTTTTTTATTAATATTTGATTATAAGGTAATTAAATACTATATTTAATTTGATATTTATAAATTATATAAATACTTAAAATTAAAATAATAGAATTTAATAATAAATAATTAATTTTTTTAAGTCGACAACAAATTTATTTTATTAAAAATTATTATACAATATTTTAAAGCAAAAAAAAAAATTAAAATAAAATAGGAACCACTTTTTTTTCTACACATTCATTTATAATTTTATAAATAACAGGTGTGTGAAAAAAATTAATAATAATTATAATAATAATAAAGAAAAAATAAAAAATGAACGAAGTAATAAATTGGTAAAAATTATGGAATGGATTTTCACAGTGATTGTACAATTACATACATATAGACACATTCAAGTTTTTTTTTTTTACACATGAATATTTTTTGGGTCAAAAAATATAGCTATATTTATATTTTGATCTCTATTTTAATTCAAAAATAATGTAACGATTTTTTATTTATTTACAAACTTTTCCTCTGATAGATTTTTGAACTATTTTTCCTTTTATTTTTTAATTACTTTTTTTTATTAACTAAAATTTAATTATTTTATACAATTCTCTATTTATTTTTAGAGTTGTTTTTTTTAATTTATTAAGAGAATTTTTTTTTTCAATTTCAATTTTTTCCTTTTTTTGTTTATGCAAATTTTTGAATTAATTAATTTTGCCATTGAAAACAAATTATTTTTTTTTCATTAATAATTAATTTTTTTTTTTGATACTTGAACTTTTTTACTTGACGGTGAAAGTTTGTAAATAAATCAAATTTTTTGTTCATTTCTGGAAGAAAAAAATATATATATATCTCGTTACGTGAATATTTAAACATATATATATATACGGGAAGAACTGATTTTCTTCATATCATCACATGTATGCTGACTAGTTTTTTTGTTTGTTTTTTTAGAGATTTTTATAAATAAATAATTAATTTCATTTAAGAAATTTATTATTATTTTTTGTTTTGTTTTTTTTTTTTTTTTATTTGACTTTTCGCTGTTGTTCGCGTTCTTTAACGTCGATTATTCCAATATTAATGCACGCCACATAACCATGAATTAGAGATAGAATTGTTTTTACAAGTGCCACAGGAGCTGAGAGCAAAAGAATTGCCCTGAACAAACTTATTCCGGCCACTAAAATAAAAATTAATTATTAATTGAAATTAATTTTTCTATGTGTGAAAATTTTTACTAAAAAAAAATTTTAATTTTTTATTTTTACATTTACAAAATAAATAAAATAATTTTCTATTTGTATTTAAAAAAAAAAAAATTTCACAAAAAGCATAATTTAGTTTAACAAAATTTTTATTTAGTCGAATTTAGCCAATTTTTCATTTAACGGAATTATTTTCTCTTTTTTATAATAAAATTTGATTCTATTTTTATTTATTTATTTTTTTTTTTTTTGAGTAACTCACGTATGGGTCCTTCGGTGAAATGCAAAAGGTACAAAGCAGCATAAAATGCCTCATTTCCTGCGCACATAAAAAACAATACTGTTCGATTTGTGTAGTAAACTCGCATTATTGGATTATCGGACATGTCAATAAATTTGTGACTCGTTTTCCCTTGAAGCAATGATCTGTAAAATTTTCAATTCAAAAAGAATAATTAATCGATTTATATATTATGGAATAAGATTTTAGAGAATTAAAAAAAAATTCTTCTTTTTTTTTTTTTTGCATCTTACGCGTGTAAAAAAATCCAGTGACATGAAATATCGATGGCCATACTTAATTGAAACCAAAATGTATAGGCTGGATAAAAATGACTTAATGTAACTAATAAACACATTGTTCCACAACGATCTGTCAATTGATCCAATATTGCTCCAAATTTTGTACTTTGATTAAAATATCTAGCTGCATGTCCATCGAATGCATCCAATAATGCACTTGTAATATAACACCACGATGCAATAACATGATGTGTTGGCATAAAATAAAATGATATTAGGGCCAATATCACTCTTCCATATCCTAAAAATTAGAAAAAAAAATTATTTTTTTTCTCTCTTTCATAAAAAAAAAAACATTTTATTTAATATAATTTGTTTTAAAATATTCTTCTGGGTTTAATTTTTATTATTTAATTAATGATATTTTTTTTTTAAATGTTATTAATTATTATTATTATTATTATTTTCACCTGACATTGGAGTTACATAAAATGTGATAGAATACTAAATAGAATCAATAGAAGAAGTCTTTCAAATACCGGATACATCTTTATCCGTACGAAAACCATTGTTATATTTTTTATAGAAAGAAATAAAAAAAAAAATTTTATTTAAAATTTTTAATGCAATATAAAATTTTTTATAAATTCTTAACATAAAAAATTAAAATAAAACTTAATTCTAATTAAAAGAAAAGAAAATTAACTAAAAATATATAAAAAAAAATTATACAAACGTTAAAAAATAAATAGAATTAAATTAGAAATATTAGATAAATAATAATTAATAATAAATATTAAATTTTGTAATCAGAGGAAAACTTTCGAAATAATAAATTTGTATTTCACATTAAATGTCGCTAAAAATAAATTTACAATATACATATATATAAAAAAATCAATAAAATTTAAATATAAATAAATCTCATTTATTATTAACATCTATTTCATCTCGGAAAAAAAACGAAATCATCAAATATATTCTGATAAATTATTATCAATGAAAATTTTTTTATATTTCATTAATTATAAATAATAAAATTTCTATAAATATTTTATTTACCAATAATGTTGGGTACAAAGATGAAAATATTTTCTGTTTCCGTCATTTTTCTCGTTTATTCGATTCGCTTCTTCTATATAACTGACACTTTGATGGTGAAACTATATATTATTTATTTTTCGAATTCTTATTTCACGGATTTGTTTGTCTAGAAAGAGAGAGAGAGGGAAAAATTTTTTTTTACTACACTGTTATCTAGTGACACTGTACATGTAATCAGTGCTGTTAATTATTATCTAAGACTTATGCTCACGAATAAATGGAAGAGTGAGAGAAATAACAATTGAAATATCCAGTGTTGCACGCACGCCAGAAACGCAGAAAATAATATTATCCAGAACGTCAATGATTCGAGAATTCTCGAAGAAGAATTTCGAGTTCGATATCTTGTGTTCGATAATATTTTGAAAAAATGGCGCGAAAAAAATGTTTTTTTTTCAATTTCTTTTTATTATTATTTTTATTTTGCATAGGTACTTTCGTAGTAGGGATAATTTTTTAGTCTTTTTTTTCAACATTTTCTTTCTAGCGAAATGAACATTTTTCGCCTTTATTTCCCAGCTCTGCTTTTTTACTTTTTTCAAAAAAACTCGTGAGAAAATCATTCTGAACATAAAATTAGAAATGGAATTTTAAATTTAGCTCTTTATTATTACTAAATTTCTCATTTGATTTAGTATTCATTTGTTCGTTTTTCGTATTTTCCATTTTGAATTTCGCGCCACTGTTTCAATGGCTGACAACCATTAAACTACGAACCTTGTAGCTTTTAAAATATTTTCGAAAAATTCTCTCCTACAATCTTTCAAATTGATAAATATTTTCCCTCAATGAAAATAGATAAAAATATAAAAAATCTACTTGATTTTCATATTAGAATACATGGAAAACTATAGAATAGAAATTAGAATTGCCGGGGGTTCTTGTAAAGAAGCATAACGCTCCTGGAGACCAGACGACATTTTTGGAATCGTAGTGAAGAGGCGGCTCGACATTTGTCTGCGCAAAAGCGTTTCGTGTGTGTCTCGTACAAAAGTAAAAAAAGACGAAAAAAAAACACATACACAGAGAGAAAAAAAAAAACCTCTCCGGGCGCACAGTTTCGCGACAGTTACTTACACACACTATCTATATATCTCTCATGATTTCCCTACTAGCAGAAAAAAGAACCACCCACACAAAAAAACTGTACATAAAAATATCATTGAAAATTCCCGCAACAATCGTCGTCGTCGGTGAATAAACATACATATACACATATATATATATATATCTATAAAACTTGTGTGAGTGTGTAAAAGAAGTGAAGTTTCAATCGCATATAATATCAAAACGGAGATACGTCACTGTTCCGCGAGTGTCTCAAGAAGTTTTGTGTTTTAGTATGTCTGTTCCCCAAATATAGACGAATTATTTGACCCTTGTGCATCTTTTGTGTAGTGGAAGTAAAAAGAAAAAAAAATAATTACATAGACAAAAATGTGTAAATAAGAACCTAAAGTTTCTTGCACTGAAAGTGGGGAGGGGATAAGGAAAAAAATTGAATGTGATAAAAAGTGTTTTATATATTTGAAAAATGTAGAAGTATATAATCATTGTGATTTGACACGTGTTGAATTTCATTCTTGGTCCCCTTTGCGAAAAAATCCCCCAGAGAGTTAGACCCCGGAGAAGGTTAATCTTATACGATCGATAAACTGTCAAGGATATTACATCCATGTTTCATTTGAGAGATTTTCATCAAATCGTAAAAAATAATATTCATTGCATAAAGTGAAGTTTTAGATTAAAAAAGAAATTGGTTTTTTTTTAAAATTTATTAATATTAACTTAAAAAGTTCTTTCTCATGGAGTTTCCCGACAACTTTGAGGATGATGCTGAGGAATCGATTTTTAACTACGCGCGGCCCTGACATCATCATCTTGTGTCTGCTAAATAGAAACATTGTTTTTCGTTTTTAAAAAAAAGAAAAAGTTCATCAAAAAGTAATAGGGGTTTTAATGAAACGATTTTTTGGGAAATAAAATTTATTCCAAGACGAAACATTATTTAGGATTATGATAACGTCGTGTTCGGTCGCCATTTTGAATTCGGTTCCATTTGAAACGTGTGAGTGTGTATATGTGAAAAACTTGTTCTCTTCTCTTCCTTCTCATTTGACGTTATTTTTTTCTCTTCTTCTTCTTCATCACTAGATATTTGAGTATGTGTTAGAAAAAGAAAGAGATGTACAGTGATTCGGAAAATTCTCAAAAAAGTGAAATTCTCGTTGTTATTACTTAAAATAAAAAAGAAGGGAAGTTTTTCTCTTGAATAAAAAGTGTTGAAAGAAAATTCTCGCGAATGTCACGAGGAACGACAAAAAGTCTTTAGTCAAAAAAAAAAAAAAGAAGGTTTTAGGTTAAGGTTCGACGTCTTTCAAAACGTCATTTTTCTAAATCACGAGTGGTGGACGGTGCCATTTTTTTTAATTAAAAGGATTTTCTTTAGAGGGGGAGGGGAAAAAAAAATTATATTTCACATGACTCAACAAAATGACAAACAGTGATTTGTATTATCAAAATTGGGGAGTGTGCAAAAAGAATTATTATCACTTGATGTTGATTGTCAAGGAATCGAGGACGTGGTGAGAAACTTTTATTATTTTTTTTTTTTTTCTCTTGATTTGTGGACAAGTTTTTTTTTATTTGCCCCCAGAGGGTAGGGGGGAAAAAAGTTAATGAGGGGATCGCGAGAATTTCGAATTGATTTTATTAAAAATGTGGACAACAAAAATAATGACTATGAAGATAATGATGTTAATGATGATGTTAATAATGATGATGATGATGATAATAATGGTGTAAGTGGTGGTGGTGGTGGTGTTGATAGTGAACTGTCGATTTCAATCAAAATGGCCCCTGGGCCGGAACATCGTCAGGAACCATTGACAAGTGATACAAATAATAAAAATACGGAAAATCGTGTTGTACAATTGACAAGTGAATCATCATCATCATCGTCGTCGTCTTCATCATCATCGTCATCATCAAATAATGGTGAAACAACAAATAATACTAATAGTGGCGGTGTTGATGTTTTAAATAGTAATTCGAACATCGAACCTGTCGATGGCATTTCGATTCCCCAGTCCATTCCAGTTCATTCCTTGGCTGATAATAAACAGGTGAGGTTAGGTTTTTACTCTGACAATTTTTTTTTTTTTTATTTTATAATAATAAATATATTTATTTATTTATTTGAAATATCAAAGTTCAACACAATAAAAACCAATTATTGTAGGGATAAAATACATATATGACAATTTTTGTTTCTTAACGGAAATTTACGAAGATTTAGAGAAAAATTTTTCCTTTTTTCTTGTTTGAGTTTTTTTATAATTAATTAATAATTAAATATATTTTTTTAAAATTAAATTTATAAGTTTAATAACTATTAAATTAAAATTTAATTATCGATATTAAAGAAGGACAATGTCCGTTAATCAGAAATAATTTATTATTATTATTATTATTAGTTATTATTATTTTCATTTTTAGTAATATGTTTTTATTATTTTAAAAACTATTTTAAATTATTTTCAACGGATCTAATTTTTATTTTTAATTAAAATTTAATTAATTTAATAATTAAAATTTTTTTTATTGACGTAAAATAATAAAAATGATTTTTCTATACTCTTGAAGAAACTTTTTTTTCTTTTTTTTTTTTTTAATTGGAACTTTCTTGATGTTACCCATTTTAATTTTATAAAATGTATTTTCTCGTTTTTTTGAAGTCAATAAAATTTACGATACATGTAATATAAATCTCTTTTTAACGTCATTTACAACAAAGTTATTTACTTTTAGTAAAATTTATCTATCGTATTTCTAATAAAAGAATTTTATGAGAAATATAGAATACAATTTTAAATGAATGTTTAATATATTTATAAAAGTAAAAAACAAAATTTAATTAATATATTTCTATTGTTATTTATTTTAAAAAAATACAAGTTTATATTCTTTATTTTTCTATATAAAATAAATTGATAATAATAAAAATATTTTTTTAGATTAAAATTATTAATAAAAAGGCAATAATAAAAAAAATAAATAATAATAATAATAATATTTTCTATGTACGTGAAAGAAATTTTTCAAATAAATTTCTAATTTACGAAATGAAATAATAAATTTAAAAGTAATTAATAATAATTATATAAAATTTTCTAAATTATATTAAAATTTGTTGTTTAGAATTTTTTTGAGATTTTTTTTTTTATGGATTTGTTGATGGCTCGTTACTGGCGTAGAAATTCTTTCAAGTTAAAGGCATTGCGGTTTAGACTTTCTTGGCATCGAGCCTATTCTTTTCTCTTGTTAAATTCGTTCGAATTTTTACGATTATATATCGTTTTTTTTTTCTTTCTTTACTTCAATTTTTATTTATCCATTATTTGAACTTATTCAATTAACGTTTCATAAACGTTTCAATTTTTCAAAATAAAATTTATTGTGTAAATTTAGACAAAAAAAAAAAAAAAAGTTAATTTTATAGTATTATTATATTAAAAATCATTATATTTGAAATTTTATCTTGTATATTACATTGAAGATTTTAATCTTCATTTAAACGATTCTTCTTTTGTATACATAGTTAAAGAAAAAGATCATTAAGATTACATGTGCTTTTAATATAATGAAATCTTTAAACATTTGTAGTCAAACATCGCGTGCACATTGCTGTATTAACTTTTAATCTTGAAAAAGTCGATAATTGACTATATAGTAACAGACTCCCCCCCCCTCCATTTCTTTTTCTCTTTTCTCTCCCTATATAATATACTAAAATGGATAGAGAAAATAAAAAGAAAAAAACTTATTTTTCTCTTTTATTCTCAACTTTAACGAATTTTTCTTATTCAATATAATAGAACATAATATTGAATAAATATTACCGTCATATAGTGACTTTATCGTTTTTCTTCAAACCACACCCAAAAAAAAAAAAAAAAACAGTTTCTTTGAATGAAATATACATTTTGTAGAAGGCAAAGCTCAAATTTTAACTCTTAATATTGAGAAATAAATTATTAATATATTATTAATAAAAAAAACAACTTAAATCATATAAACATATTTTTGAGGTTATAATAAATCCAACATTATCCAGAACATCCAGAGATGTTTTAAAAAGGCACTGAACGTGTTAAGTTAGGTTAAACCCTATTTAAATTAGGTTTATGGTTTGAGGTTAGGTCAGGTCAGGTTATGTTTAGTTAGAGGTTATGTTAATCATATTATTATTATTATTATTACTATTGTTGTTGAGTATTATTATTATCGATTATAATTATTATTAACAATTAATTAAAAATAAAAAACTGCTGCTGGATATTTTTTAATTATTATCTTTTTTTATTCTTTTAAAGAAAATTTTTTCTAGACAAAATCGTTGCTATATTAAAAACTCTCTCTCTCTCTCGTGAAAATAGTCGTCTGGAGGTTAACCGTTTCTTGAAGAGGGCAGTTTTGCTTTGACAATCGATGCCAATCGTACACGGCTAGGTTATCGATATAAGAATACCTGCGACTGATTTTTTTTTCGTTTTTTTTTCTCTTTTCTTCCTCTTTTTTTATATTATATATATATATATATATATATATATATCTCGATAAATTTTTCCATTTCAATTTCTTCTCGGACAAAATATGATATTGGCAGTAGTATATCTTCACATGATTATTATACATATATATATATATATATATATGCTACCGGTATGTCACTTTTCTCATCTCTCTCTCTCACTCTCTTTCTCTTTTTCTAAGAGAGCGACGTCCTTATTAATTAAATTCACTGGACGTCGATATGTCAAGAATAATATTATACTAATACTATAATCAGCAATAGGCCTCTATAGTAGACTATTTAAATATTGACAAGGTTTATTACGTATATATATGTATATCTCGTTAACTGTTTGATATTGTTCTTTTGGAATTTTAATTAATTTCTCTATGCACAACCGGTTTTTTTTCTTTTGTTAATATATCATAAGTTTTCTATACAATAATAATAATAATAATTTTGCAGCACAAAAAATGAAATCCAATATTATCCTGTGATGATTAGAGTTATTTTAAAACAAAATTAGTTGTAATTTCTGTTTTGTTGATAAGATATTTTTCTTTGGCCTCAAATAGAAACAATTTATTATATAGGTATTGTAGAATATTGGAAAAAAATTTAAAAACCACATTCATTATTATTATTATTATTTTTTATTATTATTACTATTTTTACTATTATTATTATTATTATTATTATTATTAAATTAAATATTTATTTATTTAAAATTTTTGTTTCTTTTTTAATTAAAAGATAATATTAATAAGCATTTTGTTTTTATTTGTGAATTACTTTTTCATTATTTAATAATAAATATATATTTATCTCTAAAAAGTGGATGTGGTTAACCATTTAAAAAAAAATTTATTTTTTAAAGCTATCATTTCTTTTGTTTTCTTGTGAAAATAGTAATAATTAATAATATTATTTCATTAATTAAATAATAATCTATATAAATTATCTCTGTAATAATATATATTTAATTTCATAATAAAAATATATTATTTATAATGTTTATATAAAAATTGTAATATATTTTATTGACCCAGGTAATGTTTTTTAATTTATTTATTTCTACATATATATATATATATTTCTACATATATATATATATATATATATATATATATATAACATAGTTAATTAAATTATTTCTAATTATTATCTAGAGAATAAAAATAATTTATTATCTCGCAACTTTCATTTTTTTCATATACTATATATATATATATATATATAATAAAATTAATTAATAATATTTTTTTCCAATTTTTATTAATAATTATTATTCAATTTATTTACAATTAGAAATAAAGAATTATCATTTTTATTATAAATAGAACAAGTTTACTTTTATAATGTACATAATTATTATTTTAATAACTCTCTATTATAAATATAAAAATTAAATCACTCACGTGTGAATTTATTTTTATAATAGAATTTTTATTTATTCTTTTTTTGTTTAATGAAAATAAAAATTATTTTAAAAAAATAAATTTTTATCGAATTTTTAAATTAAAAATTTATTTGAAAATAATAATAATAATAATAATAATAATAATAATAATAGTTATAATAGTATAAGATAATTATAATATAAATAATAACTAGTAAAAGAGAATGGTAATAAAAAGCAAAATTCTTCCCTGAGAGGGTTATAATACAAAAGGAAAGATCTTTTTTTTTTCAATCTCCCTTAGACCTTTTTTTTCGAATTGATCTAACAAAACGGGATTTCAAATATTGCCTCCTCCCCCCTTTTAAGGTTATGTGTGAGAAAGTTTTACGAAACATGCGCTTAGGTTTATAAAAGACAGTAAAATAAGAAAGAGAGAGAGAGAAAAATAGGTGTTTGAGGGATGGGGTGGGGGGTCGATCTTTCGCGAATCTCACTCGACGATCAATTTTTCTTTTTCACCCCCTTATTGTGACGGCACTGAATTGGCCGTGTTTTCAGTGTAATGGCGACGACCATGCCGAATACAGTGTTGCGCGCCGCGCCTCCACCACCTTTAACACAAATTATATCAATTTTCCAAAAATAATATTAGAATGTTAATAATTTCTTGTTTTCTTTATTTTTTTTTTTTATGAATTTATATGTGATTTTACTATTATGTGATGAGAGGGGAGGTTAACTTTTTAAAAAAGTGCCCTTAAATTACGTTCCTATAATTATAACGTTCGTAACAAAAAGGTGCGAAAATTTCAATTAAAATAATATATAATTCTGTGTCTATCTTTCTTTGCTTGTTTTTTTCACTATATCTTGACTTTAATTTGTGACAGTGACGAAAGAGAAATAGAGAAAGAGAGAGAAAAAGAAAATCATGCACTTTTAGCACCCAGCAAGAAACTCCAGATTAATCACGACCCGGTTTTCTCCCCTCTCTAAAAATATATATTCTCCACGTACCAAAAAGTGTTCTATATATATGCGTGAATTTGAAAAAATAAATATTTATACAAAATGGAGAAAAGAAAAAAATGTAAGTTCTTCATTTTTTTTCATGATTTCTTTCTATTTTTAAATTATTTAGCAAAAAAAAGAAAAGGTGTATTTTCTATTATTTTTTTTTTCTATTTGCAAATACTTATATATGTGTTCCATTGCCACTGATCCGTTTCATAATCGTCAGCAATCGCTACGTCAGACACAGCTGGTCTCGGTTTAACAAAACTTTTACGAGAGCTTTTGTCAGTCGATAACAAAAAAAAAAAAAGAAAAAAAAATTTGCTACTACATTGTTTCATTGGCACAAAAGAAACCAGAAGTTGTTGATTAATTTTTATTGAGATTTTGTTTTCTTCTCTTCATCGGTTTTTCGATAATTATTTATTTTTTGTTCAAACGAATTTTTATTACAATTAGTTTTAAATTTGATTTTTTTTTAAGAATCATGTAAAAATTTTTTATCATACTGCAAATTAAATTTTTTTGTAATTAAGTAATGTTAATAAAATAATAATAATAATAGTATAAAAATAATTGAATAAAAATAAAATAATAATATAATAGAAATAATAGAATAATAATAAAAATATAATAATATAATTATATTTCGGATAAAATTCCGAGAAAATTAAAAATTATGGAATTAAAAAAAAGAGATTAATAATTGACTGATAATAAATTATTAAATTGATTAATTATTTATCGATATAATTTATTAAAGAATTTTTTTTTCTTAAATAATTAATTGAGAAATTAACGAGAAAAAAATTGTTCTATTTTAAATTTCAATTTAATTGAATACGTGATTGTTTTTATTATTATTTAATTTGGAGGAAATGGTTTCTTTTTTTAATTTGACAAAAAAAAAAAATTTTGTGGAATTACATTTAATTACAATTTATAATATAATTAAGAGAAGAATAATAATTAGTATTTAATTAATTCTTGCGGCTAATTGGAATTATCAGAATGTAAAAGAAGTATATCGTAATTGGACATGAGAAAATTAATCCATTGATGAATTAAAATATTTAAAAAAGAAAAAAATAATTAAATCAATATAAAGTAAAACAATGTATATATAGATATATGTAGTGACACACAAAACTGATTTATTATTAATTTTACAAACAATACAAAATTTCAATTTATAATAAATAAACATTAAAAAAAATATTGAATTTCAAATTTGTTGAATAAAAGTAATAATAAATTTTTATACACGAGAAATCAATAAAATTGATAAATATTTATTATTAATATTTATATGTTTCATTTTGGAAATATACAATTGAAAAGTAAAAAAAAAATTTATAAACATTAATTTTGTTAAAATATATAATTTTCAGCGAAATATTTGCATATTTATATAATAAATAATATAAATAATTATTTATAACAAATATCTAAATTTTATAAAGTTGTAATAAAATAAGTAAATAATAAAGTATTGATAATAAAAGAAAAAAATAATAATTTAAATATTTATAGAATAAAAGAAAAAAATTATTATGAAAGAAATTATTTATGAAAGTGACGAATCGAATTTAAACGTTTAAAACAGATCAATGAGGACATCAGTGACATAATTTTCTATTTCTATTGAATTAATAATTAATTGAAAATAATAATTAACTGAACGCTATAATTCAAATTATCAATATTGTAAAACAAATTTATTAATTATAAACAAGAAATGGAAACAATTTAATTTATTTATTAATAATAATAAAATTATTATAATTATTTTTATTTAATATTATTAATAATTTTATTTTTATTATTATTATTTATTATTTATTAAAATTTTTTACAATAGAAAATATTTAAAATAAATATAAATCTGCCACAATTAAAGAGAACATTTTTCTTTTTTTGCGTTAAAAATATCTAATTTCACGTAAATTGGAACATAATCGCAAAAATATTATTATATAATTTTTAAAACCTTTCTCACTTATTTTTGTTGACTCTCTTTTTTAATCCGGACTTTATCGCTTTGATAAAAATATATTTTAGCCTTACTTTTGCTGTTGCTATAAAGATATGATAAGCCCTGACATCACGTACAATATTATCATTTTTGTCCAATGTAAAATTTTACTTTCATTTGCATAAAATAAGTGCTTCTGGTTTTTCTTTCTTTTTCTTTCTTTCTTCTATTTTACTCTCTTATATATATATCAAACATTTAGTTATAAAATTATAATTACATTAAAAAAAGAAAAGATTAATAATTAATTAATAATATGAATAATAAAAAAAAATACAATAATTTTTTTTTAAAACAATTTGAATAATAATGGAAATAAAAATTATACAAGTTGTAAATTTTTTTTAATTTTGAAAAGAATGATGAAATTTTATTAATAAAAATGTCATGAAATTGTTTCTAATTAGTGTTAAAGGGGGTTTTTTTTTTTTTTCACTAATTGCCAACGGAATTGATAAGACAAATTATTGTGAAAGCTTTATTATGTTTATCTATAAATGAATAATTTCTTCTATCTTTCGCGGAGATCAAATGATACTTCTCTAAAATTCACTTTGGGAGTATAATTAATAATTCGTTTTCAAAGTTTGTGTAAAAAAAAATTTTATATTTACTTATGATTTGCAAATGTCGGTAAGATAGTTTATTAAGCGGAAAATTTAAATTTTCGTAATTATCTACATTACCGACATAGAATTCTTTATTTCGAATAATTATTTGTACCATAAATTTAGTATATTATTATTATTATTATTATTATTATTATTATTATTATTATTATAAAATAAACATTTATTTAGTTGTAAAGAAAAAAAATATTGTACATAAAACAATTATGTTACCTTTAGAATATTCATTTGGCTGAATTTTTTCCACAAATAGGAAATTTATTTGTTTGCCGGTAAGATAGTTAATTGAGCGGGAAATTTAAATTTCGCGCGCTTTTATCTACTTTACCGACAGAATATTAATAGAAAACGATGAAATAAAAATTTCTTTTAAATTAATTAAATTTTGTTAAGAATAAAATTATAAAAAATTGTAAAAATTGAAAAAAAAAATTTAATGAAATTGGTTAAAAGGGTTTAAAAAAATATTTGTTTATATAAGTCATTTATTATCGATTTTCTAAAGGTGAATTATTTACCTAATTAGGTTAATTAATTTACCGTGAGTACATTGTAAAATTAATTAAAAATACATATTTTCAAAGAAATAAATTATTATTATTATTATTATTATTATTATTATTATTATTATTTAGATAATAATTAAAAATAATATAATATTGTAATAAATAATAAATAATAATAATAAAATTATAATAAATAATAAAAAAAATAGATAATAATTTTAAAAAAATGATAATAAAATAAATTTTTTAAATATATTATTTTTCTTATCGTATATTTAAAGCATTGAACATAAGTGTTGTTAGTTTTTTTTTTTTTTTTTTGTTCTGCTAATTGTAAAATTAATTGAATCGTTAATTTTTGTACTATATGAAGTCAGAGGATGTATATACGAGATGAGATTTTAATGATTCAGTTAGAGAGACAAGGGCAAATCTTACTAGCAGTGACTTCCAAATTTGGTATTACATTTGTAAAAGTTTGGATTACAGAGACGACACACTTACCTTATTTGTGGATAAATTATACTTACGCGTTTTTTTTCTCTCTTTCTCTCTTTCATTTTTTTTTTGCCTTTTATATAATAAATTCCCTCTTATTTTAGTATAATAGTAATTACATTTTAAAACAAACTCGCACTTTTTTAGATTTTATGTAATTCTAATTTTCTCACCAGTTGTTTCTTTTTTTTTTTTTTTTTTTCTTTAGATAATTGTGAGATTATTTAGAATTAGCTATATGACTGATATTTTGATTTAATTAATTTTTTTTTAATAATGTACAAAAAAATTTAATCAAATTTACTTATATATGTGCAATTTAATTAATGAAAATTTAATCTTCATTGAAATGTCGATTTTAGAGAGAATATTTAATAATTTTATTATCAAGATGTAATTTTTTTTTTTTAATTACGAATTTTGGCAAATTTTAAATAATAATTTTTTTTATTAATTTATTTTTTGATTTTTTTATTTATGGAAAATGTTTCCTTTGTAAAGCGTAAAACTGGAATATTTTTTTCAACTAAAAATATCAAAATATTGGAATATATTTAGGAATAATTTTTCGAATATTTTTTTCTAATTCTTGACGCATTCATTCTGTTTTTTTTTTTTTTTTTGTTATATGCTGTGCATATAAAAAAACATTCTTTGTGGAGATGATGCAGCAAATTTTTCACAACACATATTTATAAATGTTAGTTTCAGCACTGAAACGTGTTTTTTTTTTGTCCAACTATTAAAAGAAGTGAAATATATAATAATAAAATCAAAAGGAACAATAGGAAACTGAAATAATTCGAATCGTCATTTATTTAATGATAAATAGTTTTTTTTTCCTTTTTGAAATATTTATCTGTTTTTTTTTTTTAATTAAAAAACATTTTTCATTTTTTTTTTTTCTTATAATATTATATTATAAGAAGGTATTTAGTAAATTAACACTATTATTTATTGTTTTGGTTTTTTTTTTTTAATTGCAGGAAGAACCCGCCACTGTTTCCGCATTGAATGAAGGAGAACTGAGGGCATTATTAAACGAAGCCTTAACTTATAAACGTCCTAAAGATCGTGAAGGAAAATCCGATCTTTTTAAGGTAGGATAATTTTCATTAATTTTTGAATTTTCTTTCTTTATTGCATTTAAAATTTAATTTCATTAGATAATAATTTCATTAGTTAATAATATAATTTCATTAATAAAAATTAATTTATTGTAGTAAAATGAAAAAAAAAATTAATTAAATCTAAAATGTCTATAAAGTAGATAAGGAGAGATGATTTTTTTTTTTGAATTAATATTTGGTACATGAAATTTTATATAATTTCCAGGAACTTCTTCAGGAGGTCGAGGCCGATGAGACCGAGGAAGGTCGTCGAGTAATCGCTAATTCTCGTTGTCTTCCTGGTTCAAATCGTCGACGACATAAACGTGATTCAGTTTCCGAACGACTCACACACGGTGGATCATTGCAAAATCTTGCACAGCCTATTAATTCAGAATTCGACAGTAGTTTCGCGTATCTTACATCTGGATCGAGTCACACATACGGTTGTAGTCGAAGAAAAGGGAAAAAGCACACGGGACCAAGTGTTTCCGCCAGACAACGAGAAGGTGGTTCACTTCCGTCTAACGTCAACGCCTCCCACACGATTGCATCGCTTGCCAATTTTGATTTGGTCTTCGACAAAAAGGTTTTTATTTTATAAAAAAAAAAAATTGATATTTTTTTTTATCAAGCATCGTAGAAATTAGAATTTTTCATTAGTTTTTGATTTAATTTAAAAATGTATTTTAAAATTCTTTTGTTTTGTAAATTAAATGGAGAATAATAATTTTTTTTTTTTTTAAATAGCGTTTCTCGGAGGAAAGAAACGTTTGCGACTGGACGCTAAAGGAGAAATCAAAGTCACTTGACAAAACTTCGTGCACCAGTTCAAAGACGAAATTCGACGAGAAGGATAAGGAGAAAAAGGAGGGAGGAAAACGTGATATTGCCGGTGGGCCGAGCGAAGCGGAGAGTGAGATTCGTGAAAAGAGGAACTGCCGTGGCAAACAAGGGACAAATGAAATGCTCGAATCGGATAACCCGAGCCTAGACTGTAAACGAGATTACATGGTAATCGATCTGAGCGATGTTGAGGTACAAATTTTATACATTTGTTTTTTTTTAAATTAGAAAAATAGAAACTAATTTTCATTGATTAATTATTTATAATTGGGAAATTAAATTTTTATTTTTCAGCAGGTGCCAGGTAACAATGATCGAAATACAAGTAGCACTCCAAGTGGCGGCGGGAGTGTTCAAAGATCGCGCTCCATCGAGACAGAGGACGATGAGGGCACGGAATTGAAGATAATTGAGCCAAGACGACCGGTACAATTTATCACAAGGGCAACATTCGATATCGCTCAAACGCCCGTTGATAGTACCATTGAATTTCCATTTCGTGATCATCAAAAAGACGAAAAATCAACATCGAAACTTGCAATCAATGGCACAGACGCATCGAGTGCACTTCCATTCACAACCTATAATAGTGTTCGCGTTCTTGGTAATCCGAGTTCAACATCGAATGCCACATCAACACAGGGTAAAGTCATAGTGCCGAGTGTATACTCGGTAATGCCCGTCACATGGTCGTCTTCAAATCTTGCTATGGGTGAGAATACTTTTTTTAAAAAATAATAATTTCTACTTTAATTTCAAAAATTTGATTTCATTTTTTTCTTTTATTTTCCATTATTACAGAAGCAATGTCAAGATTCACTGCTCAACATATCACAGTTAAAGATTCTGGTGAGAAAAAATCATTAGATGAAAATGGTAATGCAGTGCAGGGTTACAATAATGGTGAACGAAAGAAAGTTCGTCGAAAGCATACGCAAGAGCCAAATGTCATTGTCTATAAAGCAGGTGAAGTTGAGGGTCATCGTAATACGGATGATATTGCCAGTCTTTTGAATTTCATTGAAAATAAAGAGTCAAAGGGAAAAAAGGGCAAAACAGGTAATGGTGGTGTGCGTGTAAAAGCACAAAATTCAGGCGCAAAACCAAGAAATCGTGATAAAGACACAAAACGTGAACAAATACCCGCCAATAAACTTCATAAATCAAATTCACTTGAGGAAATTTCAAAAACAAAACTAGAAGATCTCACTATTGAAAAGTGTACGAGTTCGAGTGGCGCGAGTAGCGTTTCCAGTCAACACAGTGAGTTTTTTTTTCTTCTATTACCTATTTTTTTTTATTTTTTTTATTTCTACTATTTTTTTTTTTTTTAGGTGCAGGAAACGTGTCACTGCGAAGATCAAAGCAACGCAGTACGGGCGACTCGGCTGATTCGAGGGGCGATCGACGTTCCTGGGGCACTGAGGAGGGTCAATCGATTTATTGCAACGACACTGGTGACGAATATACAACGCGTCGTAATTCAACGAGAAAAATGAACACCACTGAATCGGAGGCAGAACCCGAATTTCTTGTCGTGACAAAAAAGAAGAAGAGCAAAAAACAAAGACGCAGCTCAAGCGGTAGTCGGGCACAAAATTTGTCAACATCTGGCTCGTATCTTCAAAGATCGCGTGGATTCTCCAATGATTATCGAACGCCATTGTCACCTGAATTGAGGAGGAAATCAGCAAGCAGCATGCCTCCAAGGTTTGTTTCCCTTTCTCAATTTTTTTTTTAATTTCGAATTTTTGAATATTTTTTTTTCTCTCCAGCGATAAATCGGACAGCAGTGATTTGGATTCGGTGCATTCGTTGCCAGTTACGTCAAACACGGAGAAGCATAATTTAACAAAAACGCCAAATTCATCGGGTGGCACACCGCAAGCGAGTTATGCGGATATTGCGCGAATGGTCTCAATAAATATGACTAATTCGATATTACAAGATACGCACATGGTGCCACCGAATGTATTAAACAACACAAATTGGCCAAGTGTTGTCACAACAGCAACAACAACAACAAAAGCAACATCCGAACCCGATAAATTAACACACGATTCATATCCAAGTCTCGATGAAATTCAACACGGCGATCGACGTTCGAGACAAAATAATTTTGCCCACAATCATGTGCCCAGTGGATTAAGTTTAAGTTTCGATAAACCACCATCGCCAGTTATGATGATGATGAAATCGAAAATTGATAACAAAAAAGCCGAGGCTCGCGAAGAGGCAATCAATAAAAATATTCAAGTCTTTAAATATGTTCAAGATATTGAAAAAATGCAACAGAGCTTGACGCAGGTAAATTTTTTTTTCTTTTCCCTTTTTTTTTTTGCGAAAAATACAAATAACATTTTTTTTTTTTCAGGATAATAAAACCAACAACTCTAGTCCAAATTCAAATGAAACAACACCGACAAATCCAGTGCCACCGAAAATTACAATGTCACCAATTGAATTTGATTTAAACAGTTCGAATGACAGCGGTAAAGAATCATCGAAAAGTAATAATTCACGTATTAGAAAAAATCATGAAGAAAATACAAAAAAGTCAGAAAATCAAGAAACAAAAATCGATAAAAATAATGAAGAAGCAGAGAGTAAATCACGAATAAAATCATGGACACCAAGTGCTTCCAATACATTAACAAAAAGTGAAAAATTCACCAAAGCATTAAATCCAAAATCAAATTCATCATCATCATCATCATCTAGAAACGGTCGTGACGATAGTGAGAAAAAATCATCGAATAATGTAAAAATTGAAAAACTTAATAATAATACAAAAGAACAACAAAAATTATTAGATAAAAAAAATCATTCACGTCCAGCGGTAATACTTCTTGATGAAAATAATTCGGAAAATTTCCGTAATTCCGATTCAAGTGAATTAACATTTGGTTTTGAGATAAATGAACAACTTTTACTTGCCGAGGATAATGATGAATCAACTCCAATTAGTCCTATTTTTTCACCAGGAATTGTACCGCCGCCATTTAATAAACCACCGCCACAATTGACGTCATCATCATCATTATCATCTGCTGCTGCTGCTTCTTCTTCTACATCATCAAGTGGTCATCATTTAAATCAAACGGCGGCAACATTAACAAATACGTATCAAAAACATGTGAGAATATTTGATAAATATCCGGGTAATTTCCATATGAATCATCCGGGACATCATCCAATACATCATCATCACCATCATCATCATCATCATCCACATCAGGGTATGCCAATTGCCCATGTTATGCAAGCATCGCCAAATGTAATATTTAGGTTTCAACCGCCACCGGTGTTTATAAGACCGCCGCCAATTGTATCGCCTGGTGGTAATTTGGAAAAATTCATACAACATCCACATCATCAAAAGGAGGATTTTTCAGCGCGTTATGTTGCACCTGAACGAACTGTCAATGTTCAAAATTACAATCATGATAAGATTGTCTCCTTTGTTGGATTAGGTGAGAAACAATTTTTCTTTTCATTTTCCGTTTTTTTTTTTTTTTTTTTTTTACTTTCGCTTTTTACATTTTCAATTTTTTTTATCTAGTTTGTCATGTAATAAAAAAAATATATAATTTCTTTTTTACATTTCTTCAGGCTTCGAACACTACTGTTTTTGGATAGGAATAGTTTTTCAAATTACTAATTTTGATCAGAAACTACTAAATGATACTTTTTCTAAATGTAAAAAAAAATTGCCAGAGTTGTATAGTTTAATTACTTTGAATACTTAAAATTAAATTTTTTGGAAATTCAATTACATCCAAAAAAAAAATTTACAAAATTAAACAATAATTTTAATTCAAAAACTTACTTCTTTTCAAAAATTAAAATTATTGGAAAATTCAATTATTTACAAAATTTTAATTTAAATTATCATAAATTCAATTATTTTAAATTTTCATTAAAATCCTTGAAAAATTGAATAATTTTCAAATCTTCAACTAAAATTTTTCATTATTTAAAAAAAATTTTAAATACTTTAAGATTCAATTAATTTAAACAAATTTCTATTAAACTTTCTTTAAAAGTTGCAATAAATATTCATTAATAATTTCTGGTAATTTCAAAAATAGCTATAAATATTCTTCAAAAATCTAATTATTTAAAAAAAAAAATTTTTTAACGACAATTGAAAACTCAATTGTTTTAAAAACTTTTAATTAAAATTATTTAAATATTCAATTGTTTAAAGAATTTTCAATAAATGTTGAAAAAAAATTGAATTATTTTAAAAAAATCTCAACTATAAAAAAAATTGAATTATTATTTTCAAAAAATTTCACGTTTAGCTCATTAAAAAATTAATTATTTTCAAAAGTTTTTGATGATTCAATTATTTAAAATAATTTTAATTAAATCTCATGAAAATTTAATTATTCTTAAAAATTCCAAATATAATTCTTTCAAAATTTAATTATTTTCAAAAATGTCAATTTATCATCTTTGAGATTTCAATTACTTTCAGAAAAATTTCAGCTAATTTCAAATATAACTGTAAAATTTATCGTTTTTGAGATTTCAATTATTTTCAAAAAAATTGCAAAATTAAACTTTCTTTAATAATTTTAAATTGAAATACTTCAAAAATATTTCCATCTATATACTCGAAAAATTCAATTATTTTCAAAATATCAATTAATGTTCTTCAAAAATACAATGTTCAAAAATAATTGTAATTTTACTTCTTTGAAGATTCAATTTAATAGTACATATTGAAAATGGAAATAGACATTTAAATAGAAAAAAATAGGTTTAAAGTCTTACATCTCAACCTATTTTTTAATTTTTATTTTTGTTTGCTTCTTATGCAATTTATTTTTTATTTTATTGTTAATTATTGTTTCTTGGAATGCATGAATATTCCCCAAAATGTATTCAGCAGAATTTTATAAAATATATTTTATGAGCTTAATTTTCATAATGAAGAATTTCTATTTTAAATTGAAATTAAATTGAACAAAATTTATGTCTAGCAAAATTTTTATAAAAAGGATTTTTTTATTTATCAGAATTGTTTTTTTAAATAAATTTCTATTTATCCGAATATTCACTTAAAATTATTTTTATTGATTGAATTTCCAATTAACAGAATTTCTATACGACAAAATTCTTATTTAACAAAATTTTTATTCAGTCAAATTTTTTTTCGGTCTAATTTTTATTTAACTGTTAAATGGCAATTCTGTTAATTAATTCGACACTAAAAAAATTTCGTGTGTTCTAATTTAGAAAATATTCATGCATTCCTGCTTATTAATTGTCAATTATTAAAATATTTATTGCTCTTTTTAGCATGGGAAGATGTGATGAAGGAAATGCCAGCGACAACAACTGGTCGTGTACGATATTACAGTGGACAGTGAGAAATATATATATATACCTCTATATATATATATGTTTAAAAAAAAAACAAACAAAAATGAAAAAAAAATATATTTAAAAAAAAAAGAAACAGTAATTTTAACAAAAAAAAAAAGTGCTTCGTATAACAATAAACAAAATAAATAATAATTAATTTACGTCTTCAAGAATCCGTCGACCGAACATTAGTGCGTTTATTAAAAAAAGTGTGCGCGGATTTAAAAAATAAAAAAAACTGCAAGTTCATCATTGTTCTCCCGTAAACGAGAGAACATTAAAAAAAAAAAAAAAACTTTTAGGCTGATTTTTAAACGATGGAAAAATATTTGTGTTCGTAAATAGTGAAGAATGAATAAAGAAACGAGGAAATAGTCAAAGAAAAAAGTGAAAATAGCAAAAAAAAAAAAAATGTGAGTAATAATAAATAATTTTTTTTTTCTTAAACGGGGAAAGTAGTAATAATTAAAGAAATAGGAGGGAAAAAAAAATAGTCGCGCGAGAAAATAATGAAAAAAAGAAAATTAAATAGTCTAGAGAAAAATAGCCAAAAAAAAAGAAGAAGAAGAAGGAGAAGGAGAAGAATATTTGTGAACGGAAAATAGTTAAGAAAGACAATTCAAAGTGAACAGAAGATAGTCAAAAGAACAAAAGATTAAAGGAAAGAAGAAGAAAATTGTGTTTAAAAAAAAAAAGTAGTCAACGTGAAAAAATCAATAATAAAGAAAAAGAAATAGTCTAGAATACAATAAAAGAAAGAAACGGAAAAGAAGCGAATAAAAAAGAAAGGAAAGTCAGAAAAGAAATAGTCAGGGATAAAAAGAAAATCTGTGTGAAAAATATAAACCTCAAAGGTTAAAAAAAAAAACTAATTTATCGAGAATATTCACAATCTCGTGTCGATTTGATTCAAATTCTGAATCAACGAAGCCAAGTGGCGCAAATGAGTGCCTCAGGTAGTAGAAGAAAAAAAAAGAAAATGAAAAAAAAAAAGTTGTACATAAAGAGTGAAATAGTCGAAGCGGTTTTCGGGTAAAATAAAACAAAAAAAAAAAAAAAAAAACTTCGAAAAAAATCCTGAAAACACGAAAAAAAAACCAAATAGAACAATTTTGATTCCCGTGCGGAGTGTGTTTTGCGATTTAAATCGAACATTTTTTCTGCCGGGAATGTATGTCAATCAAAAGTTGAAGAAAAATGAGAAGAAAAAGAAGAAGAAAATAAAGGTGAAAAAAAAATTCATACTGTACAGTTTCGTCCAGAAAGTTGTAGAATCAGTAAAGAGAGAAAAAAAAGGTAAAATACATACATAGAAAAAAAAACAACAAGGGGTCCTCAAAGTCAGTAGAATGCAAACTTGTAAATAAACTTGGATCATCCCTTGTGAAATTTTTATTATTTTTTTTTTTTTGCCGCAAAAAAAAATTTGTTTTTAGTGTGTTTGAAAAGAAAAACATTTATTTAATAATTGAGAATTGTTAACAGAAACAAATATATGTATATATAAATATATTATAAATATATATATATGTATACATATATTTGTATATAAATATACACACCCCTGATATTGGAAACTAAAAAAAAAAAAATAAAAAAGAAATCTCCAGAAAACAGAAAAACGGATCATGTCGAATTTATAATTTAAAAAATGCGATGGATCTTTTTTGTAGTTAATCGCGAGCTGGATTACGCTTAGACATCTTCTTTTACAATGTAGGTGAAAAGAGAAAGAAAGAAAGAAAGAGGAAGAAAGAGAAAAGAAGGAAAAAAATCCAAATAACGGAAAATCCAGAACTGTAAAAAAAAATATTTAGAGAAAAAAAGAAGGAAAAAAAAATGACGTTTTTGAAAAAAAGGGGGAGAGAAAGTTGACTTTTTTTTTTCTTTTCTTTGTGTGTTGGTTTGTGCAAAGGTAATTGCAACCTTTTTATACAGACTCGCGTATATAAATATATACATATATATATATATATTTAATGAGACTCATCATCTGTAATTTACAATTAATTCTATATTATAATGTAAAGATTCTTTTGAAAATATATTTGCGAACGTTTAACGTGTGTATGTGTAAGAATAAAGAATGAGAGTGAAAAAGAAAGAAAGATAATAATTAACGAATGATAAATTTGTAGAATTATTGTCGTTTGCGCTTTTTCTTCTCATAATTTTGCTGTTCGAACCTAATTTTAAATCGAGAAAGAGAGAGAAATTGAAAAAAAAAAAAAATGCTTGTAAATATCGCGGGAAGAGCTAGACTGTTTTGTTGTTAGAATAATGCTTTAGTCGTGTGAATGATTTTTTTAAAAAAAAATTTATTTATTTTCTTTTTTTTTTTTTAATTTTTATTTTATTTAGAGAACGAGAACACGTCTCGCGATTCGATTATTTTTATTATGGACATAAAATATTTTCTTTTTTTCTGGGACAAAACGAAAAAAAAAAAAAAATTACAAAATAATACAAAAAAAAGTTCGTTAAAAAAAAAGTAGTTAATAATTTTTACCAAATTAAATAAGGATAATTTAAAAAAAAGTAAAAAATTCTAAATTTTTTTTATTCTTAACAAATCAAAATAGAAACAAAATGCAAAAAAGTCAAAAAATTTTTTTTTTTTGTTGAAATTTTTATTCTCTTAGATATAGAAAATTGCATGTAAAGTTTATTCGCTGTTTTTTTTTCTCTCTTTAATGTTTAAATTTTTGACAAAAAAACTGTCGAGAATAACTATTATTGAAGTGTGACTCGTTCTCAAAATATTTTTGTTTTTTTTTTTTTTTTTTTGAAAAAAGAAAAATGTTAGAACGATTGAAAAATTGAAAATTTTGAATTTCCCGCTGGATGGGAACATGTTTTTCTTATTTTCACTTTATTTTTTCTTTTTTTATTAATTTTCAAATTTTTTTTTTTTTCTTTTACTATTTTAAGATTATGAAAATAATGATAATAATAACAATCAACAAAATAATAATTATTGTTAGTATTTAAATAATAATTATTTAAATAATAAGAATAATTATTTTCAAAAATTTTGTTCATAAATTATATTATTATTATTATTCTTTTCTTCATGGAGAAAAACCAACGAGAACAAATGTGTTTATTATCAAAAAGTGTTCTTCCAATTGTATCATATTACATATATATTATATATATAAAAAAGAAAAAAAAAGAAATGAAACAAAAATCTTCGCGTCCTTCCAATTTTTGTCCGCGCGTGTGTGTGTGTGTGTTCGAACAGCAATTAAAATGGGACAGAAAAAAAAACAAAATAATAATAACAAAACAAAAAAAAAAAAAAGAAAGAAAATCATACAGAATCAATTTATGTATATATATATAGAGAAAGAGGATTTTTTTTTCTTTTTTTGTTGATCTATCCTCGAATAAAAAGCTTTGCTCAAACATTTTGCAATTCCTAGACCGAAAATTATATAAAAATCAAATTTTTTAGGATCGTTTTTTAGAATTATTTTTCTTTTTCTTGTATTTTCTTTTCTATTTTAGTTTTCTGTTCATTTTTTTTCTCTTTATTTATTTTTTTGCTTTTTCCTTTTTATTTTCTTTATTTCTAATCAATAAATTATTTTAAATTATTATTTATTTTTACAATTTTTTTTTTTGATTTATTTATTCAATAAATAATTAATAATATTTCTTTATTTAATAAATAGTTTATAACATTATTTATTAATTAAAGCAATTATTTGAATTATTATTTATTTAATAAATATTTTTTCTTACTTTTTTTTTTAATTTTAAAAAATTTCTTTTTATCTGTAATTATGATTATTTTCTTTCATTTACAGTCTTTCTCTCTTTCTCTCTCTTTTTCTAAGTGGATAAATCTTATTTTTAAAATAATATAATTTGTAAGTTGGTCAGGGGATTGCGACTTGATTGCCTTGTTTTTCTTTTTTTTTTTTTTTTTAATTAGTATTAACTTTAATTAATAATGTAAATTAATTTAAATTTCGCAACATTAACTTCGTGTGTCGATTTTCTCTCCTGAGATGAAAAGGAAAAAAAAATGTAATTAAAAACCACACCGACAAAAAAGAAAATATGTAAAATCGGAAAATTTCAGGAAATAAGCCTTTATATTTTATCGGCTCTTGTTTTTAGTTTTGAACCGATGAAAATAATTAGGCAAAAACCTGATAAATTCGATTTTTATTTTTTGGCGGTACAGCTTCGAAAAGAAAACATGCAAAAAAAAAATAAAATAAGGGGACATTTTTTTTTTTTGAATTAATGACAAAAATAGAAAATCACGAAAATATAATTCGGATTTAGAAGTAAAAATTACATTTTATCATGGAACAATAATTTTTTTTTTTTTTTTTAAATAAAAGTTTTTATTTTTTTTCTTTTTTTCTTTATTTTGGGGAGAAAGAGAAACTAGAGGGATTGGCTGCCATTATGGAATAAAAATCCGCTTTTTAAATTTAATAGTAAAAGTCATTGCACAGTTTATTTATTTATTTTTTATTATTATTACTATTATTATTTTTATTATTAATTAATATAACTGTCATTATTATTATTATTGCTATTAAAATATGTTTTTTTTTCGTCTACATTCCCGAAATCTCAAAAGGGGCAGAAATTACAAAAAAAAAAAAAAAATATTTTGAATTACGAGTCGCGGACTGTAAAAATAAATGAAGAAAAAGATTTTAAAAAAATTGAAAAAAATTTTTAGAATTATTTTTTTAAAATAAGATAATTTTTCTTTAACTAGTTCCCTTGAGAGCGTTTAACTAAAGGGATTTTTTCTATTACAAAACTTGATGTGTGATGTGTAATCTTGGGCATTAAAAAAACAAAAATTCATCAAGTTAATTCACAATTTTTTTTAACCGCTATTAGAATTCAAATCAATTTCCATAATTTTAAATGTATATAGGAATTTTTTTTTTTTAATTTCACTGTGAATTTAGCAAAAATTTCTCTCGTTATTTCAAAACAAAATTATTAGAAAATAAAAGGGAAATAAAATTCTAATACAATTTAATTTAAAACAAAATTTTCATTTTTTTTTTTATAAATAAAAAAGGCTTTTAATTTTGAATGAAAAACAAAAAAAAAAGCTTTCCATTGTTTTTCAGTAATAAGACAAAAATTTTGACTAAAAAAAGTAAAAAAGATATTTTTAAATTGGAACATTTTAATTTTTTAATTTTCTATTTTTCATTTTAATATAACAAAAATTATCACTGTCGATAACTACTGGGATTTTTTTATTTTACTTGATTTTTAATTTCAAATCAAATGTAATTTCAATTCTAAAATAAAAAAAATTTCAATTAGAAAAAATAAATAAAAAAAAAAAATTCAAGATTTTATAATGTGGAAGGAAAAAGAGTTTATTCACGAATTACTTATTTTCTGTTTTTCTTTTTTTTTTTTTTAATTGTGTAGAGAATTAAAAAGAGGAAAAAAAATTCAATTATCAAAATCAATTAATTTTATTTTTTAAATTATTAAAAAAAAATTGTTAAATGTAAAAAAAAAATTTTTATTGATAATAGAAATTTTTTTTTATCCAATATTCTGATTTGATTTTGAGTTTTTTTTTCTTCTTTTTTTTTTGGGCATTTCGGAAAAAAGATCGTGGAGGCTTCATTGAAAAAAAAAAATGATTGTTTATAAACGATCTCAATTTCCTATTATAGCCTTTGTATACAAATGTATATTTTACTTTGTTATTATTATGTAAAAACACTCCACGATTAATGTAAATATATTAAACTATATAAATGATTATGTATAGAAATGAAGGACAGTCTGTGACATTTATTAATTATTATTATTATTATTATTATTATCGCTATTGTCAAACTATTCGATGACTATTACTATTATTATTATTATATTGTAACTATTATTATTATATTATAATTATATTATTATTATTATTATTATTATTATTATTATTATTATTATTACTAGATATTATTTAAAAAAAAGAACTTATCATTATGGTTAATTATAATGAAAAAGAAATGAAGAATGTATTTGTGTGAATAAATATCTGTTTGCGTGTGTATGTGTGTGTGTGAAAAAGAAAAAAAAATTTGTTGAAAGAGGCTGTACTGCCCGACTAAAAGATAACACGAAAGGATATTGTTGCCAACTTTTAGTATGTTGCCAAAGTCCCTTTGTGGGTTTTAGAACGCGAAAAAACGATTCAAAAAACGAAAGTGCGTCTTTATTTAATTTTTTTATTATTATTATTATTATTATTATTATTATAATCTCTTAATTATTTTATTTAATAAAAATTTCATCTCTTACTATAGAAAAATAATTTTTTTTTCTGTTGCAAATTTTTTTTTTTTTTTAATTTATGTATTTTATTTTGTCATTTTTATTTACAATTGAAATTAACTTTCGAAGAATTTTTATTATTTTTACAAATTTTGTGAATTTTAAGTTCTATTTTTTAATTTTTAAAATTGAGAGATTTTTTAATTTAAAAAAAAAAACTTTATTTACAAATTATTTCTAAGTTTTTTTTTTTAATTTTTAAAAAAAATCGAATTAAATTTTGTTTTGCAACATCAGGGGAAAAAAATTGTTTTGAGATGAAAATTCACGAATTAGAAAAAAGAGGTTTGGAATAATATTCTAGTTTCAATTTATTTAAAAATGAATTCTAACGTTAATGTATGAAAAATTAACGGTTATTTGAGTTTATTTTTTTAAATAGAAAAAAAAAATTGCACCTGTTTGAAAAAACGATGATTTTCCATTTCTTTTACACTGCCATTTAAAAAAAAAATACAGCAAAAAAAAAATTGTTGAAGCACTCTCGTTTTATTGAATGAAATTTCGCGGGAAATATTTTGTGGGTTTTGAAAAATCGGTAATCTAGTCCAATTTTTTTTTTTCCAAAAAAATGAGAAACAATTTTTCAAAGAATCACGTATACGAAATCAATTTTTAATTCTATTTCATATTTATATTGTTATATTATTATTGTAAGTTTCTTTTTTTCTCTCTTCTCAACAAAAAAAAAAAAAAAAAAATCACGCGGACTGGATTTACCAAGAATTCAAAACTTGACCACCACTTAATACTTTGTTACTAATATTTAAAAAAGAAATAAAAAAGTAAATAAATAATTAATAATAATAAATAAATAAAACTCAGAATCAAGCAAAGCTGACGAATTATGAGATATTAGAATTATTATATCGACCACACAAGATTTACTGTATGAGGGGTAAAAAAAAAAAAAAAAAATTATGTTAACGCTATTAAAAAAAAAAAAAAAAAAAATTATGAGGAAAAAAAATAAAAGAAACAGTTCTTAATTGTATAAAGGACAATGAAGTAGGTTTTCGTCGATGATTATTTTTTTTCATTTTTTTTTTATTTTTTTCTTTTTTTAGCTTTAAAGCTGTTCTATTCTGCGACTCATAAAAAAAAAAAAAAAAAATGCTTTGCGTACGGTACTGTGATATGTCGCTGTTTATTAATTTTTTTGTTGCACACGTTCAAATAAAAGCCACTCTCATGTCGGAAGCAACACATTGTTCTATATGATTATATAATAATAATAATAATTAAAACATGGGAAAAAAAAAAAATCCAAAAATTCGTGGATAAAAAAAAATATAATATAGAAAGTGGATGAATAATGATGAAGAATAAAAAGAAATTGTTATTAAATAACGAATTATATATATATATATATAAATATTATACATAGAAAATATATATAATCGATATTTTTTTTTTGTTTCTTTTATTTTTTCACATTCGTCGATGCGCGCTAGAACAGTTCCTAAGTTCGCGCTATATTTTTCATTCTCTCTGGAATATTATTTCAATTAAAAAAAAAAAAATACAAAACAAAAGGATGAATAAATAAAATGCTTTCACAACAAAGAAAATAGGAACGTGATTCATTTATTTATTGTATCTAAAAAGAAAATTTTTACGAGTAATTTTTTTTTTAGTTCAGTAATTTATTTAGTTTAGATTCGTATCGATTTCTATGAAAAATTATTAAATTAAAACTTATTTTTAAATTGAAAATTTCTTCTACATATATTTAATCCGACATTTTGGATTTTTTTAAAAAATTACTGCATTAAATGTTTTTAAATCATTAAAATAAATTAAATTCTATTGTTTTAAAATGAAGAAAAAAAAACAATTTTTGAACGGATGGAAAGCAAGATTAATTTGTGTTGGTAAGCATGGTAAGTTAATATTTTTTTAATTTTCTAATTTTAAAGTAATTTGTAAGTTTCATATTGACAAAATAATATGTCGTTATTTTATTTTACCTATTTCAAAAATTTGTAATTTTAAAATCTCCCGCTATTTTAAAACTATAACGTTGTTTTCACTGTTGCAAAAATTTGTCCAGGCGTAACATACGTAACTTCCACTTTAATTTGTCGCATTTCGGATGTTTTACCTTTGGAAATTTCAAGTTTGTTTCCCAACCGTGATCTAAATAATTCAGTCTCGAACTCTGCTTGACTAAATTGACAGAAGAAAAATGTCAAATATAATTATTTATGTTCAATCAAAAATGTTATTTAAAGTTTAATTTAACGTTTGTTAAATTTGTGCTTTTTTTAGATTCTATCTAGTTTTAATACTCATCACAATGATGAGTGATAAACAAAATGGATTATCGGTACGTAAATTCTCAATTATTATAACTCCAAAAAAATTTCTATTTTTTAACAATAATATTCTATTTGAAAGGAATTTTCTTCATTTTTCAAAGTAATAAATTATTATTTATTCATTTATTATTCTTATATTGTATAAAATGAGTTTTTTTTGTTCAAAAATTTGAGGTTAGATTTACTTGTTAATTGTCGAAGTAAATACAATTTCAAATCACAGCATTTTTTTTTAGAAAAAGACGAACAATTTTTCTTGTTTTAATCACAATATTAGGAATAATTAATAATATATGTAACAAAATTTGTTTTATTTGTTAATATAATTGAAAATTTTTTAATGAAAAATTAACCTTAATAAAAAGCAATTTTTCATTTTTTTAATTGTAGAGAGAGGAAATTGCGAAACAATTTATGTTACCAGAAAGAAAGAGTAAAATAGCAACTCTTTTGAAACAAGATGGTCAAGAATATTGTATTTGTCGGAGTTCCGATAGTTCTCGATTTATGATGTAAGTAAATATATTTTTTTTTCGAAAAAAAAATTTTTAAATAATTTTCATTTCATTTATTCAAGTGTTAGAAAAATTTTTTATTATTTATCAAAAAATTTGCAATTTTCATTTTTGTAATTAAATTATTAATTCGGTAATTAAATGAATTAATTTTATTTGAAATTAAAATTTTTTTTCATTAAATTAATAATTAATTTATTATTAATTAAATTAAATTACATTAATTAATAATTAAATAGATAAATAAATATAATAAAATTTTTAATAAATCGAGAAATGATTTTTAATTTATTTTATAAAAATTGTTTCATTCAATAATATTAGAGAATTGTAATTTTTTTTTCCAGTGGTTGCGACGCTTGTGAGGAATGGTATCATGGTGATTGCATAAATATAACCGAGAAAGAAGCGAAATATATTAAACAATTCTTTTGCGTTGTAAGTATCTTTAATATTTTTTTTTTCGTTTTACTTTTCTTAAAATTAAATAAATAAAATTATTTCAGCGTTGTAAAGAAGAGGATCCCACACTTGTCACTCAATATAAACCAAAACGTTCCGAGAGGGAGGATCGAAAACACAGAAAACATCGTGAAAAAGAAAAAGAACGCGCCTATCGTCATGAACCTATTGATTGGGATGCGCCTGTTGTGAAAAAATCATCAAAACGTTGTGGCGAGTGCACTGGTTGTCTTCGAACTGAAAATTGTGGAAAATGCGATGCCTGCAGGTAGAAAAAAAATTAAAATTACTTATATTTACTCAATTGAATTAAAAAATTAAATTAAAATTAAAATTCTCTATTTTTGAAGAAATATAATTTTTTTTAACAAAAAAAAATATAATTTTAATTTCTTTTAGAAAAGAAATGACTTTTCAATAAATAAAAAATAAATTATCAAAATTTTTTTTTTTTTAAATTAATTAACAATTAATTTTTTCTTTTTCATTTTAATAAAGGCATTTAAAAAAATTTGGACCCTCCGTGAGATTGAAACTTCGTTGTGTACAAAAAACATGTCGTATTTCAATAGAACCATTGAAATTAAAAAGTTCGAGTAAAAGTTCAAAGCCGAGTAGAAAACGTAGACGAGACTCAAGTAATGAAAGAATTGAACATCTTGAGCCACCAATTCATTGTTTTGGACCAGCTTGCATGAAACAATCACGTTTAGGCAGTAAATATTGTTCAGATGAATGTGGAATGAAATTGGCGACAAATCGAATTTATCAAGTTTTACCGCAAAGATTACAAGAATGGGCAATGACACCGTGTATTGCCGAGCAAAATAATCGACGTGCCCTTGAAAATGTGAGAAAACAACAAAATGATGTACGTAGAATTTTACATGAATTAGATAAACGACATATGGAATTAGATCAAATTGTTGAGAGAGCAAAACATTCGACAATTGATCCAAAAATGGAAATTGATGAGAATGATGATACGGAAATGAGTATGTATTGCATTACATGCGGTCATGAAATTAATTCACGAACTGCAATTAAACATATGGAAAAATGTTTCAATAAGGTATGCATTTATTTTTATTTTATTTTTTAATTTATTTATTTATTATTCTCCAATTCTTATAAAAAGTTTTAATTTTATAGATTTTTTATATTTAACTGAAGTTTGATAAAGTAGATTTTCTAATACATGTAATTTTCAAATAATACAATTTTCATTTAACAGAATTCATATCTAGAAAAATTTTTATAAAAAATTTTTTTATTTATCGGAATTATTCTTTTATATTTGATTTCTTTTTTATTCGAATATTCACTTAAAAGTATTTTTATTAACTAAATTAACAGAATTTCTATATAAAAAAATTCTTATTTAATAAAACTTTTATTCAATAAAATTTCGATCTAATTAAAATTATTTATTATTATTATTATTATTATTATTATTATTATTATTATTATTATTATTATTATTATTATTAATTATTTCACTCTTTATATATTTTTTTATTTAAAGTTGGTAACAATTATAATTTTTATCCAATTCTTACAAACAGTAGTTTATTTTGCTCTTGAAAGATTTTTAAAAATTTGTTGAATTTTTATTAACAATATTTTGTTAACAAAATAATAATAATAATAATAATAACACAAAATCAAAATTGTAGAGAATCTTTCGATGAGAATGAGCCATTGTTTATAAAAATTGGATAAAAATTAGAATTGTTCACTAATTTTGAAAGAAAAAACACAAAATGTTTAGTAATTATTATTTCATAAAAATTTTAATTAAAAATAATTTTTTTTTTAATTTTTACTTTCGAATATGGGTGAAATAAATATTTTAAATATATTTTTAGTTCTGTTTCTGTTAAAAACTACTTTTTAGTTTGAGGTTATGTTAATGGGTTGAATAGAAATTCTAGCTAAATTTTTCAGTCGAATTTCTATTTCACCGATACTTCATTTGACCGAATTTTCATTTGGCCGAATTTCCTTGAATTTCAGAGGGGATTTTTAAAATCAATCAATCAAAAATTATCAAGAAAATTGTGATTGGTTGATTTTAAAAATTCCCCTCTGAAATATTTTTTCTATCGGTCGTATGATTGCATAATGTGAAAAATCGATCAAATGGAAATTTGATTTTTTAATCTATCTAATGAAAATTCGGTTAAATTACATTTCGGTCAAATGAAATATCGGTGAAATAGAAATTATAACTGAAAAATTTAGCTATAGAAAATTTCAATGTGAGTTTTAAAATCAACCAATTAGGCATTTTACCTTGTGACGTCAGAGGCTGATGACGTCGAAGCCTGGAGGGACAACAAACGAAAAAAACAATAAAGAACTGTCAAACAAGTGATTTTGAGGTTAAGTTTTTGAAGTTTTCAACGTTACCAAATGTATAGATGGACTATAGTAAAATTATTTGTTGTCCCTCCAGGCTTCCAGCTGATCGGGCAGCCATATTTGAAAGTGAAATACCTAATCACGATTTTTTTGATAATTTTTTATTGGTTGATTTGAAAATTCCCGCTGAAATGTTTCATGATGTGAAAGTTCGATAAAATCGAAATTCGAGATTTATTTCGAATGAAACTTCGGATAAGTGAAATTTCGGCACTTTCGGTCAAATAAAGTATCAGTGAAATAGAAATTATCTAAGTTAAAAATTTAAAAATTTCTTTTAAAATCACAATTCTATTAAATAAAAATTAGATCGAATAGAAATTTTATCGAATAAAAGTTTTTTTGAAATCTAAAAAGCAAATGAGGGTTATGTTAAATAGGTTATGTTTACGACAGTCATGTAAAATGAAAATAAAATTTTTTTTTTTCAAAAATAAAGATTTGTATTGAGAATTAATTTGAAATTTCAAAACATAACCTATTTTTTTGCTTTTTATGTCAGATTTCAATTACATTTGAAAGTTTAAAAAAAAAATATTATTTTCCAGTACGAGTCACAGGAATCATTTGGATCGAGTTTCAAAACAAGAATTGAGGGTCAAGTAATGTTTTGTGATTTCTATAATCCAGTTAATGGTACATATTGTAAAAGATTGCGTGTTCTGTGTCCTGAACATTGTAAGGATCCAAAAATAAGTGACACGGAAATTTGTGGTTGTCCATTGGTGTCAAATGTTTTTAATTTAACCGGTGAATTTTGTCGTGCACCAAAAAAAAGTTGCGTTAAACATCATGTTTGGGAGAAATTACGTCGCGCTGAAATTGATATGGAACGTGTTAGACAATGGTTGAAAATTGATGAATTAGTTGAACAAGAAAGGCAAATTCGTTCAAATATGGCATCAAGAGCCGGTGTTCTTGCCTTAATGCTCCACTCGACTTTTAATCATGAACTCATGGAACAAATGACACAGGAACAAAATATCAATCAAATGGAAGCAATGGAAGAGGAATATCGTCGTGGTTATGGTATGCAAAACGAAAGAAATGAATAAATTTGTTTTTTTTCAAATATTTACTTGAAAATTATTATTAGTTTAGTGAAATTTTGTGTGAAAAAAAAGGTTTTTTAAAAAAATAACTAAAAAAAAGGACAAATTATTTTTTAAAGTTTAATTTCAGATTAATAAATAATAATTAATAATTAGTTAATTATTTTAATTTAACAATTTACAGAAATCGAACTCTTGTAAACACTACATTTAATTTCGTAATTTTTACTATTAATTTAAAAAACAATTGCTTTGTGAAAATAAATATCTTTCTATTTTGTATATTTAAATAATTAAGATTGTATAAAAAAAAATAATTTGGGAAAAAAGCATAATTGTGGGACTATGGGATTTTATTACCTTTATTCCTTTATCCCTAATTTTATAATTGATTTGATTTTATTTGTGTTAAATATAATGTGTTTTGTTTTTTTACGGGAGTGTTCGAAATTCTTAAAACCGCGATCGCTTAAATAAAAAGTGTTTTTATTGCTAATAATTTGAAAATGTGATTTCCGGAGTGTTTGAATTTTTTTTTGCCAGTGTTTCCTGTACATTGTGTGGAATTTACAAGAATACATCAGTTACAGTCTAAGGTTAGATATATATATATTTTTTATAAATAAATTATTTTTTTTCTGAAAAATTGAAAAATAAATATAAATTTTTAGTGATTTTAGAGACTTTCAAATAAATAATATTGAAATAATAATAAATGTAAATATAGCTTCAAAAGTAATTTTTTTATTTTTTAAGAAAATTACAATTTAATTAAATTATGACGATTCTTAATAAATAAAAATGTAAACATAGCTTCAATTTATCGTTATTAATACAATGTAAATCGAAAACAATAGTTTCAATTGTTTTGTTTGTAAATAATTATAGCTTCAATTGAAGATATGACTGAAATTAACCAAATAACTGAAACTGACTGAAAATACTGACAATTAAATGTAAATTAAACAGTTGAAGGTATCATTTGACTTAAAACGGGACTGTATGAGCAAAAAAAAAATGTAGCGTGTCTTTACTAGTAATTGAAGCTATCATATAGACTGTAATTTAACAGCTATTGAAGTTACCATTAACTGGCAATTATCGCAGTAATTGAATTTTTCATGTATACTGTAAAACCAGCAAGGTGCTATCCTATAGGTCTGTAAACATCAGTAATATGATACTCGTTCTAGTCATTGAAGCTTACATATTATTGCCTAAGAGACATCAGCATATTGAAGCTATCAGCGCCTGAATATTTATTCAATCTGCAGTAGAAGCTTACAATTTGTCTGGAAAATACCAACAACTGAGGCTATTTTAATTGACAGAAGGTATTGAAAATTGAAGCTATAATTTTCGGAATTATTTTTTATTGAAATTAACACTTGAAGCTATTTTTTACATTTTTAATTTTGATCTAATTTAAAAATAAAAATACAAGTTTCACTTAGTTGCAGTTTTTTTAGCAGTTTCATTTTTAGGTTAGAATTGGCACATAACCTCATTTATTGTGAAGTAAACATGCGTAAAATGTAATTTTTTGATTGGTTACTAGTAACCGCAGCCATAAAGGCCTGAGAAGAATAGAAACGTAACCGGAAGAATGAGTTAGAGAAGGATAGACATATAGTTTGTCCTTCTCTAACTCATTATTCCGTTGCGTTTACGGTTTACGGTTTCTTTCGCGCATCGAACTATCGATTATCGAATTAAAATAATTGGACAAAAAATTTTGAGACACAAATTTTAAATTAATTTTTCAGAAAAAAAATACATAACCTAAACATTATTATATAAAATGAAATGCGTTACTATTTTTTTTTATGTAAATTTATTTGTTGTAATTTTTTTTTTTTTTTAGTTTTATATACAAGAAGACAGTGAAGAGACGAGTAAAGGATACAACCCTACCGAAAGAGTGGTACTGGATTGGTACTGGGAAATTGGAACTGAGGGCTCAGTACCAACTCAGTACTAATTTGGTGCATTTTGGTACTGAAATGGAACTGGGAAATTTACCTGCGAAAAGGGTCGAGTTACCGTTAATACCCTCATAAAAGTGAAAAGCGACTAGCTTTTTCAATATGTTTAAACTAAAACTTTATATTTATTTCAATATTATATTTGTTTTTCATGGATTTATATTATTTTCATACATTATTATGCATATGATATTTCCTTTGTCAGCTAAATTCAAAAATGATGTCCTTTTTTTTATCAAACTTAAGGTATACGAGATAAATTATAACTTTTTTAAATGTAATTATTTTATGATAAATTTTAGATATTCATAATCTGGAAATATTAACGAATCTGAATATATATTTTTTAAAGTTGAGTTATTAAAATTACAAATTTTTTAAGCAATAAAACTCGGGTTAAAATTTTAATCCTTCGACAAAGGACCTAGGGGTCTATTGTTCAAGGAGGGATTGCAATATAATTTCCAAACTTAACAGAAATTTTCTACAAACTATTATGTTTTTTTTTGCTGTTTTACACGTATTTCGCGAGAGACGGTTTGTTGATCTTATATACCTTTAAAACTATTGTTAAAGTACTTTAAAAATGTCTTCTTATGGGTTATCAGGTAGTGGTACTGAAGTGGAACTCAAGCCAAGTCCAATTCAGTACCATTCCAGTACCACTCTTTCGGTAGGGAATAATTCTGCTACCATTTAATATTACTAAAAAAAACAATTGTTTTGCAAAAAATATCACTACTTCCATTACTTTTGTATTATAAATGAAAATTGTATATATAAAAGCAAAAATTTTTGGAAAAACCCCTCATTGTGCGATTTTCGGATTTTATTACACTTTATACCTGCATCGGGAGCTTTTATTGTATTTACATTGAGATACACAAAGGGTGTTTCTTAAATGAAAGGTCATTTTTGGAATGGGAAAATCCCGGAGATAATTAAATTAGTTGCAATTCGTTTGCTGAACTTGTTCAGACACGTGGTGTGTGAGTGGTGTAAATTTTGTAATTTTAAAAGCAAAATTTGATTAGTGTGAAATATAATAAATTTTTGTTCCGGGAGTGTGTTCGAAATTCTCAAAATCGCGATCGTACAAAGTGTTTTTTATAATATTTAAAAAAGTGATTTCTGGAGTTAAAATTTTTTTTAGTGCTTCCTGTGCAATTTTTCGAATTATTTAAGTGTACATTAGTTGCAGTTTTAAGGTTAGTGATATTTTTTTTCAAATCAATTATTTTTCTATTAAAAAATTTTAAAATCAATGATTTTATTTTTAAATTAGAAAATTAAAAAATTTAATAAATAATATTCAGATATATAAAAAAAAACGATTCGCTAGTAAGTATAAAGAAAAGTGTTACTCATTTTTTTATGTAAATTTATTTATTCGTTTAAATAGGCTCTTTTATAGTCGATAATAATATACTTCCAAGAAGGCAGTGAAGAGGCGAGTGAAGGATACAATAATTCTGCTGGCACTTGATATAATTATATTTATATATAAATATTATCAATTTCTCTAAAAAAAAAAGTCGTTATTTTTCGCGAAAAATTTTTTCTTTCCCTTTTTTTTGTGTGAAAATTCAAATAAAAGAAAATTATATTCTCTTTTCCAATTATTAACGCAATCTTTGGGGCAAATAAGAGGATTTTTTTTTTTTTTAAATCAAAAACAATGAAACTTTATATAAAGTTCCATTATTTATGCTATTTTTATACAAATTATTATTTGGGAAACAAAGATTTGATATATATAGTTTTTTTTCGGTCTCTTCAATTTTTTTCTTTTCCCTTTATATGACGACAATAATAAATATTGATAATTATATTCAACATATTCGTAAGCTTCCATAGGCAAAGAGCACGCTAAAAGATTAATTAATATAATATTATACACGTGTACAATAATGTGACTATTTTTTTTTAATCTTTACAAAAATAATTATAACAATGTACTTTTATAACATTGCCGATCGGTGATTTTTCTAACTAGACAATTTTTTTCAGTTTTTTTTTTATTCATTAATTTTCTATTTTATTTTTGCATCCTTTGGAATCTATTTTTTTTTTATTTAATCAGACATTGTCTTTGGTACATTTACAACAAACAGCGTTATTTTTTTTATTTTCAATAGATTTGTTTTATTTTTAATTATTTTTTGTTTATTAATTTGCTAATTTGAGAATATTTGTCATTAATTGACTATTGAATTACATAAAACTAATTAATAAAAATAATTATCCGACACTAATGAAAATAATTAAATAATTGAAAATTATTTTTTTTTATTAGTGTCAATTAATTAAAATAATTATTTAGTTAATGCTAATTATCCAATACAAATTAATAAAAATAATTATTTAGCTAAAATTAATTAATTAAAATAATTTATTAGATAAAACTAGTTAAGGAAAATAATTAATTAGCTATACTTAATAATAATTATTTTCGTTAATAAAATTTATCTAATTAAAATTCAAATAATTAGCTAATATTAATTAAAATAATTAATTATACTAATTTTTAGTTTAATTTTTTTAATAATTAATTTTAAATAGACAATTTTTTTTTTTGTTGAATTAAATTGAGGAAATAATTTTTTTTTGTTTAAATATTTAATAAAGATTTACGCTGTCTGGTGTTTAAAAATGCCACCACTACATAAATTAGTAACTTTCGGTGAAATTTGACATCGCAGTTCTAAAATTTCGATACATTATGTGAAAAGGTGGAGGGAAAACCGATTTAAAAAATCGGATTTGTTGGACGAGTAGTTCTTTTCTTTTTTTTTTTAAGGAAAGCGTTAGATTAGAAAACAAAGGCCACCGCTGGCTCTGCGTTTTTTTTTTTCAATATTATTATTATTATTTTTATTTTTGTCAACTCGTCCATTTACGAGGCTAAGGCACGCATTCACTCACAAATACACAAATTATTCACACACACACAATTTTTCTCTCTCACTCTAGATATACTCATCTCTCATTTTAATATAATCCTCGTATTTTTTGGCACTCCGCCACGATTTTGAAGAGAAAAAAAATATATTTTCTATATTAAAAAATTCTTTTATAAAATAAATATTCGAAAAATTATTATTAATAAATTTAATAATAATTATTATTAATAAATTTAATAATAATTATTATTAATAAATTTAATAATAATTATTATTAATTAATTAATAATATTAATAATTATTAAATTATTTTTTGTTGATTGTATTTTTCTTATTAGAAAAATTTATTGCATTAATGGGAATTTTTTTTACATTTAAATTTCGCTTTTTTTTTTTATTTTTCTGATTGAAATTTGATTTTTTGTTTATTTAAAAGAGAGAAAAAGGCAAAAAGTTTCTAAGCGAAAATTTGATTTTTTCCAGTGTTTTGTCATTTTTTTAAAAAAAAGTTTTTAATGTAAACGAAATTCTCAATTTTTTTTTTTTTTTTTTTAAATTTAATGAAAAAAATACATTATCTTTATAATAATCAATTTTTCCAGTACGAATTTTATTGTAAATAATAATCCTTTTCTTTTTCATAAATAAAAAACAAATTTTTCCCTATAAATCCTGCAAAAAAAAAAAAAAAAATGTATAAATAAAAAGAAATAACAAAATTTATTTAAAATTATTTTTTTTTTTTTTAATAAGAAAAATACACACGACAAAAATTTTATACAGAGAGTTTTTTTTTTCTTCTTTTACAAAATTTTTCTTTTCATAATTATTATTATTATTAATACGAAAAGAAAGTACACTTTCTATGTTGAACGATAGAAAGAAAAAAAATTCTATTATACAGTTTTGGTTTTGAAAAAAAAGTCTACATAATTTTGACCAGAAAAATAAGAAAAAATTATAATTTCTTAAAATTTGTGAAGAGTGCAAAAATAAAGAGGATTTTTCGGCGGTTTATTTTTTTTTTTTACACTTGCCTACGAATTACGAATGTGTTTTTACTTTTTTTAGAGGGACGTTGTTATTGTTACGAATAATATTAATCGCAATTAATTATAATAATAATAATAATATAATGATAATAATAATAATAATAATAATATAATAATAATAATATAATAATAATAATAATAATAATATAATAATAATAATAATAGTATAGCAATAAATTAGGAACCAAGTACAATATAAAATATTACGAGAAATTAAATTATAATAATATGCTATTTTTCGTTATCTAGGAGACTATTTATAAATTGTACGGTACGTTCGAATCGTCTATTGATTCTCGTTGCTGATTTGGAAAGAGAAAAAAAATTTTTTTCTTTTATTATGCTTCTTCTTTTGTGTTTGATTTATTTTTTTTGCTTCATGAGTCACTCGAAAATTGAGAATTTAATTTTTTTTATTCCTATTTTTATTTTCTTTATATACAAAAATACTGTGATTAAAAAAAAAATTGAATTTTTTCCATTAGAAGGGAAAGAAGGTAAAAATTTGAATTCTTTTTTTTAGAAATAAGGAATAATTTTAAACTTTTTTTTTTCTGGAAAGTGGCAAAAAAAATTGATTTCTATTATGGTTGAAAAAAATTGAAATTCTTATTTAGAAGGATGGAAAAATCAAATTTTTTAGTTAATGAAAAAAATTGAATTTTTCTTTGATTTACATAGATGTTTGATTTTTTTTTTATTCTAGTGTCAAAAATTGAATTTCTTTTTTTTTTTTTATAGAAAGGAGATAAAAAAAATTCAATTTTTTTTTCCTTAAAAGGGAGAGCAAAAAAAAAAAAATAATTTTAGATCTTTTTTTTTGCTTATTTAAAAAACACAATTTATCGAGTGCTTGCGAGAATATAAATCGCACCGAATATCTACAAAAATGTACAAATCTGTCGATGGACAACGCCCGGTTTTTTTCTGTCTATCTCTCTCTCTCTCTCTTTCTCTCTTTCACTCTCTTTTATTCTTTTTACTCTTTTAACACACTCGCTCTAAATTTTCTTTCTTTCTTTCTTTTTAATTTATTTTTCAATTTTTTTTTCTCACCACGTAATCAATACTTCCATAATTTTTAAAGTGCAAAAGAAAAACCCTAAAGGATAATTTACTATTTACATAAGCGACTGCACAATAATGGAAGATCGTTACATTCGATCGAGTATTTTTTTGTTTTTTAATTTTATTATTAATTTTTTTTCTATATATATATATATTTATATATAAACATTATTATTAGAAAATGCTACCGGGAAACTTTTATAAAAGCTCCGAAAGCTTTTTTTGACACTTGTGCTTTTTTTTACTTGAAGTTTCGAAATTACAGTCGTTGTTTACAAGAACACGAATGTCAAATATTATTTTCTGTTTTTTTTTTAACTATAATAATCTCGAGATAATTTCAAAATCTCTTTCTCCCTCTCTCTCTCTCTCTCTCTCTCTCTCTCTCTGTCACTTTCGAATTTTTCTACCAATATTTTTTAATCGAGAGAAATTGTCTTTGGATTTTCTCTCGAGAAAATGTTTTTCTCGAAAGTGAAATTTTTCCGTTTATAAAATTTTTCAAATAGAGAGATTAAATTTTTTTCATTATTGTCTCTAACTTTTTCTCTCTATCTCTCTCTTGGAATTTTTTTTTTAATATTCATTAGTGAAAATTTTTTTTCCATTTTTTGTCTCAAGAGAGGAAGAAAAAAAAAGATAGAGGCTCGAGATAAAAAAACGCAACAATATATGGATTCGAAGTTACTTTTATTTTTCTTTCTATTTTAAATGCAAATCTCGAAAATATTTGTTGAAAAAACTAAATTACAAAAAAAAAAATGCTCCGGGAATGTTACTTTTTTTTTTTTTTTACGAAAGAAGAGAAGCGAAACGAAGAAGAAGCTTTTGTTAAGGCAACAAGTGAATGAGACAATTATTTTTTCGTCACCAAAAAAAAGTCTCATTGGACAAAATTTTTATTTAAAAAAATACATTAGTTTATGCAGAAGCTTCTTCTTCTTCTTTATAATTATTGATTTTTCGAAAAAATTCGAAAATTAAATTTTAATTTCTCTTTTACAAGGAAAATTTGATTTATAAAAATTTTGACTTTATTTGCTTCCTAAAAAAATGTTCTATTAGAGAAAAATTTTAGCTTTTGAGAAATTTTTTTCCTTAATAAATTTTTCTTTTAAAAATTCTTTTAAGAATTTTTTTTAAAGAAATTTTTCCATAAACTGTAATTTTTTTTTTGAAGAATTATTTGTTTGAAACAATTTTGTTGCTTTTTTTTCAAAACATATTTTTTGCTCGAGAAAAATTTTTTTTTTTTCGAGTTTATGTTTCTAGTAAAAACAAATTCTTCTTTTTGAAAAAAAATCCCTTTTTTTAGGAATTTTATTTATTGATTTTAATTTTTATTTTTGGAACTTTTTTTGTTACCTTTAAGAAATTTTTTATTTTACCTCAGAAATTCTTTGTTTTCTTTAAGAAATTCTTTATTTTCCTTAAAGAATTAAAAATTTTTTTGTTTCTTTCAAGAAATTCATTTCTTTCTCAAAAAAAAATTCATTTTCCTTTTACTATTTTAATACAAAAAAATTTCTCAAAATTCCTATTTCTTTTTGACGAAAAAAAAAAAAATAATTCCGAATTCTTTCGCTTTTCTAAGATGTTTTTTCTTTTTTTCATTAATCGGGCGTTCATCGTCGCATAATACTTTTCGTAGTCCATTGTATCTGTACCTTGTCACTTTCTTTCTCTCTCTTTTTTTTTTTTTTTATTAAATTTTTTTCTTTCTATTAATAATTTCACAATTATAGAAATTACTTTGCAAAAATAATTTCATTTTCTACCAAAAAAAAACTGTTATTTATAAAGTAGAAAAAAGTGAAAATTTTTTTCTATTAAAAAAAAGAAAAAACTTTTTTATACCAAATAAAAGGGAAATTTTCTAAATAAAGCAGAGAGGAAATATTTTATATCTTTTAGAAAAAAAAAGAGCGAAAGAAAGAAACAATTTTTGTTTTTCTATTTAAAAAAAAGTGTTTTGTGGAGAAAAAAAATTTATGGACGCCTTCTCTCTTCCTTTTTTTTTTTATAATGATGATCAACGGAATCCTGGAGACACTTGAACAAACGCGTATCTCTCTTTTCTCTCTTACTCTCTTGGTCGTCACTGGTTTTCTCTTCTTCAACTCGTTTCGTATTCGTCGACTGCGGGCTATTGACTCGAACGCTTTCCTTCGCTGATCGATGACATCCTCGTCGATTCCGGTTGCGGATTATTCCAACCAACCATTCGCGTCTGCTCTATCGACTGTGAAAAAAAGAATAATTATCAATTTATTCTTTTTTTCCGATTTTTCTTAATTTACATAAAAAATTTTATTTATTTTTCTAATTTAAATAATTATATTATAATAATTTATAATTTTGCCCCAAAAAATTTTGTTACTTTCAGTATATTGAAAAGTTTCAACAAAATTTTCTTTTACTAAAATAAAAAAAAGGGAAATATTTTTTTCTTTTCAAAAACGTGAAATTTAAAATATTTTAACGATATTTAATTCTAAAAGAAAAATCATCATCTTCATTAATATTAAATAAGATGTAAACTTTTTTTTAATTTTTTTTTTTGTTCATACACAAAAGGTGTAAAATTTCGTTTTTCTTTTTTTTTAAATGTATCGACAGAAATTATTGCTTAATCATTCGAGGTCTCTTTGAAACTTTCAATTTTACGGAAGAAAGAAGAAAAGAAATCTGTCTTACCGAGTTGTTGTGGTCCTTGGCCATGATGATCATAAGGGAGTGACTCTGATGGCTGAACGGCCTCACTCGAACAGGACCATCCACCGTATCGACACTGCTACTGAAGCAAAAAACAAAAAAAAAAAAATATATCGAAATGTTATTTAAAAACCAATTTTTTTCATTAAAAAAAAGAATCGTAAACTTTCAAAATATTTTCGCATTTTTTTATACATTTTCAATTTTTGGACATTTTATTTCTAAATTATTGACTCGTTTAAAATACTGTTGATACATTTTTAAAATTTGAATTTTAAAATGAAAATTTGTAAATTTAAAAAAGAAATTTCTTTTTTGATAAATTTGCTTTTAACAATAAAAATTTGAAAAGTTTAAAAAAGAAAAAAAGGTGAAAGGAATAGGACACGAGTGATTGAAAAAAAAAAAATTGCAAAAAAATCGAGGGGCCACTCTCGACTCATGCCGGAAAGAGAGTCACGAAGCACCTGGTGCACGGCGTCATATCGACCATATATATAGAAGTTAGCGTGATAGTTACCTCGAACGTAATTCCTTTTGCTTCCGTTTACAATGAATGTAAGCCGCTATGCAAATGATAACGACGAGGAATACTGCTATCGTGGCACCACCAGCGATGCTGGCAGTTTCTAGCATAACTCGTTGCCGCGAGGCTGCAAATTTAAAAAAATATATATATTAGAAAAATAAAAAAAAATTTTTTTTTTAAATCCATTTATTTTTAAAAAATAAAAAATAATATAAGAAAAAAAAAATTAAATAAAAAAAGTACATTTATAATTTTATAATTATTATTATTAAAAATAATTATTAAATTAAAATGTATTATTATCAAAAAAATTAAATTAATTATTAAAAATAATTAAAATATATTAGATATATTAAAATATTATTAAATTTTGACAAAAATAATTTAATAATTCTAAATAAAAGTAAAGTAAGTAAAATAAAAATTAGATAATTAAAATTACGTGAATAAATATAAAATAAAAAAAAGAATATATAATAACAAAAATAAATACTTACGTAAATAGGAACCATCTAAATCTTTAAATTCGCATCTCTGACCAATAAACCCATTAGCACATCTGAAAAATAGAAAAAAAAAATTAAATTAATAAAATTACATTTAATTTATGTTTCAAAAAAAAAATTAATATTTTTCCAATATCAATATAAAATTAAAATAAAAAATAGAAAAATTCCAAAAAGAATAAAAATCACATAATCATTTTAATATACCTCGTATCATTCACGCAGACTGCGAATAACAATGAAAAATCATTATATTCCAGGGAATAGAGATTCAATGCCAAGGTGAAAATATAGGTTCACGATATAATTACCAAGATTCTCACGATTTCTCACGATTAGTTACAGATTCTGAAATTCGTTCTAATTAACCTCATTTTTCATTCATTTCAAAAATTTAGATCTCTTTTTAAATTCGACATTTAGAAAAAAAAGAAGAATAATCTGATTTTATGACGAACCAACAAATTTTTCTCATTTTATCGTCAATATAAATTTAATAAATTTTTTAACATTAAAAAAAAATTTACCATTTTTTTTTTCAAATATTTACCGAAACGTTTCGAGTGCGCAATTTTTTGTTATTAATTTTCGAATAATAAGGTGGGAAAGACGAATTTTTCGGAGTTATATATATATACGAGTTGTAAACGCGAACCCACAGGAATATAATTATCATTGTTACTTCGTTTAGAGGTGGATATATAATAAAGGGAGCAATAGATATAACAATCAATAGGAGACAGGGGGGGTGGTATTTGTTCCCTTTAATCCTATACCATAGCGAGACGACACGTCCTCTTGAAAAAGGGAATTTTTCAAGCCATCAAACAAAAATTTTTGCCCATTGAAGGTAGGCACACGCGGCCATGAGAAAATTGAATATTGCTTTCTCAAAATTTTATTCTTCGAAATGGAAATTATTGTCCTGGGAAAAATAGCGGGAGGTCCTTCTTCAAGCACTTGTTTTTCTTTTTTCTTTTTTTTTGAAAAATTTCCCGACTGATCAATTTGCAAGGTGAATACGATGATTTTTCTCTATAAAGAAAAATTTTTTCCAAAATCTCACGTTTTTCTCATACATACGTATATATACATATACATATATATATACACAGAAATTCTGTGAAATTTTTCTCACGATTATTGTCTCTTATTATCTCATCGTCTGGGAATTTCTTTTTTTTTCCATTTGGCATAATAAATAAATATTCGATTTTTTTTTATTATATATATTATTAAACAAAACGCCCAACGAAAAATATACAAAAATATTGAAATAAATAAAAATTAAATAATAGTTGATAAAAGGTAAAAACGAATACAAATACATAATTAAAGAAAAAAAAGGTAAATAAATAAATAGAAACAAATTTATAAAAAAAAATTAATTAATGAAATAATTAAATTGAATAATAAATGGATTTATATAAATAAATAATAAATTAAACTAATGTAAAATTATTCAAAAGAATAAATATAAATAAAAAATAAATATAATAATAGAAAGAAGGTAAAAAAAATTACAAATAATTAAAAAAAATAAAAGGTAAATACGAATAAAAAAAACAAATTCATAGAAATAAATTAATTAATGAAGGTGAATAAATAAATAAAAATAAATTAAATATATATATATATATATATATGTAAAATTGCACGAATTGGTCGTCGAGAAATTTTGAGAATTTGCTCGCGTTTCCAACTAGGCGGTCGTGTATCAAGGAAAAAAAAATGCTTGGAATTTGGTTCGTGACTTTATTCAGAACGTTAGTTCGGGGACCCCCTTTTTTCTGGAATTTACGGTAGCTTTTCGTGTCGGCACATTTTTATCCGTCCTTATACACACACACACATATATATATATTTATACATATATATTCGTGCACAACCTTCCAGGACTATTTCTCCTTGTCGTTTAATAAACTGCCACGTAATTTCCTACAAGAAGTACTTTACGTCACGGAAGCCACCCTTAAAACAATCTCTCTTTCTCTTTTTTTCTCTCTCCAACAAATTCTCGAGTTTTGCGATTATTGAGAATAGATTATATAATATAAATTCGTCGATTCGCAAACGTAATTATTTTAAATTCTTCTAAAATTCACTTGCGAGTTATTTTTCTTTCGTTTCATTTCTATCACAAAGTTATTTTTCATTGAAAAAAATGTAATTTTTAATTATTTATAAATTTAATTTATATTTGTTTTCAAAAACCTATATTTTAGTTACAAAAAGGTTGTTTTTTAAATTTCTGTAATTTTAATTTATTTATTTCTTTTTTTTTGTTTTCCAAAAATTTTAATACGAAAAAGAAATTGTTTGTCGATTTATCAATTTGAAAGAAAGAAAATTATTTTTCATTATAATTATATGTATAATTTAATAATAATTATTAATTAAAAACAAATTTTATTGCAAAAAAGAAATTGTTTTTTTTCGATATTTGAATTAGAAAAAAAGAAAATTATTAATTATTAATTGGAATATTAATTAAAAACAAATTATATTGCAAAAAAGTTATTTTTTTCAATTTTATCAATTTGAAAGAAAGTAAATTATCTTTCATTATAATTGTATATAATTATTAATATAGTTACAAATTAAAAACGATTTTATTGCAAAAAAGAAATTTTTTCGATTTTTAAATTAGAAAAAAAAAGAAAATTATTTTTCATTATAATTATTAATGGAATATTAATGAAAAACGATTTTATTGCTAAAAAGTTGTTTTTCGGATTTTTAAATAAGAAAAAAGAAAACTATTTTGCATTATAATTATTAATTATTAATAGAATGTTAATTAAACACAATTTTATCGCAAAAAAGTTCTTTTTTTGGATTTATCAATTTGAAAGAAAGTAAATTATCTCTCCATTATAATTGTGTATATTTATTAATAGTTACTAATTACTAATTAAAAACAATTGTATTGCAAAAAAGAAATTTTTTTTTTTTATTTTTAATATGGGAATGAAAGTTATTTTTCAATAATAATTATCAATATTTACTAATTTTCTCTCATTGATTCTAAAAAATTGAAATAAATTACGAAAAAAAGATTTAAAAGAAATAATAAGAAAAAATGAATAATATCTAATATAGAAATTTTTTTTTATAAAAATCGAAAAATATTTTCTAAATTAATAATTCTTTCGAAATCAAAAATTTTTAACAAAAAGTAATTTGTTTTTAAATATTAATCTCTCTTATGGTACAAAAGGAATTTTTTTTTTCAACCAAAATTCTAAATGTTCCTAAAGTGTCACACTACAATTACATTTCATTACAATTTTAAATGAATATTTGACAAATTAAAAATTGTACAACAGAATAGCTCCCCAGTTAACGATATAATATAAACTCCCCTATTTTTTCATTGACTATTCTCTAGTTTTTTTGTTTTTTTTTTTTATTCTGAAGGACTCATTTGCCAATATCGAGGGAAAAAAGAAATAAATAATAATAATAATAATAATAATAAAAACAAAATAAAAGATTAATCGAGGTATTCAGGGGGCATATTTTTGACGGTACAATTTGGGGCCCAAAAGATTGACAGAGAGAAAATAGTGGGGGGCAAAGCAAGGAAGACAAAGGAAGGTAAGTTCCAAGTGGTGGGGGGTGGGGGGAAAAGAAAGATATTGAGAGGTGGGTATATATACACAAGAGAGTTTTGCTTTGCTCGTTCGTTCTTTCGCTCGTTCAGGCTTCCTATTTCCCACGGTGTTTGCTTTGTCGACCGCGATCTGTCGGCTCAAAGACTGGGACGCAAAAGTTTTTCGTCTCGCTTCAAGTGAGGTCACTGCGCCTCACCGTCGCAAAGATCTCTCGCACACTTATGATCTTGTTTCCACGATTAAGAGAAGATGATGATGATGATGATGATGATGATGAGGACGCCAAGGTTGATTTTGCACCGCTACTTCCCTGATCGAAATCACTCTATCTTCTTTTTAATTCTCTTTCTCTCTCTCTCTCTCTCTTCATCAACCACCCACCAAGAGAGAAAAGAAGATATTTCTCAATCAATTGTTAAAATTAACAACTCACAAATCGTTTTCCTTTCAATTCACAGTGGATGTTAAAATCAATTTTATTATCCCATCTTGAGAAAAATCAAATTTTTTGTATCATTTCCTTTTATATGATTCAATTGGTAAAAGAATGTATCTTAAAAAAATTAAATATATTAATAATAATAATACCTAATAAAAAATATATATATATTAATAATAATAATAATAATAATAATAATAATAATAATAATAATACTTAATAAAAAAAAAATATTACCTCGAATATTATTGAAAAAAATTTTTTCTGTATAATAAATCGACGTTTCTATCAAATAAATATTTATTTTGATAACAGTCAACTAATCGTTTTATTTGAATCATATATAATTTTTTTCACTTTATTATAATTATTATAATAATGTATAGAATTATTAATACATATAATTTTTATAATAATAGTAATTATTATTTATTATTACTATTATTCTTATTATTAATTATATTAATTATTAATTAGTATTAATTATTATTAATTTTTCAAAAATTCTAATAAAATTCAAAAAAGTAATTTATTCAATAAATTTGAAATAAATGGAGAGAGAGAGGGAGAGGTGAAGTAAAAAATTATTGTCAAAGTTGCGTGAAAGGACAATTATTGATTGTTGATCAGTGTTCAAGAGCCATGTCGATGGAATTTAATTAACATTGCTAAACATGAATTGTCGAGTGAACCTCGCGGTGGGCGGTGGATCGATAAGCCGGCAAAATTCCTTGGGGGGAGACTTCAAGAACTAACCAGAGAGAAAGAGAGAGAGAGAGAGAGAGAAAAAGAGAGACCATGAAATCGTAGCAGTGCGAAATCGGTCTCTTCGTCTTAACCGTGGAAAATATATATTTATTTTTATTTTTTGCATTCAAAAAAAAAATTTCGATATTAAAAATTAAAACAAAAAAAGTAATTTTGCAATTAAAAAATACGTATTTCCAATTATAATTATTATTATTGATTTTTTTTTTTTGTAAAAAAATAGAATTCAGAACAAATCATTGACTGGAAAGTTCGTTCACCGATAAAATTTTTTTTTTCGGTTCTTTTTGAATAAACAATTGGCCATAAGGTGAAAGAGGACTTCGTTTCTTTATTCTTTTTTAACAAGATATATGACGAAAAATTTTTGCGTGTGTCTCGTGCCGCGCGAGTGCAAAATTATATAGTAAAATAATGAAAAAAAAAAGAGCAACCGATACCACAAAACTGCGATTACAGCTATTGGGTGTGTTTTCAAAAATTTCTTTTTCTCATTCTTTCTCATTATATATATATATGAAAAGACGTCAATGTTGCTCGCAATTGTTGCTCTGAATTGGCGCGTTAACAGCTTCGAAGCATGTGGCAGGTGGCATAGAAAATTTTTTTTTTTTTTTTTTTTTTTTTTTTTTTTTTGCAGAAACCGCGCGTCTTTTCAATAACAAAACATATAAGCGCAATGATATATAAGGAAAAAAGAAGAATAACACAAATATATATATATAAATTAGGGACGAATATTACTCACACGGAATTTGTAAAAATTGTATTATAGGCGCCAAATTCTTAATTATCGATTAATTCAGCAGAATTTTATAAAGATTTTAATAAAAAAATTTTGTAGCAAAAAACTAAATTTTTTTTATTTAACAAAAATTCTATTTAATCAAAATTTTATGTATTCTCCAATTCAATTGAATATTTCAATTTAATACAATTTCCATAAAAAAGAATTTTAATTTGACACATATAAGAAATATTTTTTTTATTTTTATTTGAAAAAAGTTATATTTAGCCGAAAATTTTATGTAACCAGAATCCGAATATTTGAATTTAATACAATTTATATTTTATAACAATAAAATTTTTAAATTTATATTTAGTAGAAAAATTGCCGTATCAAAGAAAATTTAATTTGACAATTATTCTTTAATTAAATTTTGTTATTTTATTTGACAAAACTTCTATTTAGCCAAATAAATTTTTTTTTATATTCAGTTAATCAGAAATTGAAAAATTAAAATACGAATTCAGTTGAATAAAAATTACTCAAATTACGCTAAAAAAAGTTTTTTATAATCGAAATTTATAGAAAAATTCTCAAAAATTCTTATTTAATTAAAATTCGACAGAAATTAAAAAAAAATTGATATTTAAATAAATAGAAAAAATTATTTTTTAATTAAAATTCCCTTAAATTGATATTTGGTTAAATAAAAATTATACCTTTTTTCTCCCCCTTTCAGTATACAGATATATATATATATATATGATTTAAAGAAATGAAAAAAAAATGCAAGGAAAAAATAAAATTGAGCGTAAAAAGGAAGAAGCAAAAAAAAAGGGAAATAAAAAAAAATAATAATGTTAACACAGGTTGTACTTACAGGCAATTGTAGAGAAGAGAGTCAACGATTTTCACGGTAAAGCATGTGGCCCCATTTAAACAGTACCACTGTGCATAATCCGGTGGGCATGTGTACATTTGGAATGTGATGTTGGGCCGTTGCGTCACCGTCGGCGGCCGCGGTTTCGGCGTTGACCGCGACGAACACGCGTCTAAAAAAGAATTAAAATTCATAATTAGTAAAAATTCATTTTCACTTGATATTTTTTACAATATAAAAATTTTCCTTTTTTTAAACCATCAAATATTAAAGTATTTTTTAAAAAATAAAAAATGAATGAATAATAAATAAATAAAAAATAAATGAATAATAAATAAATAATAAATAAATAAAATTTAAATTATTTAAATATATATATATATATATATATATAAATAGCTGCAAATAAATAAAAAAAAAATGAAATATAAATTCGTATAAAAATCGAAATTATCGTGAAGCGATCAACATAAAAAAAAAATTCTTCTCTACCCGCAGTTGGAAAATAAAAGAAATCAAGATTTCAGGAAAAAATGTCACATATACACATGAAAAATTGGCTCGAGACACTAAGTCGGATTACGCACAATTTGCGGGGGCCGAACAATAAGAATTGTCGAGACACGGGTATATTTAAGAAATTCGAGACTGTTATGAAAAATTCGGTTTTTATAGATTCTCTCATTTTCCCTTCATTTCAAGGGGGGCGACGAAAAATGTTTTGTCAATCCCGGTTAAATTGAAACCCTTTTTATTCAAATGACAATAGATTTCTCATGGTCTTTCGACAATATATATTCATAATGTTGTATTGTCAAGAAAAAAAAAAAAAAAAAAAAACAGTGAAAAACATCGAGAAAAGAGTAAGAGAGACCCGCCGCACGGATTATTCGGATTTACATCAATTGCGAAAAGCCTTCGAGAAAAATAATTGTACCAAAGGAGATAAATCTCTCGACGTTTGTGTCGAAAAATTGCCACGAATTTATATATATATATATATACTTTCTTCATGTTTTCAAGCATGAAAAAAGAAAACAGAAAAGAAAAAGGGAAAATAAAAAAAGGGATTAGAAATTGAGAAGAAAAAATAACAGATCTAATTTTTTTTTTTTTTTTGTTAAAATTTCGAAATTCTTGCGAATTGTTTTGTTAACGGTTTAAGCCAATTGGAAATAGTGAAAAAAAAAATGTTTACTTTTTAATTTCTTTTTATTCTATAAATACGTCATCGTTTAAAAAAATACTTGTTAAAAATAAAAATATTTCAAAAAAATTATAGTTAAAAATAAAAATATACTATAAAACTAGCTAAAAATAAAAATACGAAAAAAGTACTTAAAAATAAAAATACTAAAAAAAACAGTTAAAAATAGAAATTTTTAAAAGAAACTAGTTTTCGGAAAAAATTTTAATTAAAAAAAAAAAAAAAGAATTTCAGTAAACAAATTTTCATTAAAAAGAAAGTTGAATTTTTTTTGGGGAAAAATTTTAATAAGAGTTTAATTTCCAGAAATCTTTTGGAGGGATTATTTAATTTTTTTTTTTCAATTTTCTTTTTATTATCAAACATTTTCTTTCGTGACACGATATTTTGTAATTGTAAAATTCTTGCGAAATATAAATGACCGCTTTATTTAGTTGTTCAGTTCGCGCGAGAGAACGCGCTCGTTAAAAAATAAAAGATATTGTCGCTAATTGTGTAATGTACTTATAGAGAGAGAGAAGAGAAGTCGAGTGCTAACTTCTCGTCAACTGACATATCCTACTTCGCGAGCTTTCTAAATTTCAATTTTTTTTTTTTTTTTTTTTATTATATAAATATTAGACAAGTGTTGTTGATCTAATTTTCCCAGTTGATTTCCAATTCGCTTTTTCCCTTTTTTTCCATATTTAAAATTATTATTATTATTATTATTATTTTAATTTTTTTCGTATTATTATTTGTATTTATAAAAATATTGTCTTTAAAATATTTTTGCATTGCAATTATTTGCATTTTTATGATACGTAGCTGCATTAAACAATAAAATTAGAAAAAAAATTTGAAATAAAAAAAGCTAATTTTTTATAATATGCAAAATAATAAAAATAATAATAATAATAATTAACTTGAAAAAATGTACATATGCGTCGCGCTCCAAAGAAAGGGGTCTAAGAATAAAAAAATTATAGGTTATGTTTATGATATAGTTCGAAGTAAAAATATACACAAAAAAGAGAATCAAACTCTCAATATAAAAATAATTGATGTCAAAGACTTCATTACATAAAAAAAAAAAAATATTCAATATAAACAAAAAAATTTGATTTTACGTAAATAAAAAGGAAAAAAAAAAAATTTAATCATATAAAACTTATCATAAACATAACCTATAAATTTTGGCTTCACCTATATATTCCTTTTTTCAAAGCGCTTCTTATATTTTGTTAAAATGAAAAATTTTCAATAAGAGAATTTACCAAATATTTATTTATAATTAAATTTTTAAACTTTGTATACATATTTAAAAAATAATAATAATAATAATAATAGGACAAAAATTTAAAAGAAAAAGAATAATAGGACAAAAATTTAAAAGAAAAAAAATAATAGAACAATAATTTAAAATGAATTTGAAAAAAAAAAAATTCCAAATCCCACCGCTGTCACCATTCAAGATTTATTCGAGTGGCATTTCGCGACGGTATGGTATATACTCGGATACTTATATATATATATATTTACTCGGAAATACGGAAGGAAGTTCTGAATTAAACGTGAAAGTGTATATAATATATACGTGAAGAGAATATTTTCGTCCCCCTCCCCCGCTTGTCGTCGGCGCATTGATGGTCCTTCTTTTTTTTTCCTCTCTTTTCGGTATGTGCCTAACTATAAATAATAATAATACAATAGTACACGTGTGTACATATACCAATATAAATATATATATATATGTATGCATCTTGTATAACTTTGGGACGGCAGATTGTTAAATTTCAACAGGTGACAGATAGCGGGGGCCCCGTCACGGGCAGATGCGTTGCAGCAGTTCCTTCACTGCACATACAACAAGGGGCCTCACATATATATATATATATATATATGAGTGTGTGTATATAGCGTAGTGTAAGAAAACCACCACCGCCGCCTAACTATATGATTGGGCCCACACTCCCCCCCCTCCTCATTCTTTTTCTAACTCTGCAAATACAGCCACGCACACGCGCCACACAACCGGCCCAATAAGTCCCCACATATCCCCCCCCCTTGCCTCATATACTCTTCTCCTCTCAAATTCTTTGCGCGCTAAGTCCCTATAACGATACGAAAATCACAAACGTGCGCCCACACTTATTCATTTACAAAACTGCAAACATTTGAATATATATATATATATAGTCAAACACAAACAAGGCCCAAGGAAAAAAAGCATATAGGCACTCCCATCGAGTTTAGAATTATAACCAGGGCCCCATTGTGGTCACTGTAGAAGCCACGTTAAAAATCTACATTATTATTATTATTATTTATTTTATTTTACTTGTATTTTTAATACTTTTATGATATTGATAACACAGAAAATAAAAAGGCATTAAAATAAAAAAATAAATAAATATGTAATAAAAATAAAATAAATAAATAATAATAAAATAAAAAATAATCCAATTTTGCTTATTTTAATACCAAAATGGATTAAAATAAGCAAAATTGGATTAAAATAATAAGCGTTGCAGATTATTTTAATGCCTTTTAATTTTTTGTGAATACTAATACTAATTAAAAGTTAGTTGAAATTTATTTTTTTGATATTATTATTTTTAGTTCTATTATGTTAAGAACTACACGGAGAAAAAAAGAAAAACGAATAAAGTATAACTTATACTATATATACTTTAAAAGTAAAACCAATACTGTCCGCATAGTTTCTGGAAATTTTTACTTCAGAAATAGAAAAATTTACCATTTCTAGAATAATTTTTATTATTTCAGGAGTAAATTTTACTAGATTCAGAGTAAATTTTACTATTTCTGAAGTAAAAATTACCATAAATGCGCAAAACCTGCGGACAAGTTCCGATTTTACTTTTAATAAAGTAGTAAAAGTATTACTTTATTCGTTTTTCAATTTTTCACCGTGTACTTTTTAGTTTGAGGTTATATTAATTATGGTTTAACCTCCTTAATAATATTTTTTTCCATTTTAAATATTTCATTATTTTCAATTAATTTCAAATCTATAATTATTTCCATTTTTTTTAAACTTTTTTTTTTAAATATAATCTAATAGATATATTAATAAAATCGTATAAGAAAAATCAAAATCAAGTACCTTTAAATCATTTTTTAATACAAATGTATATATACAAAATAATTTGAAGGTACTTGATAAACGATTGATAAATAATATATATATTATGATACCTTCATAAAAATCCTATATCAATAAAACTTGGGAAAACACTCCATTAAGCATTTGGTTATATCCCTCTCATTCTCATCGTTTTTAAAAACGAAAAATCCTAAATCAACACTAAATAGTCCATTTTCTATATAATACATGGTATATTTATATATATAATATATCTCAAAGTCACCCCTCGTCGCGCGCCCGTTTTCTTTTCAATTTAAAAATCCAATTCCAACTTCGTAACCTGAGCAAGTTTCTATATATATTTATTGGTTTTTCCGCACTACTATCGTCCCGAGAGTAATCGATTAAGTTGTTTAACGACTAATGGCCGAACGGTACTTATCCCATTATTGGCACACCAGGGGTGGGCAAAAAAATAGGGATAAAAAAAAAGAAAAGAGAAAGAGAGAAAAAGGTATATATATATAAGGACCACCAGAATTTTAAAAGCAAAAAAAAAAGACTGCGAGTGAGAAAAAAAATTATATCTGGAAAAAAGCCCGAAATCTCGAATTTAATCCATATTTATTATTATTATTATTCTTAATTAATATTATTTAATTTTATTATTTATTTTTTAATATTTATTCTTTAGTATTTATTTTTCACTATTTTTGTTATTAAATATTTATTTTAACTAAAAAACTAAAACACAAATAGAATTTTGCAAGCTGGAAAATCAGAAGGCAACATAACCTAAAAGTTGTTTTAGCACATACAGTAAGTGCAAAATTTACAAAAAAAACAATTTTTAGGTTATGTTGCCTTCTGATTTTCCAGCTTGCAAAATTTACAAAAAGCAAAAAGTTTTTTATTTTACTATATTGAAATGATTAGTGAGGTTAACTCTAAACCGTTATCGTCAAAAATCGCCAATTTGGAAACCTGGTGGTAACTATTTGAACTACTTTTAGCACACTCTTAATCAGAGTTGCCAATGACCCTACCTAAACGCTACTGCGCTTGCGTTACAACAACTCTCTTATAGGTCGAAAAAAGCGCGCTTATATAAAATGCTTAATAATAAGAAAACTTTAATAAAGCAATATAAAAATATTTTCACTATTGAATTTTTTTTGTTAATTTTATTGCTTCCTAATAAAAAAAATACTAATTTCATTAATATACTTAAGTATATAATAATAATAATAATAATAATAATTTTATTATATTTATATCATTATTATAATTATTTTGTAAATAAAATATTCATAATCTATTATTATTATCATTATTTTCAATAAATTATTATTAAATATCTATGAATGTATTACATCTATATATTTCAAAAAAAATGAATGGAATTTTTTTTGTACATTTTTTTTTTGCTAAAGTTTTAAAAAAATATATATGTATATATCATAGATAATTAATAAATAACAATTTAATTATAATAACAAAAATAAATAATATATTACATAATTAATTAATAAATATTCAAATGATAATAATAATAATGGATTATATATTTTATAAAAAAAATAATAACAATAATGATATAAATATAATAAAATTATTAATATTATAATAATTATTATTATAATTTTTACATACTTAAGTACATTAAGTAAATTAATATTTTTTTATTAAATGAATCAGTCAATCTGTATTATCGGTAATGGATAAAACAGATTTTCTGATTCATTTAGTGAAATTTTCACTGGAAATCAGTGATATATATGACTTATTTTCAGTGATAATTTCACTAAATGATTAAGTAACCGACTTCTAGCTTAATTTCACCAGTGAAATTTCACTGATTCAAATTAAGAGTGCAGCGCTAGAGTGGAGACAATTCAAAAAAAAAAAAGAATCAAATATAATAATTAAAACATAAATTTTTTTTTCGTATACTGACCTGCCATACCGAAGAACGTGTAAGAAAGGATGAGCAGTGTGGCGAGATACGGCGGAAACCTGTATCCTCTCGTCATGGCAGTAACGGAAGGGACGTTGACATTTGGACTTGGGGAAATAATTTCATCCTCCGAATTGAGGGTGGGCAGCCGTGATTCAGAATTTTGTCTCGTCGACAATTCACTACTAAAATGACTATTACTCCTACAAGTTTCATCACTTGTCGTAATAGTGGTTGTCCTCGATATTCTACTCCTTCTCTTATCGTCCAATTGCCTTTGATGTGACGTATGAGGGAAATGATGGTGGTGCTGATGATAATGATGATGATGATGGTGGAGGTGTCGTTCCTGGGCAGGATGATGATGGTAGAGGTAGGATTCTCCATTTTCCCGATGACACGTGTCGTCGTTGTCATCATTGTCAGCCGTAATCCTTTGTCGACTCTCCTCAAGTCTCCTCTGCTCCCAGAGCCCAAACTCCACACTTCTTATATTAATATCCACCTGAAAATTATGTTCATTTGTTTTTTTTTATACAATATTGCGCATGAAAATACAGTACAGTATTACTGCGCATGTGTAGATATCATAAAGTGCCACTGCGCATGTTTTTTATAGCGTAGGGTACTACTGCGCATGTGTAAATACCATAGCGTTCTACTGCGCATGCGTAAGTATTGCCCAACGCTTTTGCGCATGTGTAGATACCACAGAGTGCTACTGCACATGCGTGAATGTTGCCCTACGCTATTGCGCATGTGTAAAAGTCGCACAAAACCATTGCGCATAAATATTTTTCCCTCTTTTTTTAAAAATTTTGCTTTCTATAACGAAAACGAATTTGTTAAAAAGCAGAAATTTTCCAAACCTTAGCTCCAGATAAATTTTATATTATATGGGGCAACGCAGAATCGTTAATCGTAAATCTTAAGCTTTTACATGAGAGAGAAAAGGACAAAAGATATTTCTATCCTTTTCTCTCTCGTGTAAAAGATTTATGATTAGAGATTTCATTTTGCTTAGGCCTTTATTTTAGTGATAAAATTTTGAGGTTATGTTAACATTTTTTTTGTGATAATTGAAAGCGAAAAAAAAAAAACTTACCTCGTCAATATCAGTGCAGCGTGGAATGAGGCCCGAAATGTTGTTCGTTTCCGAATGAAGCTCACCAGCAGCTTCCTTAGTTTCTCGTGATGCTGCTACCGCTGCAGCTTCTGTCGCCGCCGCCGGTCGTCCGTCAGCTGCACCTGGCCCACAACTCCGACGCACGTGCCGCCGCCTCCCTGTAACCAAATATCCGACCGCACGAGCGTTTACAGTGTGTTCTATCTTGCGAGGCGCCTCAACGATCTAACCCCTGAATACCATCTTTCTCTCTCTCTCACTCTCGTCTGGCTGATGACTTACTATATATATATAAAATGCCCTCTCTTCTGGCACACGATGAGGCTAAAAGAGCCTCTTTAATTTCGCCACCCCGATGATCATCGAAGGGACGATTCCATCCGATCCGATGTTACGATGGTTTCATCATGATCCCCGGGGTGGCCCACGCTCTTGTAAAAAGAGAGAAAGAGAGAGTAAAAGTGAGTATGTGTGAGAGAGAGAGAAAGACAGAAAGAGAAAGATACTGTTAAAGGCAGGTGGGATCGTCTTCTCTTCCGCCCCGGGTATCATTAACAATATTACTCATGCCTCATTTTATAGGGTATACCGAAAATTACTTCAAGAAAAAGGGCCACACCAGACACCCGCGCACCTTCTTCTTTTTCCTCCTGATCAATTTCAAACATACATATAATACCTCTTTTACATCATCAACTTCTAAATTTACCTTTTCACTTTACACTTCAATCATTTTTTCCCTCCATTATCATTTAATATGTATAAAATACAAATTATAAAAAAATATAACAATTAGATATATTGATTTCATATTAAATTCTAAACAAAAAAGTCCTTTGATTTTTTAATTCGTTGCGTATTTTCCGTGTTATTGCAATTTTAAGTCAAGTGCCGAAGTTCGGCTGTCAAGGAGTGGGGGAAATCTTTCTATAGGAAATTGCCGCCGATTTAGCAAACTTAAAAGTGTTATAACTTGGAAAATATTCAATCAATTAAAAAATGCTAAAGGACTTTTTTGTTCAGAACATCATGATGAATCGAATACCACTCTTTGTATATTAATATATATTTTTATGTTTTTTTTTCTATATTATTTTTTTTGCAGTTATATCCTTTTCCGTTATTATCGGTTCAATGGAAGTAATAATCAATTATTACTATATACAGTCATTGGAAATGTTTAATGAACCGATATCAATAATAATAATAATAATAATATGAATAAAAATAATAATAACAATGTTGCTCAATATAAATGACGCAATATTGATTTCATTGAACGATTGCGAGGTTATAATATATACAATATACCACTATATATATACATATTGAAGAGCAATTACAGGGGCAAGGTCGCTATTGAATCATGATTTTCACATAAAAAACATATCCATTTAAGATTCCGACCCGTTACTCTCGTCAAGAGAATATAAGCATATAATATATTGAGAGAAACGTGTTGCGACCTGCGTTTGAGTATACATTCATTTCGTGTACCAGATGTTCCCCTCCCCCTTTTCCTCTTCTTCTATACTTTTTCTTCTTCTTCTTCTTCTTCTTCCTCTTATGCTCCCCTTTTTTTACAAGTTCCTTTTCCATCCCCCCCCCCCTCCTTTTAATACTATTTCATTCGCTTTTATTCCAATCTAGAAAATGATAATATGTAGGTCGTTGAATACCGAAGCGGAAAGTGATTTTAGATTGGTTTCTTTTCAAAAATTGGTCAATTTTTTTTTTTTGTTTTTTATAGAAAAATATATTTACTGCATTGATTTTTAAATATATGTGGTATATTGTATATATATATATATATATTGCTGATCGAAGGTGAATGAAGAAAAAAAAATCGATATCGCGGCCAATAATGTATAATAGTGTATATCTGCATCCGGCTTCGAGATAGCCGTGTGCGTTTGTCATATGTATAATAATAATGACATGGCAAATTATTGACCACAAGTATGCAATTCTTTCGAATGTTTAGAAATTCTCTATACATAGAGTGTTGAAAGAAGAAAAAAAATTGAATATCTCGCGCTATTTGATTCATAATATCGATATGTTGCTCTCAATGTTATAATTATTTGAAATTATTTTTAGTATATAACAATTGATTATTATGTACTTCTATATTGGAGCTATAATAACGGAAAAGGATATAACTGCAAAAAAAATAATATAAAAATATATATTAATATATTACATTAATATATTATATATATTATATTAATATATTATATTAATATACAAAGGGTAGTATTCGATTCATCATGACATTCTGAACAAAAAAGTTCTTTGCCATTTTTTAATTGATTCAATATTTTCCAAGTTATAACACTTTTAAGTTTTCTAAATCGGCGGCAATTTCCTAGAAAGATTTCCCCCACTCTTTGATAGCCGAACTTCGGCACTTGACTTAAAATTGCAATAACACGGAAAATACGCAACGAATTAAAAAATACCGAAGGACTTTTTTGTTTAGAATTTGCTAAGAAATTAATACCTATAATTGTTATATTTTTATAATATATATTTTATAATAAATATTAAATTATAATAGAGGGAAAAAATGATTGAAGTGTAAAAAAGGCGAGCGCAAAAAAAAACACATTTTTTAAAATACATTTAGTGTTTTAAAATATGTTTTAAAAACAGTCTTTTTTTTGAAATTTTAAGATAGATAGTTTTTGCAGTGATAATGAAATTGATACACATTCACATACACTGAAGTAAGTATATATATATAGGAATTCAATGAAATGATGAATGATTCAAGAATGAATAATGCAAGGCAATGCACTTGTTTGATGATTATCATTGTAATATAACCCCGCACAGTTACCACGGAGACATACGGCGAATGTCGCGCTAATATATATACAGATTTAGAACATCGATTATATATATATGAATATACACATATATAGAGATCATGCTCCACATGTCGACACTTTCGTTAAAGTATATATATGAGGAAAGTGTGAAGAGTATGTCTTAAGCAAATCATAGACATGCTTTTATTGAAGAAAAGTTTATGTGAAGTGTATAATATACAATTTACTCTATACCTATATATATGTATAATATACAAGGTATATACAAATAGTGTGTATAATACCTTGACAAATGGTTTGTTGCATATATATATATATATGACACATCGTTTTCTGACCTCTGTTGCGGAGAAAACATAATACTGTATGTCACTATACATACATATACATAGCATTTATATATATAAATGTATGTATGTGCATATGTTGTGGAACGTCTGTAAGTAATATAGTGTTTACCCGAGTAAGGGAGTAGTGCCTGCGTATATATATATACCGATTATTATTATGGGACGTGTGACTGTTCACTCTTGTATATGACGTATGTTGGCTTAAGAGCAATTTAGACACGGCTAGTGAACAGCATATGCGTTATATATTTATGTTTTACTTCATATTCTCCACCTTCGATAACAAAAGGTCATATATCTCATAGGAGAGACGCGAGATACTGCCTGATACGACCTCGAGACAAGAATGCATATAAGATATTCAATTCAAAATAATCTTGTTTGTTGCATATATATATATGCATTCAGGAAGGATATCCGCTATAAGTGCGGCTAATAATATTAATGGATATTAACAAAAACAAATTAATCGAACGGATATGAGTATTATTCAGAACTTGTATATAAAATTATTAATACTATGCCAAAAGAAGTATTTAAAACATCTTCTTTACGCATACACTATTTTAAAAGTATCAAATACATACCAAAAATATCAAATTGATACAAATTTTTATTTGATATTTTTGGTATCACAGAAAATTATAAAAGGCATTAAAATAAGCTGCAACGCTTATTATTTTAATCCAATTTTGCTTATTTTAATACCAAAATGTATTAAAATCAGCAAAATTGGATTAAAATAATAAGCGTTGCAGCTTATTTTAATGCCTTTTAATTTTCTGCGATCTATTTGATAATTTTAAATTAGTTTACGATATTTTACGTTTCTATTTAATTTTTTGAAAAATTATTTCACGGATTATTAACTTTCTTTCAAGCTTAGGTATATGGATGATGAGAGTATTTATACAAAATAAACATCAAAGTACAGAAATAATAACGCGCCGCGAGCCGCATGAGTGCATTGGCACTCTGTATATATGAAACTGTCGCGCGAGAAAATTGCATTTTGAGGTGCCAGAGGGTAAACAAAAATAAAAATAAAAAAAAACTACAAAAAAAAAACGAATTAAAAAAAATGAGTCAAAATCTATTTTCCAAAAAGTAGGTGACACAAAAATTTAAGACACACGCTTATATATATGACGGTATTTATATGATGTATATAATATATTATGCTCCAGTGCGCGATTCATCCCACATCTATTCTCATCCTTAATAATTGGCCATTTCCCTCATAGCGATAATCCGGTTGTATATCAGCTTCATTTCTCAAATTAAAATCATTTTTAACTCGAAATTATAAATCGTCTAGAATTTAGGTTATTTCACAATTGCTCTCTCGGAGAATTTTAGTGTGACTTCCGTGTTTAAACGTATGAGCATAATAATGCGTTCACGCCAAAGATCTTTGGCCTCTGAAAGATATATATTTCTATATAAGAACCAAGAGAGAAGAGTATAATAATTTTCTAATTTCTTCAGTTAAACTTATTAGTTGAAGAGGATTTCCGTGTCAGTTCCTGCTTTTCTTTTTTTAGTTACATATATATATTTTATGAAAACAGAACCGTTCGCTTCGCAATTATCGCGTCAATTCCATATATATTATATAGTTATCGTTGAATTTAAATACCGTCAATTTCAATTTCCTTCGGCATTAACTACCGTTAGTTTTAATTATTGTCGGTTTTAACTACCATTAGTTTTAATTACCGTCGGTTTTAACTATCGTCTATTTCAATTACCGTTCGTTTCAACTATACCATTGATTTTAAATGCCATCGGATGTAAGTACCGTTTTCTAATTACTGCCAAATTATCATCGGTTTCAATTACCATTGGTTTGAAATACCGTCTATTTCAATTACCGTTAGTTTCGACTACCGTCGAGTTTTACTATTGGCGATTTTTATTAATGTTAGTTAAAATCAACGGTAATTAAAATAGACGGCATTTCAAACCAATGGT